TGTGCATGTTTAAACATGTTAGAATGAGCCATCAGTCTTTATTCACGCTAAGAGTCTTAAAACCACATACTAAATATTAAATATGAGCTTTATCAAGGTAGATTTTCAAAAAAACTTGCAGTAAAAAGTTCATTTTTAAGTGATGCAAGGTAATTTGGGCCAATTCACCTGGAAGCCAAGAAAAATTTGTCTGAGGGCCGCATTTGGCCCACTAAAACTGGCCATAGTTTGGACATGCCTGACCTAGTGCCTCCGCTCAATTTAATTTCTCTCCAGCCATTAGGTCAGAAATCAGAATACACTAGATTGTTCACAAAAACCCTGGAAGTTAAAGTTTGGGCACCAGCCAATCAGTGAAGAGACATATATTCTGTGTTGTCAACAATTCCCGAGATCAAAGATTTAAAGCCGGAACAAAGAGAATGTTTGTTGAATTTTAGCAAGGTGAAAGACATTATTGCCCTTCTTCCTACGGGATTTGGGAAAAGCTTAATATACCAGTTAGTCCCATTAGCGGTGCATTACATACATCACGACCAAATAGCAGGGATTGGTTAAATAAAAAAAGTACCTACCTACCAACACTGCGAGGTCAGACGGTTTCTACGAAGTGAAACTGACTGAATCAGGTTATCTCTTTACTGCTGGCAGGTGTCAATTTGGTCAAAAATAGGGACACCTGGGATATTTCTTGTATTAAACTGGGACAAATCACTGGTTTTGTATAAATCTGCTAGGACAGGGGACGCAAGACTCAAAACTGTGATTGTTACGGGTAAATAGGAGACGTCTGGTCACCCTCGCTAACCCTGCTGTTTCACCATGGGCACGGCTGGAAGAGGAAACAGCAGGAAAGTTGGCAGCTCCAGCTCCAGCCAGTAGTGTAACCAACATTTATAACCAGTGTTGGGAAGGTTACTTTTAAAATGTATTCCCCTACAGATTACAGATTACATACCCCAAAATGTAGTTTGTAATGAGTCCGCCTGGAATGGTTTAGTCCTGTTAAATCCTGTTTTAGTCCAGTTTTAGTCCTGGTTTAGACCTGGTTTAGTCCTGGTTTAGACCTGGTTTTAGTCCTGGTTTAGTCCTGGTTTAGTCCTGGTTTAGGCCTAGTTTAGCTCTAGTTTACATCTAGTTTAGACCTGGTTTTAGTCCGGGTTTTGTCTTGGTTTAGATCTAATTAAGATCTAGTTCAGACCTGGTTTAGTTTCCAGCAATGAGTTGAATTACCGAAAAAAATAAAATAACAAAAGGGGGATATAGATTTATATAGATATAAATGTGAAAACAGGAAAATACCGCTGTGTAATCCATTCATTTCAACAAAGTAACTGTAATCCAATTAACATTCATTGAAACAGTAACTGTAACTGAATACAGTTACTCATAATTTGTACTCTGATTACGTAACTCTGGTACATGTAATCTGTTACTCCCCAACACTGTTTATAACACAATATGAAGACAATAGCAATCTATTATAAGGTAGTCGCTGGAGAGAAATGAAATCGAGCCGAGACACTAGGCTGGCTAGATTCTGCCTGGACGACTGAGGGATTTTACACACAAGTTAAGGTATAGGCGAGTTTCATTGTTGACAAAAGCGCGTGTTGCATACTGGAAATTATTTTGGTCGGCGGCAATAAACACTAATTCAACATGACGGATGGAGTGAGAAAAGGGTAAAAAAGGGTATTGATCCCGGTTATTTATCCACTCTAACGGTAGAGGACCGAAGACGATTTGACCAGAAATTGGTCATAAGCATCGATGGACGCCAAATCACCCTTTTCAACCCCTACAAAGCCTGGACCAAACCAAATTTCTGTTCGAAATCGCCAACTACCTGGCCAAATATTCACTTCGGCGACATCCACAGTGACTTGGTGGAAACTCCTGAGCAATTCCCACAGAAAAGATGAAAGCCTCCAAGAGTCTCGATGCGAAATATTTTCCAGCATGCAACGCAGGCTTTAAATAACAATGACGTCAGCTGAAACTCGCCTATACTTTATTGAACACTTGTGTGGAAAATTTACTCTCTACATTTGATTCAACCAGTGCACCAACGGCAACCTGTCAGGAGCTGTGAGCTAATCTATAACGAACACGAGACAAATGGTTCCTAACTGTGGCATTTACCATATTCGTGTTAACTTACAAGCTTTTAAAATAATTGGTATAAGTAAAAAAAATCTTCTTCCACCCCAAAGCAGTTGCTGTGCTATCTGTGAGCATGCAAATTATATCATCACACTGGATTATTTTATAGATATTTGTTACCAGAAACCCATAAGAGAGCAGCGTAGTCACATTTCATAAGTGTTCAAGAAAAGCTCTATTGGTATTTTTAGGCAGCAGGTCGGTCAAAACTAAATGTCTGCAAAATTCTCACTTTGCTTTTTATTGTAAAGAAACAAGAGTCCGTCTTTGGACACGACAGTTTGTGTTTTATTACTTGAGATGGAATTGATGATTTTAGACACACATCACATAACGCTCACGCACACACGAGTCCCACCAGAGAGACACCATAAAAGCCCTTTAACAATCTGGAATAAATAACATCTCTTTTCTTTACATGTAAACTGCTAAGAGCTCTTTTTAAACTGTTCATATAGAAAAGCAGTCAGTTATCTGTGTCTGGCTCACACTTGTGCTAAGATACCAGTGCAACATTTCTGTAAGTATTCAACAAACGTAAAAAAAACAAACAAAAAAAACACGTCCCATGCGTTTTTCTCGTTACACTTCCTTTTCAGACACACAGCAGGTTTGGGTTAAAAGTCAAAGTAGCTTATTTGACACGGGCTCATTCAGAACTTGCTTTATCTGTACAGTACTTCAGTTTCAACTTTTTATTGCACATTTCCAGAAGCGACTCAAAGCTTACCCAACCAGCCAGGATCGGTCTATTCTAAATGCAGTAATGCCCAGTAGTTTGTATAATATATAATACATCTTTTTGTAGAAAGCTGAACAATTTGGAGAAGCAGACAGGAGCACGCTACCGCAACCATATGTAAAGTCGCCTTGACGCGTGAAAAAAGTTCTGCGGCACGAATGACGCAAATTGGGCGGCACGATTTGATTGTTTTGAGCAGCACAAATTTGCAAAACTGGCGTTGATGCTCGAATTCATTAAAGGGAGGGGCTCGCGAAATTCGCAAAAGTTGAACATTTTGAACTTTCTGCAAATATTTGCGTCACATCAACCAATGAGGGGCCGTGTTCTGATAGTGACGTATAAAACTGATACAGACATGAACTTTCATTCAACACGGAGGAGGCACTCACCGTTGCCGTGGGAAATGAGACGATATTATACGATACCAGCACGAGCCAGAGACCGGAATAAACTCCACAGAGCAGGACCTACACCCGTCTCTGTCCCCCTCTCCTTTATTCTGGTCCCAGTATCAGTCCTGGTCTGGTCCCGGTCTCAGTTCTGGTATGTGCAACCACATTCCCAAACTCGACCATCCTGGACGAGCGAATGAAGCAAATTACTCAAAAATGTCAATTGACAAACTAGGGGCGTTTGAAAGGTCACATAAAACACTATGGGTCATCGCTCCTGTGAGCTGCTCCAAACAAAAACTCAATATTTCAAATTTTCAGTTTTTCTTTTACAAAACCGTACCACTCATTTGACAGCACAGATTCTACCGTAGATTACATTTAAAGGAGACATATTATGCAGTCTAATGGAATAACAGTGAACTCTCATCATAATCTTACACAGTTTTGTATTTGAGTGATTCATACATATTTGAGTCAACCTGTATTACCCTGTACACAGCAAAAACTGGAGGGTTAAAATATCAGGGTAAAATATTTCTGAGTTGTTTTAACACAAAAAGTGTTATTTTAACTATCTGAAAGTTAAATGGGGGTTTGAGTTGGGGTTATTTGCCACAGTTGATATGGTTGAAGTTAATTCAACTTCCCTTAATGTTATTTTGGCTCCTCCCACCACCACTTCAAACTCCCCTGAGAGAAGACCTGTTTTAACCAGTTTTGTAGATAATTTCACCTTTTACAATGTTTTAGTTACTACTCACCAAAATGTAAAATTACCGTATATTCCGGGCTATTAAGCGCTCTGGATTATAAGACGCACTGTCATTGAATGGTCTATTTTTGAACTTTTTTCACAAATAAACCGCACCGGACTTTAAATGAAACACAACAGTTGGATGGGTAAGTGGGACTTTGTTTGGTGCGTTCATGGTGACTCTGGGCTTTGTTCAGTTGTGGCGTGTAGGGAGGGTGCTGTCTGGGACCGCTGGATTGTCGGCGTGTTCGCGGTGAAGTGGCACATTGCACTAGTTTTTTCGGTTCGTTCCTCCGTTCCGTTCCTCGTCGGCATAGAGTGATGAGTGTGGCTATGAGTGTGTTTCGCTGCGCGGTCGCTGTCTGCTCCGTGTGTGTTTGTGTGTTCTGCGGGTGGTGCAGCTTTGTAGTTTACTGAAGTCGTGCTGGGACACCCGAGTGGATTCGTGTATAGGGCGCTCTGGATTGTGGGGCGCGCGGTCGTTTTTTGATGGGGTTAGAGGCTTAAGAGCGCATCTAATAGCCTGGAAAATGCGGTAACTAAAATAAAGTGTAAAAATAAAACACCTCTGTGTGTTGTTCAGCTAAATCAGGATAACCCTAAAAAGTGTTATCCGTTTACTCTCAAAACATTAATATAACTCTTGATTTCGGGGATAAACAGGAATTTTGGTCCAGCGTTACTTAATTAACATTTCCAAAAATGTTAAATTAACTCTAGAACAGACTGGACTCATATAACCCCTGAGAAAATGTTAAAATTAATTCTGTGAGAGTCAATTTTAACACTCCACATTTTGCTGTGTATTTGAGGCTTGTGCTCAGAAAATTACCCCTATCTCGAGTCTCAAAAATCTTGCTTCATACATTTGATGGCTTTTGTATTTATATAAAATGTAGAAAGTAGTAGGAAAAAAAGAAACAAAACATTGAATCAGAGAGTGAGTCCAAACCTTTGACTGGTATGTGTATTATAGTTCATTACATGATTCAATTCCTCTGTGAAAGTTTATGAAAATGCATAATATCTCCTCTTTAAATTCATTTGCGTTGACTTTGCGTTGACTTCATCTACATCTGTAACACCGATGACTTCTAAAACACTAACCTGTTCTGATCCTACCAAACGCCTGGACCGGTTCAGCTGTCACTTACTCCAAACTCTGATCCTAAGAGAAGTATCTATGTTCTGCAAAGGAAAATATTGTCAGTTTTACTTGACACTAAAGCAGTTTCTCAATATTTTTAACAACTTTTATTTGTCTGTACCATAGACTGTATAAAGAAGTGGACTAAAGGAGTGTGACAAAGCGTTCGGCTCCAGTCAAATGAAGCTCACCGAAGCTAGTACGTATTGGAGCCAGTTGGAGTGGATGGAGCTGTGTCCTTTTATACAGTCTATGGTCTGTACACATTTAAAAGCACCTTAGATTCATGGTAGGCTAGCTTGTTGCACCATTTTAACAGGTAGATCATTTTTTAACCTGATATTTATTTGAAAAATCATTGTCAAATCAACTTCTTGTGGAGCCCTTTAGGGTGCTAGCAGAGTTTTGGCACTAGATTGAACAGAATTGTCTCTAGGGTTGAAGGTAAAAGCATCTTTTTCCCAGCCCACGCTTCTGTCCTCTACCTGAACTCGTCTATCATCTGCTCCTCCTCCGTGCTCTGCTCCTCTGATCCTCTCTCTCTCTGTCTCTCTCTCCTCTCTGATGGGCACAGGACACCAAACACATGAAGCACAGCGGGCATCCCTGCCACAGAATGACTTGGCACACGATGAGGGTGATGGAGAGGCCTTCACTTGAGGCCGTCGTCTGTGCTCTTTAACATGAGGATGGCGTTGGAGATCTTCAGAGCGGGGCCCAGTTTGATGCTCATGATCTTCACGATGTCCGTCTGAGTCAGCAGCAGGAAGGCCTCGCCGTCAATCATCTGAGGACAAGGGTCAGAGGTCAGGCATGAGACTCAGGAAGCCCACACTGTTTATACGTGACGTTTAACGGCTCAGCTAAACATAGCTACAGTATGTTTACATTAAAGTAGTCAAAATAAACAGGTACTTTTTTGAGAATAAACAAAGATATTCTAAGACAGGTCCTACAACTTTTACAAAACAAAAACTCCAGAGAGCTCCTGCCTCAGATGAGGTAGAGTTACACTTAGCCTACAGAGGCCTATGAAACATCCAATTATTAGTCCATTTTGTTATGCATGAAAATTGTATATTTACAAAGGTAAAAGGCATTTAATTAATCTATTTTTATTTATTCAGCACAGGTATAATTCAGAACTCCCTTGGCAAACTGCTTCGAAAGGGCGAAGAGCTACTGGTTGTTCTGTTGTCCTGTTCTAAGGGACACAGCACTGCTCAGTGTTACACTCTGTTCTACTCACTGATGTGCTCACCTCTTCTTTGAAGAGACGGGCCTGCTCCTCACAGCCAATGAGGTTCTGGACAAACATGAAAACCTGCAGCACAGCAGAGTGATCAGTGCTAATGACACACAGTGGTAAGTACAGTATAAACACAGTATAAGTATAGTATAAGAGCAGTATAAGTATAGGGTAAATACAGTATAAGTGTAGTATAAATACACTAGTCAAAGTACAGTATGAGTACGGTATGAGCTGACCTCGTCCACGCTCCACGATGCCACCTGGCTGGCATCGATGCCCTGCACCCCAGGCAGCAGTTTACAGTGCTGCTCCCAGCACAGAGACAGTGAGCGGTCAGACTGGCCACTCAGTGCCGACATGAAGAGAGAGGGGTACACGTCTTCAGCTGAGAGGCCTGGACAGAACAGAAGGAAAAGACTTAAGATCTGTCACATTTCACCACATTTAAGAGAACACAGTAAGAGCTGTGCTTCTGTTTTAGGACACTTTGGGAGTCTGTCACCTCAAAGACTATTTATTACCTTGATAGTCTCTTTGCTGGTTTTTCCTGTATTTTGGAGGACGTCCAATCCTGCAAAAGACAAAGTCTTTCTTCACACATCTTTCCTCTTGTAACACAGCTGAAATCTGTCATTGGTTTACCTTCCGCGGTAGTGTGTTTTCTTGGTCCTTTGGCCAAAGAAGAGGTTTCTTTTGCCTTCTGAGTCTGACAGGTCTGCCTTCAGTCGCCCCTGGTTACGCTCAGCCAATGGGCAGCCAGAAATACAGTGATGTGCTGTGAATCGACCAGTCACGTGCCCTGAGCCATCGCAGCCAGGAGTGGGACATTTCCTGTTGCCATATATGGAATAGCAGGTATTGTTACAAGCGGATTTGTCATATGTGTGAGTTGATCAGTGCTGATGAGTCTGACCTGTTGTGGAAGCTGTATTTGCTGGTTCTCGTGTGGCCCATGGGTTTACAGGGGACAGAGGAGGGATACGTGGACTGGCCCGTCACTGGAGGCTCTCTCACTCCTCAGAACAGCACACACACACACACTGCAGATAAACTTCACCGGGCGAGTAAAGTCTAGTGTGGTTGCTATAGTTACCATGTGCTTGTGGAGCTTTGGCGTCTCGAGGGGGCACTTTGAGCGGGTGCCCAGTGGCCTCGCACCAGCCGGCCGGGTGGATGTCCGGGTTATCTGAGTCCATCCACTCATCGTACACGTGACTCCAGCCGTCGTAATGGATCTGCCAACACACACACACTCTCTAAGAACACTGCACAGAAAATTACTCAAGGCATTCTATTATCAATTTCTCATAAGCTCTAGGCCTAAATTACATGATGGTGTGATATTTAAGCCATGCTAGAATGTTGTTGCTGCAAAAACAGACTTGGAGTTGTGTTTTGTTTCTTTCACACATGTTTGAGTAACCCTACATTATCAGTCTGTCTACATCTCCAAAGCTCAAAATGCTCTGTGCCACCTTGTGATGTCATGAAGCGGGAGTTTTCATGTTAGCAGCTCCATTTTACATTAAAGGTTGTATAGAGGATTTTCCAAGGAACGAGAAATCCAGCGACTGTTTGTCCTTTTTCAAATGTTGCGCATGCGTGAAACCACCCCCCTCCCCTACAGCTCCCTACGTAGAAACGCCTTCTCCCGCCTCCTCACTACGCCAGAAACAGGTTTGTTTACAGCCGGTGAGCTGCACATGACTTGTAAACAACTAACTACAGTGTTGGTTAGGCAAGGCGGAGAAGTGAGGAGCGGGGGGAGCGGGTGTGCGGACATTTCGTTCGCGGACGAGAAGTGAGGAGCAGGGAGAAGAGCGGAGCAGGGAGAGAGGAGAGAGGAGAGGGGAGCGGTGCGCGGAGATTCCGTGCCCGTAGAAGTGAGGAGAAGGGGGAAGAGCGGAACGGGCAGCGGGGACAGGAGTAGGAAAGGGGAGCAGAGAAGGTTGCGCGGAGATTCAGTGCGAATGAACTAGCTACAACACGCAGCAGCAAGCGGACTCTTTCTTTGCCTTGAAAATTACGTTTTCAGACATAGGATATCGCTTTCGTGTCCTGAAAAACGTTTGACTAGCTCTTGGAAATAAAGTACGTTTTCATAATAAGCAGAAGTTACCTGTCCAGGAGTAATTTGGCGACCAATGCGTCAGTCTTTAGACCCTGCGTCTGCTTCAGTCGCGCCATCGCTGGAATGAATCTACAAGAATCACCTTAGTTTGGCTTCGCTGCTTTTCCCCTTGTCTTCTTCTTTCAGCGACCTCAAAAACGGACTTTCTTTTGCGGCTAACTGCTCCTGGATTCTTGTCTGCCATTGCAACAAACTTTGTGCTAACTGCGAGGAAGATATAGGTCAAAAAAAGCCGCTAAGAACTGTTGCATTGGTGGAGTAAACAGCGTCTGTGCGTCTTGCGTCTGTGGACTGCGTGACAGGCGTACGTAAACCACGTACCGGCGGCGCGCAGGCAGGTCAGTTACGCTAGAAACGTAGGGAGTTTGATTGACAGCCTGTCAGCTAACAGATAACGAGGCCGTGTCGTTATCTATTGGCAAATGTTTAGCTGGCCCCACCACGTCCAGAGTTGATGAATTTTTATTCTCTTTTTTTTGGTCATCATAATTACAAGGCTACTGCACCTCTATAATGCTATCATTGACAACTTGAAACAAAAAAAACAAAAAAAAAATCCTCCATACAACCTTTAATTATGTTTAGTAGCGACTGGGAAATTCCACGTCTGAATTATCCAAATAATTCAAGTGAAGGTGTATGGAGTTTAAAAACACAGTGGAGCATTACCATACGAAATCACGTGTGTCTGAGAGAAGAGCTCAGCTTAAATATGCAGGGTTTGTGAGTTAAACACATGTGAACCCAACTCAGGCATGTTTTTGATGAGGAAACAACATTATAACCAGTGTTGGGAGTAACCTCGTTTAAGTATAATGGTGATATTAACGGCTCTACATTTTCAGTAACGAAGTAATCTAATTAATTACACTCCCCATCGTTACAATGCTGTTATCGTGACCGGGAAAGCAAAGTCACAGGTTAAAATTGGGTTGAATGAGGCACCGCGGTGTCAGGCTTCATGCGGCGGACAGGAGTGAGGAGAGCGGGGGGACAGAGCAGGGTCAAGATGATTGGATAAGAAGTTGGGTGGGCGGAGTCTCTGCTCACGCTGCCGTGTTGTTGCTTTCCCGCACACTTCTAGTCAGGCTGGTGCCACCTAGTGCCTCCGCTCAAATTAATTTTTTTCCAGCGACTAGGTCAGGAATCAGAATACACTAGACGGTTCGCAAAAACCCCAGAAGTGCGAGTTCAGGCACCAGCCAAACAGTGAAGAGCCAGACATTCTGTGTTGGCAACGATTCCAGAGATCGAGGATTTAAAGCCGGAACAAAGAAAGCGAATGTTTGGTGAATTTTATCAAGGGGAAAGACATTATTGCCCTTCTTCCTACGGGATTTGGGAAAAGCTTAATATACCAGGTAGCCCTGTTAGCGGTGCATTACATACACAACCAAATAGCAGCGATTGGTTAAATAAAAAAAGTACCCGCCTACAGTCAAGTGAACAAACCCTAATGCTACGAGGTCAGACGGTTTAAACGAAGTGAAACCGGCAGATGAATCAGGCTAACACAATTCAGCTAAATGAGACAAACTCAATGAGAATGTGACAATGGCAACGACGAGAGACATTCAAAGGCAGCGCTTTCAAACTGGAAATACAGACAGTATTTCTCTCTCATTAAAATAAAGAGCAAGAATGTGTATGTTAAGTGGGAAAAAAATTCTGTCTGTGTCTACCTCAAGTAACACGAATCTAATGAAGGGTCTCACATCGTCACTAACACACCTCTCGCTGCTGTTAACGATATACCGTTAAATACACGCTGAAATATACTGTTCTTATTCTTCATTCAGTTACGATAAACTTCTTTGACACAATAGTACATAACATAAAAAATAACTGGATAATTACTTTGCTGAGTAATTACTTTTACAGCAACAGCTCAGTTACTTTATGGGGGAAGTAATTTGTAACTGTAACTTAATTACTTCTTTAAAAGTAAAATGCCCAACACTGATTATAACTAGAAATAATTACCGATTATTTAGAATCCAGGAGCCGATTAGTTCTGTCTATAATTTTGAGTCAATATGTAGGTCTTATTTTGCTTATTCTCCTCAAATGCAATGATGCAATGTAAATTCACTACAAACTCACCCACAGCCAATTTTTACCACAAACCCATAAGGCAGACATATCAAACTCAGGCCCAGGGTCCAAATTTGGCCCATGATTAGATTATATTTAGCCCGCAAGATCATATCAAATATGTATTAGAGCTGTCCACCGGCTACAGATAGACTATAGAGATATTATTTATTTAAAATGTTGTTTATTATTTTATACTACGCTTTTTCTGCATTCAGTGTTTAAGCAGACATGTCAAACTCAGGCCCGGGGACCAAATTTGGCCCGTGATATAATTATATTTGGCCCGCGAGATCATGTCAAATATGATGGGCTATAGAGACATTATTTTTTTATTATTTTATATTTTGCTCGTTCTGGATTCAATGTTTAAGCAAAACTATTATTAAACATTTACTATATAAGAAAAGGTTTAACATTACATCTCGAAAGAAGAGAAAACATGCAGATGATGTTAAAATTTTTCAATAAATATTTAGTTTGGCCGACAACCTAGTTCCAGTTTTTAATTTTGGCCTTTGAATTTGAGTTTGAAGCCCCTGCCATAAGGGAACTACTACTTTGTGCAGTCTTCTCTTTGTACTTAAGTGTTAAAGTAAAGCTTTGTGTGTGTTTTTAGGCAGCAGATTGACCAAAACAAATTATCGCTAAAAATTACGCTATAAAGTCCAAATATCGGGCTATATATATCGATCTATCGTAATATGGGCCCTTTAAACTAAAACATACCTTGATGCGGTGCGTGTCGACTTCTTCCACTGTGGCCACTCGTATCAGACCCGGACTCCTCCTGTCCACAGCCTCCAGCTTCATATGAGTCTGAAAACTGTGAGGAGGACGCTACAGAAAAGAAGGCGTTACTGTTTACTAGGGATGTAACGATATCCAAATTTCTCTGTACGATATTTTCACGATCTGCGTCTCACGGTACGATATTTATTTCAATATTTTGTAGAGGCTAACAAAATGTGAATATAATACGTTTTTCTTTACAAAAGCCTTTAAAAGTGCTTAATAAGTTGTGTCTTTGTGTAAACTGACTGAACCAGGACTTAAACATGACTGAACCAGGACTGAATCAGGACTAAACCAAGACTTAAACAGGACTGAACCAGGACTAAACCAGGACTGAATCAGGACTGAACCAGGACTGAACCAGGACTTAAACACGACTGAACCAGGACTGAACTAGGACTAAACCAGGACTAAACCAGGACTTAAACAGGACTGAACCAGGACTGAATCAGGACTAAACCAGATCTAAACCAGGTCTGAACCAGGACTGAACCAGGACTAAACCTGGACTGAACCAGGACTCAGCCAAGACTGAACCAAGACTTAAACAGGACTGAATCAGGAATAAACCAGGACTGAATCAGGACTAAACCAGGTCTAAACCAGGATTGAACCAGGACTGAACCAGGACTTAAACAGGACTGAACCAGGACTGAACCAAGACTAAACCAGGACTTAAACACGACTGAACCAGGACTGAACTAGGACTAAACCAGGACTAAACCAGGACTTAAACAGGACTGAACCAGGACTGAATCAGGACTAAACCAGATCTAAACCAGGTCTGAACCAGGACTGAACCAGGACTGAACCAGGACTGAACCAAGACTAAACCAGGACTAAACAAGGACTGAATCAGGACTTAAACAGGACTGAACCAGGACTGAACCAGGACTAAACCAGGACTAAACCAGGAATGAATCAGGACTTAAACAGGACTGAACCAGGACTGAACCAAGACTAAACCAGGACTTAAACACAACTGAAGGAGGACTAAACCAGGACTATACCAGGACTGAATCAGGACTGAACCAGGACTGAACCAGGACTTAAACAGGACTGAACCAGGACTAAACCAGAACTAAACCAGAACTAAACCAGAACTGAACTGGACTGAAAAAGAGCAAAGGATCGTGGTCTATGTAGTTCACTCTGTATCTTTTAGATATTACTGCGCCATAACATGGAATTTAAACAAAGAGACTTGAGATTCGAGATATTGTGATGGCCCACGATACTTCTGACGACACTATATCATATTTCAGTTATTGTTACATCCCTTTTGTTTATACTGAAAATACAGGAAGAGAAATGCACTTTACATTTTGCAGAAGTTACAAACCATTTTAAAAGCTTCAGGGGCCACAGCTCTCGCTCCGGTTTCCTCCAGATACCGTGACCAGGAGAAGAGGCTCTGGTCTGGGTAATCTAAAAACGTAAAGCACAAATAAATAAAAAATGAAGACATCCATTCAACTTTTTGTCATAACATCAATAAAATCTGTTATTAGTTTATGTAATAGTGTCTATAATCAGTGATGGGAAGAATACTTGAAATTATACTTATTTACTGAGTAGTAGTCCAATCAGAGTACTGTATACTACTGAATACTTCGAATACTTTTACATCGAACTGCATTAAATTATAGAGTAAAAACCACAGGCGGAGTTTGCAAGGGTCAGAGGCGTCACAATGTAGTAAAATTTTAAATATGTCAATAAAACCAAAAGGATTGTATGAAATAAATATGAATCCTAGTCTGAACCAGGAGTAAACCAGGACTGAACCAGGACTGAACCAGGACTGAACCAGTACTGAATCAGGACTGAATCAGGACTAAACTAGGACTTAAACAGGACTGAATCATGACTGAACCAGGACTAAACCAAAACTAAACCAGGACTAAACCAGTACTTAAACAGGACTGAACCAGGTCTGAACCAGGACTGAATCAGGACTGAATCAGGACTGAACCAGGACTAAACCAGTACTTAACCAGGACTGAATCAAAACTGAACCAGGACTGAACCAGGACTAAACCAGTACTTAACCAGGACTGAACTAGGACTAAACCAGAAGTGATCATTTCATTGTACAGGGCGTTTCCTTTACGCACTTTAAATCTTGAATTTAGTTAAAATGTTTGTCCCCCAGTGCAAAAGTCAAACTCCGCTTATGGTAAAAAACATGACGTACAACTATAAACAACTTTATTTTATGAATATTTATGTAGTTATGTATAAATTTATGCCTAATTAGAGACAAAACATACACTACATCTGCTCTCACTGCAAGAGTTCCCTTTTCTTGGCAGTTCAAAGCCAAAATTACATAATAAAGTATCACCATGTTACTGTACTTTTACTCTACTAACATAACATTTAGTAAAGTTAAGTAATAAACTGTACCAAAACACAGTTACTCAAAATTAGTATTCAGAACATGTATTTTCAGTTATATTCAGTTACTTCCTCACACTGTCTATGGTAAAAGTTAAACTGAATGACCTTGAGGTGGGGTCAGGGGGAGGTTCCTTTCCTGACACCAGCCAATGGGATGGATGTACGGGCTGCTGGAGTCACACCTGAGGAAACAAAGAAACACACATATTTAGAAATCTGGATGACATAAGACAGGCATTTAAATTAAAGTTTTTTTCAGATTTCACTTTTTTTAACTCATGAAAATTGTGTGTCTGTAGTAAAAACACAACATGAACTCATTTGTCTTTTGATTTGAAAGGCTGGGTTAGATTAGAAGCTTCCAGGAGCTCTCCACCCCCTTCCAAGTAGCTCGCCAAAGGATTTCTGAATTATACATACTGTGCTGAGTGGCTCAAATTTGATGAACTACCATTGTAAATTTATCATTTTGATGCCTAACTTTGTGCACTAATAAATGGATAAAGGTTTATATTTTATAGGTATCTAACTGTTCCCCATCTAAGTCTTTCCAGTGCTCAATTTCTTGTGACTGCCAAAATAAGCAGTACTTTGGCATTTTCTTTTTGTAAAGGAGCTCCCTGGAAGAAAAAGGTTGGACACCCCTGAGTTACATGTTTCTGGTAACAATATACAGTGAGAGCTTTGTCCACAATACCTCTGAATAGAAACATTATCACCCCTAGAAACAAAAAATATAATTCATCTAAAATAGAGCTCAAAATAAACAGCACTGTGACCACTGTTTGTACTTGCTCTTGCTGCCCCCTGCTGGTCTTTTACCCTCTACCTGTTTGTGTTTATCTTGACTGAGAATTGTCCATCATCTGTCCCGGGATTAAAAATGTAAAGCTCTAACTATTACAGTTGGCTCATTAATATACACTCTCTCTAAAATAAACAAACAAATAAACGATCTGTCTGATTTAAGCTTTAAGCCATGTAATCCTGCTATTACCTCATCAAAAACAGACCTGGAGTTGTATTTTGTTTCATTATGTTTGACTAACACTTTATCTTCTTTCTATATCACCAAAACTCAGAATGCTCTGTTCCAGCTTATGATGTCATAAAGTGGTAGTTTTCAAGTTAACAGCTCATTTTGCTTTTTGTTTAGTGGAGATTTTGCAGTTCCAAGGCTGAAATAAAACACAGTGAAGCAGAGGCGGGGACTTGAGTTACTATTTTTAAGACTTGAGAGAGCTTTGATAAAATAGACTGAGACTTGGGACTCGACTTGGACTTTAAAGGTCATTGACTTGGAACTTGAGGCCTGTGACCTGAGAAGACTTGATGCTTCTAAAAAAAGATAGAAGATTTTTGAAAATACTTTTCTCTTTACAGTTGAAAAATGTGGCGATTAATTTTACAGGAACAAACTGGAACATGTCGCTTCCACTTCTGATTTTTTACTTTGGATGTAACTAAAGTTCTGTGAGATGGTGTCATCAAAAGTACTACAGTAATATAAAGTACAAAACAGTAAAACAAAGGAAACCACAGAGATTACTGCATGATCATTCCTTTTCAGTGCAGACTACCTGATAAAATGACTGTTACTAAGCACTGTTAAATCTGAATTTTTTCTATTTTGACGGTAATGATTCACACTAAGGTTTTGTCAAGACACTTAAAATAACTCTTATATAAATACTCACATAAATATAACATGAATTTTTAAGTAAAATTTAGTTTAAAATTCATATAAACTGCAAAAACCAAATATAATCCAAATATATATTTGATACTTTGGTTTAAAGACTTGAAATGACTTGAAGCTCAAAGCAGATGACTTGGACTTGACTTGGACTTATGGGCCAGTGACTCGAGACTCGACTTGGACTTTCCTGTCTTTGACTTGAGACTTGACTGGGACTTGAGGTCAAAGACTTGAGACTTACTTGAGACTTACAAAACAACGATTTGGTCCCACCTCTGGAGTGAAGCACTTACTTTATTCTGACATCACAAGGTGGAACAGAATTCAGTCTAAATCTGCAGGGTTTGTGTATTAAACATGTGCGAATGAAACAAAACACAACTCCAGGTCTGTTTGTGATGAGAAAATAACATTATAACACAAATCAGAAAATAGTGAACCCTTTAAAGGGCCCATCTCATGCAAAATCAACTTTCAGAGCTTTCTACCTTCTAAGAGTGATATGTGGGCCTTGTGTTTGTCGCCAAAGTGGTTTTTAGATTGACACTGCGTTTTTTTTAACAAATTGCAGTGTATTTCTCCCACCCTCCCACATGACAACGAACTAAAGCTGCTATAACGATGACGCGGCAGCTACACCTATGACGTGTTTGACGTAACAGAAAGTGCTTCACACCCGCCCCCCTCCCCCGCTCCACCGCATTAGCTGACAATTCCCACATGAACACCTAAACAAAAGCGACAGCATAAGCTCATTGTTCCACACTGTAGTGTACACGATATAATAAGTTTATCTACTAGTGTTTATTAATACTTTATCAATCATGTTCAGCTGATGCTGATGTGGTTCTTTAGTTTCGTGCACCTCAAAGTCCTCGTCCGATTCCGGGTCCAACACATTCGGCTGAACGCGCTGTATCTCCATGATGAATAAAAGTTTATTCCTACCGCACGCCTGTCTCCCCGTCCCTCCCTGAGATGGGCGGAGGAAGGGCGGCTCACTCAGAGCCTACGTCACGTTTGGAGGGTGGAGCCTGTGCTTTCTCAGGACGGGCGGGGGGATGAGCAATAGTCGGCCTTTCATAGTTCCTGGTCTGTGACTGTCTCCAAGAAATCAGTAAGATTTCATAACTATTGTGTAATGGATGTTCCAAAACCCAAATTGTGCTTGTATTGTGCAGAAGATACAATGTGAAAAGAGTTATTTTGCATGAGATGGGCCCTTTAAGCACAGTCTGGTGAAAGTAATGGATCAAATAAAAATAAAACTTTGCTAAAACCAGACCAATAGTCGTATGTATCGTCCCAGTTGTCAAAGTGCACGAGGAAACGCTGGTCGACCACATCAGTCACCGTGGCAACACAGATCAGAGACGGATTCATGCGGTCCACAGCCTCCAGCTTCATGCCCATCTCAAAGCCACAGTTCACATCGGTCTGAACAGAAACAGGAAACAAAAACAGGTGAGCCTCTGTGAAGATGTGGTGTACTTTGAAATGTGATCTACAGTTATGAATAAATACCTTGCCAGGACTTGCAAACAGTTCTTTTGGAGCGACTTGTGCTTTTGTCATCTTCAAGTAGTTCGCCCAGGTAAACTCTTCTTCTTTACAGCCTGCAAAAGGACTCATTTCATTGTGATCTGGAGTGTAAATGTTCAGATCATAGACTGATCCTCACACAACTTTCCATACAAAGGGCGTGAAGAGAGGCGAGAAGCGAGTGTCAGTGCCCTCCAGACCTTTGTACATGCCAGCAGATAGAATCTTTGATGAATTTTCACTATCATATTGTTACTTAAAGTTCCTTGATGGAGTAAACTCTATTGTGCAATTATTTGTGCTTATGTACATTATTTACCAAAGAAATTTGCACATTATTACAAGGGTTTATACTTGTTCTTTGTTTACAATGTTCAGTTAAGTTTTCAGTCTGCAGTCATTGCACAAATCTTTGTTTGTAATAATGGATTGTAATAATTTATTTATTAAACTTTTAAAAATAATGTATTAATTTAACTTTCATGTTTGGTGTATTTGTTTTGGAAATAAAGTGAATCGCACTGATAAATTTTGAATTATTGTTAATTCAGGGCAGGGCGGGTGGTGTGGTGAAGCACCACAAAACATTTGTGCATAGGGCACCCAAATGGCTCGCAACGGCCCAGTGAGCATGGTGGTGCTTCTGGCTCTATAGCCTCTGGATCCAGTTGTCTTTATATTGAAAAACTGTCGCCTCGTCTTAAAATGTTCATATTAACTTTTTATTAATTAATTAATCATTGCATTTATACAGCGCCTTTCAAGATACCCAAAGCGGTTTACAGTTCATTGTTCATTCACTCAACACTCAGTGGCGGTAAACTACTATTGTAGCCACAGCTGCCCTGGGGCAGATCAATGGAAGCAAGATTGAAGTGTTTTGCCTAAGGACACAATGGCAGTTTTTGTGTGGCACCTGATTTTCCCAGTGGTCTCCCATCCAACTACTAACCAGGCCCGGCCTTGCTTAGCTTCTGAGATCTGACGAGATCAGGCAAGCCGGTATGACCTCAAACGTCTTAACCCACTCTACATGATCCTGGTGTTTTTATTTAGCAATTTCTCCTATACCTGCTGCCTCAGTGAGCTTCATTTGACTGGAGCCGAACACTATAGGCAACGTCAGACTCCCTCAGTCCACTTCTTTCTACAGTCTGTGGTTTAACTGCTCTGTATGGTGCTGGCTGGGGCATAACTTCACATACTTGTGGTTTATTTCACCATTGCTTGCATTCTCTCAGTGTAATATCTAAACATGTATTCTGTGTCATTGCATAGTGTTGTGTCTGACCTTTCGGAGTGTGCAACTTGTGTCCTGTCGCTTCACACCAGCCCGTGGGGTGGATATCTGAGGAGTTTGCGTTCACCCAGAAGTCGTGGCAGTCTGAGTATCCATCGAAGTGGAGCCGGAGCCGATACCCACACACCTGAAATAAACAGTTAAGCTGCCTCAAGAAATGATGCTGATACACAATCATCTCGTTCTTAAAAAAATCAATGTTAAACAAACTGTGATGAAGTGATGTACTGTATTTTCGGACTATAAGTCACACTTTTTTTCATGGTTTGGGTGTTTCCTGAGACTTATACTCCGGTGCAACTTACATATTGAAATTTTTCTGACAGCTGCGAGAGGCTCTAGTCTTGTGTGTCAGTATCTGCTGCTTCTGTTCCACCTGTACCACAGTCACTTGGCTCTACTGCGCATGTCTCCTGCAGAAAGAGCCTCTGTCCTGTCTGTATCATGTCAGTCGATCACACCATTACTTCTGTACCACTGAAAATTTAATATTTAAACAAACTTATAAAGACAACAGAGAAGACTGAACACAAATGCCCTCAAAAAGAAAATCATAGACAGAAATCTGCAGCTGAAAACAATAATCGAGCAGCAGAAAGAAAGTTTGGAGTGAGAGAGAAACTTGTGACACCGGGAAGGTGCACCATGAAACTTTCCTGAAGTCACTAGATGAATCGACAAAGCCTGGACTTCAGTGAAACCAAAACCATCCTGTCGGGATTCAGAAAGGCTGGAATAATTCTAACTGGAACTGATGCTGAGTCTGACGACAGCTACACAGAAGAGAAAGCGGTGCTCTGTTTACCTCCGGAGGTCGAGGCCGAGTTGCTCAGAAGTGACACCGAGGATGAAGAATTGAATGGATTTAATGATTTGGAGTGAGATGGAGAGTCTGGTAAACTTGTTCTGTTCTGTTGTTTATGTTATAGTTATCTGAAGAACTGTTCATATGTGACGTTAACAGTCTGTTGTTCTCTCTTCTATTGTTATTACTAGAACTTGACTTTGAAGATGAAATGTCGGTTCCTGGTCTCTGATTTTATAAAATTAATTTCCCCCAAAAAGTGCAACTTATAGTCCGGTGCGACTTATAGTCCGAAAAATACAGTATGTGTTTTCTGCCTATTCCCCTCATGATAGAAGTTGCTGTTGTGATGTGATTTTCTGTTAATGTGTTTTCGCATGATTTTATTATGAGAGTAGACCCCAGAAAGAGTCTGCAATTACAGAGACTAATGGGGATCCTTAAATAAACAATAAACAATAAACAGTGACAGTAACACAACAGTGTACTGAGAACTGCACCTACAGAGGGCGCCACTCACCTCGGCCACAGTCAGGACAAAGTACATGGAGGGATGCTGTGGATCGATGCCTTCCAGCTTCATGCCCTGTTTGAAGCCATTTTTCACAGTGGGGACCCTCTGAGACTGAAGAGAGAAAATGATTTTAAAAAGTGTTTTTAAAGGCTGGGCTCAATATAGCACCAATCACGCCTCGTTAACAACTCTCTGTCCTTCTAAAAGCACATCGAACAGGTTTTCATGTTTTTCTAATTATTGATTATCTTATTTTGGTGGAATAGTACCTGTAGTAAATATTTATTATCGTTATATTTGTCGTGTCGTGCTGTCAACGTTAATGCGGTAAAACACAAGATTAATCACAAAAAATGGAAGAAACAACACAAATTAACAAAGATCAATAACAGTTTTGACCAATCATGCAAATAAGATGCCAAATAAATGGGCCAAATATTTCACAAAACTGTTACAGAATACTAAAAAATGCCAGACCAACTTTAAAAGCTTTTATCTGTCACCAATAGAGCCAGTTACGCCCGCAAGCGGCAATGAAGGGCCTTTAACCCATTGACGCCGGATGCTGCGCAGCGCAGCGCTGAGTCTCCTGTTGTGCTAACAGTGACAATGACAGTTAAGACACAGACAACATTTTTGTGTTTGACCATGTTTATTTGTTACACGACACAGCGATATGGCACCTGTTATAGGAGCGTCTGGAACAGCGACTAGATCAAGTGGTTGAGCGCGTTCGTGCGCTGGCAGTAAAGTGCAACATTTGTTACTTCAAACGCCAGGTCTTGATGGGAAAATGTGCGGGATACATTTGGATTATTTTTCAATGGGGAAATAATATGCCATGATAAAGAAGGTTTAACGCGACAATACAGCTCCGGCAGTTTTGCGTCTCTCTATGGGAGTGAATGGAAGCGAGAGGAGGGCACGCCCCCCATAATTCCAGAAGTGGCTCCGCCTTTACCAGTTACGCCAGACAATCCGGAACACCGACAGGAGACTCAGTGCTGCGCTGCGCAGCATCCGGCGTCAATGGGTTAATCCCATTAAGCCCGTTGTTTGATCATGTACACTAACCTGGAACACAAATTCATTCATTATGAAATTCTAAATTTATAGTCTTAAATTATTGCCAATTGGTCTTTAAAATAATAAAATTAGATTTGAAGAAAAATTAAATGAGACACTAAATAATTCAATAAAATAAGATAAAATAAGACACTAAATAATTCAATAAAATAAGATTAAATAAGACACTAAATAATTCAATAAGACAAATGCTTAAAACAATAAAGTAGAACCTTTAAAATGCCTTTTTATGGTGATTAATCATATTTCAAGTGTGATTCATCTGTTTACATTCTTTTAATCGTTTGGCAGCACTAATTATTTGTGATTGGAGAAGTCACATTATAGTGCATACAGATACCAGTTATTATCTGTAGAAGCACTATAATTCATTTTCCCATTTTCTTGTTTGAATTCATTTTGGTACAAAAATTTTAATTTAAAGGTGAGAGTGAATGCTAATTTTGAATTTCACTTCGTTTTATGTTTTTTGTCTATAACTGCAATAATTGTGCATAAAATGTGTACAGTCGTCCCTTGCTGTAACGCGGTTCACCTTTCGCGGTCTCGCTGTTTTGCGGATTTTTTTGTGCAATTTTGCATGATTTTTTTTTTTTTTACAGCGTATGAACGTGCATTGAGTTCCTCCTCCTGCATCCTGATTGGCTAAGGGAGTGTAGACCTTTGTCAATAGGAGGGTTTCAGTCACGTGATCACGATGATGCGCGAATTTCAGGTGGAGGGTAGGAAGTGAAGACAAACTCGACGAACACGGCTCTGGAGAACATAGATATGGAGAAGAGTTCTTATTGTAAGGATTTAGAGCCAGTAGCAAAGCAAAAGTACGAGCAGTTAGTCGACAAATATATTGGGCGTGACCCCATCTTATTGAAAATGAGAGAATTTTCAACCGAAGTAAAAGATTTGCCGACAATCGAGGCAAAGGATATCACAAACTATTTAGCTCTTCAGACATCGTTCTACACCAGACAACAGATGAAGGCGTACAAAAGTTTGGAGGCATATAACTTTTTTTGTCAGTGGATGGGTCCTCAACCTTGGTGCAAAACGTCTAAATGATGATTATCGTTTGGTCTTCGCCGGGGTGAGTGTTTCTCTTATTTTATGTGTATAGACTGTTATGGGAAAAACTGCAGTGTATCGGCACTAACCTCTATCTGAAGTATTTAATGTCAACAAACGGTGTTAGCCGTTAGTCGTTAATGATTCGTTTAATTTTAGGTAAACCACAAAAAACAATTTAGCTTTGTAACAAACCTTTGACGAAGTGGTCACTGCAGATACGAGCATTAGCGAATTCTGCTCCTCCCGACCGCAAACAGGTTTGTAATCCACTTTTTACGGCGTTGTTCTGTCAGCTTTTCCCATTTCTGACCTTTGTGGACGACTATATTCGGTACTCTAAAAAAATCGCTTTTCCTTCTCTCGGTTAGAACAATTGGCACAGCCGTAAACTACACAACACATCGGCATTTTCCTCCAATCAGTTCACTTCCTGCCCTCCATCTGATTTTGCATGCTGACAAACGTAGCCCTGTGACATCACATGAAACCCAGCTAATCAGTTTCCTCCGTGCCGTGTCTCCTGTACAATACAGAATGTGTTCAGCTTGACAAATTAACTTAAATGTTTGATCTCTAGCAGTGTGATTCTGAAGTGCTGTATGTTTGCAAGTTTTCCCCCTGACAAAACCCACAATGTCGACGAAAGGTTTTGCAGCGACAAAGGCTCCTACGGTTGCACCCAAGGAAGACACTAACCATCACACAAAAAGTTGGATTTCTGGACACGCTGAAGGAAGGTAGAAGTTACACACTGTAGCAGAGTCCTGCACCGGGTCGGGGTTCCTGGTTCAGTCCTGGAATCAGTCCTAGGTTAGTCCTGGGTTAGTCCTGGTTTAGTGCCAGTTTAGTCTGTGGCGTGTGCGATGCAGAAGTGTGGCATCTCGATCAATATTTCTTCTGCTCAGTAAATAAAGCCTGTGAAGTGATGACAGTCGAGTCATGCCTGTGAATTTGTGTTCGTACTGAAGAAAGCGTAATAGTTTCATTTCGTGACTGTAATTCTTGAAGCCATAACTTTTCAATTCATATTCTGATGGATGCTTCAGTTAGAATGTTTTTAATTTGTGTGTGATTTATCACAGAAACGGGCAACGGGTTTAACCTTGATATAATCACAGGTTAATAAGCAGGTGTAGGTCTCCAAAAATGGACCCGTGCAGGACTCTGTGTGGCGCTGTAGGGAATTACGGAATAAATTCATCTTTGGTTCGTTACATAAAGAAGGAGGAAAATAACAAAAGGACGACAGCAGCAAAAAGTTTTAAGAAGGATGTAAAAAATCTTGTAACTGTCCTGTGTGAGAAAAGTGTATAAAGTCTGTGCTGAGGGGTTTTACAGCCTTAAAACAGATATAATAATGACTACTTTGCTGATTTCGCCTATTGCTGGTTATTTTTAGAGTGTAACCCCCGCGATAAACGAGGGACCACTGTAATCTATAAAACTAACAGTACGAACATTTTTAAAAATGTAACATGCAAAATTTTATTGATTTGTCCTTTCTAGTAGCTCATTTGTGAAGTATTTCTACAGAGAGATTACCTCACGAAAAAGCTTGGTGGGTGCAGCGATAGATTTGGTTTCCTCCAGATACTGAGCCCAGGTCCACAGCTCTGTTTTATTGTCTCCACCTTCACCAAAACATCAGATTCATTAGTTTTTGCTTTTAAACAGAAAAAAAACCCCACAATTATTATTATTATTTAGTCTTACCTCCTCGGATAAGTCTGCAGTCAGATTTATTGTCATCCATTTTCTCATCCTGGAATAAATGAAAGAAATAAAAAAAAGATCACTTGATACTTCGCAACTGATGGCATCAACATTCCCATGTTGGGTGAAGCTAACTAGAGGCACCGCTCTGTCTGAAGGTCTGTTACTCATGTTAGCTGATCTAAACTATCTGCACTTTGTTTAACATCTAAACCAGGGACAACAGGTCGAAATTAGCTCTAGTGCTACAACCTGGTAGAAAGCATCTCTCCTGTTAAGGTTAATGTATATTGTGCACTGTCCCTGTCTCATGAATAAACTAAATAATAAATAAGTAATTCTCAAATAACATAACTAATAGCCAACAGTTTTTCAGTTATTCACTCTCACCTTTTTGGTTGAAAATCAAACTCCTAAACAGGGTCCTAAGCACTTGTAATGATCTCGGCTCCAAAAAAATGTGTTGTTTAAATCAATTTAGTAATTTTCTCGAGTTTACAGACCACACAAGGCGTGTTTACAAATCTTTACATTGTGTCACCATGAAAGCTGCTGAATAATAATGTTAATGCAAAATATCAATTCCAACCATAGACTGTATAAAGAAGTGGACTGAGGGAGTGAAACGTATCAGCTGGGTATCATTAAGAAGTTGCCCATATGATACACACCTCGATACATATGCCATGATACTATATGTATCTCGATACAGTGAGCTTTTGATTTGATACAGTTTGATACGATATATTTCAAATCAATTAAATACAGTTCAATTATAAATAAAGACTAAATCAGAGGTGTTAAACTCAAATTCACAGAGGCCAAAATTAAAAACTGTGATTTAGTCGTGGGCTAAACTAAATATTTATTGAAAAATTTCAACAACATCTGCATGTTTTCTCTTCTTTCGAGCTATGTAATGTTGAACCTTTTCTCATTAAAATAAAAGTCTAATAATAGTTTTGTTTAAACATTGAATCCAGAACACGAAAAATATAAAGTAATACCAAAATTTTAAATAAATAATGTCTCTATAGTCTATCTGTAGCCAGCGGGCAGCTCTAAAACATATTTGATATGATCTCACGGGCCAAAGAATATTATATCGTGGGCCAAATTTGACATGTCTGCACTAAATCATGGCCGTGACACTAAAAGTCTTTGTTAAACCACGTCTTGTGCAAAAAGAATATGAAACACAAACATTTTAATACTCAAAACTATGAAAATGTCAAATGTGTTGCATAAACAAGCTTCCTTCCTCTGAACAAGCAACAAAACTGTAGCGCTGTAACAAAATAATAAAAAAAAATATATCGAAAAATACTCTTGTCAATATGTCGATACAGCAGCCCACGATATTAATATTATGTCATCACATTAAATGACGCGATATATCAATATTACGATACTTTTGCACACCCTTACCCATAACATTGAGCTCCAGTCAAATGAAGTTCACAAGTTATGGGAGTTATAGGAGGAAATGTAGAAAAATAAAAACACCAGGATCATGTAGAGCGGGTTAATACAAACATTTTAAGACCAAAATGATGAAGCTCACTGCAGCAGATAGAGAGAAAGACAACAATTTTTCAATGTAAAGTCAATTGGAGCCTGAGTCGATGGAACCAGAAGTGTCTCCATGCTCAGTTCTTATTTGGATCGCGGCGGATAGCGGGTTCCTATGTCCATTTATAAATACAGTCTATGATTCCAACATATGAAATGATGTTTGTATGTGAGTATGTCATTAAAATCCTGTCCCACCGTTCCCTCTAAGTCCGAGTCCTCATCAGACGGACTCAGATATTCTTTCCTTTTCCTTTTCCTCATTGGTTTAAGGTGATCTGCGTTCAGTGAGACCCTCCCTCCTGCAGGCACCTTCTCCACAACGATGGTCCTCCTGACACAAACGAGTAACAAGTATAAAAATATAAAAAAAAATATATGGCAATCAAATATAATACAACACCAAGAGCTAAGAATCTAAAGGGCGCTAGAGAGAGCATTTGGTAATTTTTTAACAAAGCCAAACACTTTATATATACTGTATACATAAATATTTTTGTATTTTTACTTTACACTTATATTTACTATTTTATATTTCCACATTCCACTTGCTTATCTTTTTAATTTCATTTCTCTATCGTAGAACATTCTAGACAAAACAATAACATCTCCATGGAGACAAGCAGGTGACAGATCCCCCTGCAGAAAAGTTGTGCAATGCACCTTTTATCGACTGATTTGTATTAAAAAATGTAAATACTCATGTAAATAAAAATGTTACAAAGAAGGAAAATAAGAAAGTAAATAATAATGTAAATAAGATTGTAAATGAAAATGTAAATAAGATTGTAAGTAATAATAATAATGTAAATAAGACTGTAAGTAATAATAAATAATACTTACATGAAAATGTAAATAATAGTATATAATAATGTAAATAAGTCTGTAAATAAGACTAAATAATAATAAATAAGACTGTAAATAAGACTGTAAATAATAAAAAATAAGATTGTAAATAATAATAAATAATAATATAAATAAGACTGTTCAGACTCTGCCCTTAGCGTGTGGGGGCGTGGCCTGTACTGTACTTGTCTGTGATTGGATCCCTGCGCAGCTCGTCCCCGAAGCTCCTCTGTGTGGACTTGGGGATGTGGTTGTGAAGTGCAGCTCCAGTTGGGACCTCGGCTTTGATCTGGACGGAGGGGTTAGCCTGGACCTCAGTTTTAGTTGGTACCTCAGCTTTGGTCTGGACCTGGACTTTGGTCTGGACCTGGACCTCAGTTTTGATTGGGGCCTCAGTTTTGGCCTGGACGTCAGTTTTGCTCTGGACCTCAGCTTTGATCGGGACTTCTGTTTTGGGCTGGACCTCGGCTTTTGTCAGGACCTCGGATTTGGTCGGGACATCAGTTTTGGTCGGAAGCTCGGGTTTGGCCAGGACGTCAGTTTTGCTCTGAACCTCAGTTTTGCTCATTACCTCAGTTTTGGTCTGGACCTCGACTTTGGTCTGGACCTCGACTTTGGTCTGGACCTCAGTTTTGGTCTGGACCATTGGCCTCTTCTGGACCGGTCCCTCTGGCTCCACGACTGGGGACCTCACAGTGACAATAGGAGGAGACACATCTGTTAAAGACACAACAACTTTATTTATGGTGACTGAGTTTTGAGAGAAAAGGCAAAGTCAAAAACAGACTCCATTTTGAAAAATTTACAAAAAGAGTTGACAATAATGTACAGTGGATTGTATTAAGAAGGGATGGAATTAGACTAAGACTTAGACAAACTTTATTGATCTACAAGGGAAATTATTTGAACATTTGGACAATTATTTGGAATAATATTTTGGAAGCAGTAAAACAGACTTTGCTTTTAAAAAACATTGCTGTTATACTAAAGGCCGCCACACACAGAATTTGCCCGATTTATGCTGCAATTTGCTTCTCCCCGAGTTCAATTTTGAAGCCACTGCGCTCCTCATGTGTGGTGTCAGTGTGACTTTGAGCTGCTCTGTCAGATCGTAACCATCAAACATCATCAACGCTACGATAACAGCCGATAAAACAGAGTATCAGGGGCAGAGGAGTGATGGAGACAGAACTACAAGATACAAACTTGGGGTATAGCGAAAGTAATGAGTCGACTTTATTACTCACCTCTCGTAAAGTGGTAAATTTAAACTGCAGCATCTCATCTACATTATCTATAGAATTTATTCTCTGCAAATAATGACACCCAGTCCACAGAACACTGCTGTTAATCCAATTTGAAGTGTTCTTTAAAAGTAAAAAGGTGGGAGTAGTTCCTCACATGTGTCTGTTTAAATCCACACAGCGCATGGATCGAGGTGAAGCTGCAGATTAGTGATAGTGACTCTACTTCCTGTGGGCTTTATCTCCAACTTTCTGTCCATTAAAAATCATGTAGCTGAAGTTTTGCATAAAGGTGAAAAAATCTGATTTGGGTCACTTCAGGCTGCAGTCTGAATGGAGCCTTAGTTACTGTAGGAATGCTCCCAGCCTATAACATTTTGCTTATCGATAAAAATCTGTGCTATAAATGGAGGACAGGTCCAGCTCTGTGTGATGTACCTTTCTTTTCCACTGGAGCCTTGTCTGAGTCAGTGGATTTCCCAGAAGGCCGTGCTGCTGCTGCTGCTGCTGCTGGCTCAGGCGTGCTCCCCGTGCTCCCTGGAGTGATTAGTGTGCTTAGAGCCCCCACGTCACTCACACAAAACTGAACAAAAAAGAAGAACAAAACACGGGATTTCAGACTCTCTATGGAGAATACTCTTTATTTAATGTAATTTTACAACTAGAGCTGCGACTAACAATTATTTAAGATGACCAGTGATTATTTTGTGAATAAGTCAATGAAAAAAGGTTGAAATGTGATGACGAAATGTTTCTAAATAGACAATATTTACGAATAAATTGCATTATTCCTGAAAATCAGAAATAGTTTATTCTATTCAGACATTTATTGAATAAAGAGTTCAACAAAATATATAACACAGTATTTTCATGCAGAGCAAAGGTTATTTCGATGTCTTATATTTACTTCTACTGAAACAGAACCCCGTAACCCTGGTAATGCGGAGGTGGGTGGGCTCACCTTGAGGTTGGTGCTGGGCAGGATGGCCATGCCCTCTTTCCACTCCAGCACATGGACGATGCTACAGGCTCCCCCCACATGGGCCGTGAGGGGCGTGGCCTTTGTCCCGTCTCCCAGGGTTACGGCCTGAGTCACCTCCACTTTCTGATGAGTGGGGACGGGAGCTGAGGAGCGTTATGAAAAGATGTATCATGTAATAAGTTCAATAACAGTCACCTCCTGTGGCGCTGCGTTAATGTGACTCCCCAGTGATGTCAATGATTCTTAGAGTAAAACATGATCATTTTACAAAATATTTCAGAAACAGGGCTATTTTTGTCCAACCCTCAGCAGCAGCTCCAGCCTGTGGTGCCATCTGCTGAGCAGTCGGTGCTTTTAAGCTCATATACTAAATCTCATGACAACATACGGACGTGTTGACTGATCTGCAGTATTTAAACACATATTCTTATGATAATTATTGTGTAATAAAAATACAATGTGGGCTTCTCAAAAGTCAAATAAAGGTTAAGTAATGTGTATGTAGGAAAAAGGAAACTAAATTGTTGTGCATAACAGTGAAGATTTTTGTTTGCAACTGATTAATAATTGTGCCTGAACTGAAATGTACTGATTTGAAATGTTTAGTAACTATCAGTGTTAATGTTCTGTCTGGAAAAGGGAAAAAGAGGGCAGATAACATAAGATGACTCTTCTTTCTGCTCCTTTTCATTAATTTCTTGTATGTTTGATGTTGTGACACTGTTGATGTCTTTTTATACTATATGAATGATATAAATAAACAAATAACAAAAATAAGCACTGACAGATACAATGCAGCACTGTAGTTCCTGCAGAGGGATTCTAGTGGACCTCAAACACAGAGCAGGAGGCCCCAGAGCTTTTCTACACATCATAAATTAAATTCAACTGTCATAAATTGACCACGTTTCAAATAGGAAGTGAGAATGGAGGTGCTTCCAGCTCCATTGTCTCTAATAGACCTTTTTCACAACGGCCGGAAGTGTCCCACTTTAGGTTTGCGGAACTTTCGGTTAATGGTTTTCTGTGGAAAAATATGTGTGGAAATGTCTTGCGTATTCTCCACCAGCTTCATAAATCTGCCCCATCACCAAATCTTCAACCAACAAGGTCCACAAAGGATAAACATTCTTCCATGGAGAATTTATCCAGAACTATCAAGGTAAGAAAGATGAATAACGACAAGCATTAGTGAACTACTCAGCAAAACTAACATGATGGTTTCTGAGAGATGTCTCGCGTTCAAACTGCACAAATCTCTCTGTCTATGCTAATATCTGCATCATGAAATAAATTTTTAATTTTAATTGTAGAATCAGTCTGAATGAACAAGTTACTTAAGTTTTATTCATGATCATAATGTTAGTTTTGTTCAGTAGTTCACTTATGCATCGTCGTTGTTCGCCTTTAAGTTTACATCTTTTTTCCCTTGATAGTTTTGTTTGTGGACCTTGTTGGTTGAAGATTTGGAGATGGGGCAGGTTTTTGAAGCTGGTGGAGAACACAAAAGACATTTCCACAGACATTTTGCCTTAGAAAACCATAAACCGGAAGTTCCGCAAACTTAAAGCGGGACACTTCCGGTCATTGTGAAAAAGATCTATTGATTTGACACTGAAAAACTGTGGCCCCTCTCTGTTAGTTTTGCAGTGAGCCTCGTCATTTTGGTTTTATAATGTTCATATTAACTTCACTTTACATGATCCTGGTGTTTTTACTTCATCATAACGGCTTAATTTGACTGGATCTTCGTCCTATGGTCTGTGCGTGGTACCTGGGAGGAGCAGGGCGGTGGTGGTGGTGTGGGGCTGGGCTCTGGGTTTGCTCTTGGGCACAGCGTCAGTGCCACAGAAGAGGATGGTCTCGGCGGAGGAGGACGGGCCGACGGGAGGAGGAGGAGGGCCTGGGGGCGGGGCCATGGGGTTGTGGTCCTGCTCTGTGGGCGGAGCGTCGGAGTTCACTTTGGCGCTCATGACCACTTCGCTGTCCCTCACTCCGGAGCGCTGGAAACAAAGGGAATCATTAACAGTGGACTTTGACAAACCAGATATTTAGGCTCTTTCTCAGATATCTAGTTTCTTTCTTTCTCACAGATGTATGTTGTGGTACGAAGCTTATTCGCATAATTAAACTGATTTTCCAGTGACGTATATTCCCCATATTCCCCACATCAACAAAAATATCAAAATATCGATATATCGTATTAATCCGTGTATCATTCGTTCATTTGTTTTTCAATATAAAACCAAAAATAAGAAAGCGAAAAAACAACAGTTTTCTTCATTATTTGTCTCCAAAACCAAAATGAAAAAACAGATAATGATTTGTTTTTTCAGTTTTCGAATTTGTGTATAAATGAATACCGGAAAAAAACGATAACGGCCATTTCCTGTCTCCGTGACTTTAACTGCGATGCCGGACTTTTGTGCCTCATACGGACTGAACCAGGACTAAACCAGGTCCGACCAAACCGGAACGAGACCGGGACCAGACCAGGACCAGACCAAAACTGAGACCGGGACTGAGACTAGGACCAGACCGGGACCAGACCAGGACTGAGGCCGAAACTGAGATCGGGACCAGACCGGGACCAGACCAAAACTGAGACCGGGAGTGAGACTGGGACCAGACCGGGACCAGACCACAACTGAGACCAGGACTGAGACCAGGAATGAGACCAGGACTGAGACTGGGACCAGATCGGGACCAAACCGGGACTGAGGCCGGGACCAGATTGGGACCAGACTGGGACTGAGAGAAGAGTAATTTTTTGGTATATTTCACTAAATGATTTTGTTACAGAGCGACAGTTATGGTGTTTGCTCAGAGGAAGGAAACTGGTTTATGCAACACATTTGACATTTTCACTGTTTTGATGATGAGTAAATACAGTGTGTCAAATTACTCGTCTGGAATAATCCACAGGTGAGACAAACTGCCTCAGAAACTCCAGTGTTCTCAATAAATATGCCACAACTATTTCAGGATTTTGTTTGACATGTTTCAATGAAATACATAGTTAAGACCTTCCTAAAAGTGTTGTTTCTGAATGATTTTTGAAAAAATTTTTGAGCTATTTAAGTTTTTTGTGTTGCGCTGCTTACAAATTATGTTCATGGCAGCAGGTAAGGAAATAATCAACAGTTACAGATGGTATAGGACATGGGGAACAAGGAAAAAATTATTTAAAATATGATTTCATAGAAAACTTCTGTGAGCAAAAGAGGATTATATTGATATTACAGACTGAAAAAATGTGTGCCACTTTGGGAAGATCTGTAAAATGACACAAACAAGGCCCGACATTTGGTCTCGCTACATTCCCATTTAATTTTATTATGTTATAGATGCTGATTTTCTAACTCAATACATCACACACTAAAGGTCGGCGAGAATGTTGAGGGGGACGTTCCTGCAGAGAGAATGGGACGCTCAAGCTGGTTCCCGACACCACAACGTGACGTTTGGGGTCAAGCCCTTCTTCAAAGATTCTGTTTTAGTTTTTGGACGCAGCACGCAGTTGCAATTTTTGTTGGATGTGCATGTCTCTATCTATCAATATTATGACCATGTTTATGGTAATCACAATGGAGACAGGTTAATGGCCAGATCTATGGAGAAGCGAGCCTGAACATGACAAGGATTCATGTTTTTTTTATGGTATTTTTTGAGCAATAAAACTCTAATAGCTATAATTGAACAAATTAAAGGGAGGTATGTTTAAAGCAGTTACCGTATTTTCTGCACTATAGGGCGCACTTGAAAGCCTTTAATTTCATCAAAAAACGACTGCGCGCCTTAGAATCCAGAGCGCCTTATATATGAATTTATTGGGGTGTCTTCGTATGACTTCAGTAAACTACAAAGCCACTCCACTTGCAGCATTACGGCTCCCGTAGTCATGAGCATCAGGAGTAATACATATTGTGATTCCTTTTAATATCAAAATGCACCTGTCAAGAGACACGCTCACAACGCCCACTTTAAACTCAAGGCTGTTATAAAGTGAAAGTGCGAGCTGTGTGGGAGCAGTGGATGAGAGAAGGAGAACACACATTCACCAAGACAGAGAGACAGCGCCGAGCGACTTGCGCCACGATCAGCCAATGAATCGTGGATGCCCGGGCTAAGGATCAGTATCAACTGTGGTCCAAGCTTTCACCAAGACCGGAATCATCACTGAACTCCAGGTAACAGTAACCACACTGACTCGGATAATGATGAGAGGGATGTGGGCGTGCTGGACGCCGTAATCGCCCAACTGTTTGAACTATTATGAGTTATTGTGAATAAACTAACAATTTAGCGTCTCAGACAGTATTTTTTTTTTTTTACGCGTTACAATTGAACAAAGTTGACAGTTATTGTGAACGTGTTAAATAAAGTTTGACTGACTTATTTAACTGTTGTGTTTCATTTAATGCCCCTTATATTCCGGTGTGGTTTATTTGTGAAAAAAGTTTGAAAATAGACCATTCAATGACAGTGCGCCTTATAATTCAGAGCGCCCTATAGTGCAGAAAATACCGTACATAGAGCACCTTTGTGTTAAATTGAAGTTCTAGTAGTAATTCTTAGACATAGTCCTTTCCTGTTTGAGTAATATTTGACTTGTGAAAAAGTTCTGGTTCCTCTTCCCACTGTAAGTAAGTCAACAAGAAGTAACTGAATATACGTAAGAATAAACTCACTTCAGGATACTTATTTTGAGTAACTGTAGTCTGGTACAGTTCCTCTTTCATTTGGCGGTGCTCAGAAAAAATACAGTTCATCTCAAATCAAAGGAAAAACATGGCAGGACTTCACACCATTTAGGCTTCAAACTGCACATAATTAGAGAGAAAAATATAAAACGCTGCTCGTGTGGTGAGTTCATGTGTGATTTTTCCATCCCCAATTAGTGATAGGAAATGCATAACAAACAGTGAAACAAACATAAAGCTGTTTTTAGTCTTATGTTGCGTTTTTTACACTATAATTTAAATGCAAATCTATGTAAAAGTATTCTAAGTGTTCAGAGTACAGTACTCTGATTGGATCATATATCAGAATGTGTAACAAACACATTTTAATGCAGGTATTTAGTATTCTGTAATTAAATACATGTTCAAAGTATTCTTTCAATCAAAGTCATTCACTCGTTTCATTGACTTAAAATGATAAATCAGTTGTTACTCTTATTTGAGTAGCAGTAATACTTTTTGTACTTCTATTTTTGTTTTTAAGTAACAGTGCTCTCATTTATTTTTGTTCATTTTTACTCTTGCCACTTCTGCAGTACAGCATAGTTATAATTCAGACTTTTATAACTCACATAAATGTAGTTAAATATAGACTGTAACTAAATACATGTTCAAAGTATTCTTTCAGTCACTGTCTGCAAGTGACACTCCTTCAAAAATAATATAGTTTACCAGATTATGTGCATTATTTCATGTTTTGAACTTCCAATTTCATTGATTTAAAATGATAAATCAATTGTTACGCTTTGAATTACTCTAATTTGAGTAACTTTTCCCACAAAGATTTTTTGTGCTTCTATACGGTGACCACGAGTGCGAAATTAAATTAAATTAAATGTTATGCACTTGGATCATTCATGACATATTCACGTATCGTTTTCAGTAGCTAATGGGGATCTAAATAAAAACAAACAAACAAACAAAAAAAACAAAAAAACGTGAGTCAGTATAGTCACATTTTCTTTGTGTTTTGGTCATTTTTAAGCAGCTTTTCGGTATTTTACCTAAACAAATGTCAATTTATGCCTCTCTTTACTGTTGGCAGGGATCAAATTTGTCAAAAATAGACACACCTGGGACATTTCTTGTATAAAACTGGGACAAATAAATGGTTTTGTGTAAAAAATGTGTAAAGGGCTCAAAACTCGGTCTGTCCTGGGTAAATAGGATCGTCTGTTCATCCTATTTCTATTATTGTTTCGAATTTAAAGTACTTACATTTATTTTTGTTCATTTTTACTCTTCCCACTTCTGCAGTACAGCATAGTAATAATTCAGAGACTTTTCTAACTCACGTAAATACAGGCAAATATAGATAAACAGATCGTAAATTGACTGCAAATACTGTAATCTGGTGAAATGCACTTTTAGAAAAGCTTGCAGCAGATCACTAACAAGGTTACTCAAAGTTAGTGGCCATTTGTGATTTGTAATAGGGACTAATATGAAGTCAATGTAAAAAAAATCTAATTAAATATTGAAGTTTCTCTCATTTATTTCAAGCAAAAGGGATTGTAATTGAATAACCATGACCCTGAATGACTTAACAGCGCCTTCTATTAATAAAAAACACGATGAAGCAACATTTATTCTACAGAAAAGCAATTGGGTTAAAATGGCGGAGGATGTAACACAACGTTGAGCCAACAAAATGTGTAAAAGGCAATGAAATTCTCGTTTTTTTCCCCTGATAAATTTACCCTGTCACCCGCCCGGCTTACGTCTACAAAACCGGTCCCATTTTGGATGAATTATTTAGTTATACACAGATTTTATATCCCGTAAACCCGACCTGAGCTAATAATAGTTTAGTCAATTAAGCGCCTGCCATTACCAGTTCTGTATTTAAACGTGAAAATCCCACAATTTGATTTTCACAACGTCGATAAAAGGTTTTAACGACGGGAAATGAACTGTCGGCTTTGAGGGCGTTTTGGCGTAAAGGCCCGTGAATTGGAAAACCTTCTCCGAGATGAATAATGTAAAAATAAATCGCATTTCGAGAAGGTTTTGGACTGAAATTTGGGCTTACCATCTCTGATCTCCTGCGGCTCCGGAGGTCCCACTGCGCATGCGCGGGACGTACACTAAAGCCGTATTCTCACAAAACAAAACATATCAAAACATGAGCAAATACAGGTTTATGACTTATGACAGCTTCTACTTTACCAAATAAAATAGACATATTAAATCAGCTCTGCATGCACTGAAATAAGTCCCAATAATCGGTACAAATTCATTAAGAAAACTTAACGCAGCAGGAGTTTTATATAATTAGCTGGATATAGGTCACGTTCATACCGCAGTCAATAAGAGAGCAAGACACACAATTTTCTTTAAGACCTTTTATTCATACACATAATAAAAAACATCCAGTCTGGACCTGTTAGCATGAAAAAACTATATTCCACAGATGAAGTGAAGGGGTTTTTCGGGTAATCCCATGGGAATGCGGTCTTTTTAAACCCAATGAAGCTACACTAAATGTAAAGCCCTGGTATGGCAAATTAAAAATATGCAACGTTGTCAAGCATTTAATTCAAAAGCTGCTGTTACATTTGAGCAATATGTGGAAAAACCAGAGGGCTCACTGAAATGAAAAAGCAAACAAAAGCATTTAGATACTAAACACAAACTACATCAATAAAAAAGGGATCATGGGGCATTTGTACATTGTTCAAATGTGAAGTACAAAACACTCAGTTTAGCGAAGGATGCCTTGACTTTCTGTGGTTAACAAGGGGGGCACTCAATGCCATTACATCTGCCTGAGCCCAGATCGAAAATCTGCAAATCTGTGCAAAGCTCCATGAAAGCAAAATAATTTCATCAATTAAATTGATTTGAGCCATGACAAACCACTTGAACATCACGCCGAGTGCACCCTCAAGACAAAGTTTGTTGAATTGGGAAGTGACACCTAGTTCAACAGCGCATCTTATATACATCTTAAGAAAACAAAAAGGGAAATCAACACTACTCCTGAGAAGCTGATCTGGACCTAGACCTAGACCTGGAGCGGGACTTGGATCTGGACTTTGAGCGTGAGGCCGAGTGCTTCTCTCTGGACTTGGACCTGCGCTCGTCCTCCTGCGGCGATGGCGAGCGGGACATGGACTTGGCGTGGTCCCCTTTCCCGTTCTCCATGGGAGACGCAGAGCGGCTGCGGGACTTCTTGTCTCCTGACGGCTCCTTGGACCTGCTGCGTGAGTCTCGCTCAGACTTCACCTTGGAGCGGCTCTTGGAGCGAGACTTGGACTTGCGCTCGGCTGAACCAGACCTGGACTTACGAGACCTGGACCGGGACTTGGACTTGTTAGAAAGAGACCTGGACCTACGGGAGCGAGATTTACTCCCTGCAGACTTTGAGCGGGACTTCCTTCCAGATTTAGAGCGAGAGTGATGACGTCTCTTGTTGCTACGGGAACGAGATCTGAAAATTAAAATATGTATTTTTTAAATGGCCTCCAATTTTACTTCATTTTTAAAATGAGTTTAGTAATATTCAGACATGTTGGTCCAATCCATCACAAAGCCTGTCCACAGGTTAAAATATAAAGTGTGTGTTTTATTTAATTATTTTTATTACTAAATCATCATCATCTCACCTGGAGTGAGACCTGGAGCGGCTCCTGGACCTCGACCTGGACCTGCTGCGAGAGCGGCGCCGACTACGAGACCTGAGACAAAAAACAAAACAGTCAAACACAAACAGACCACAGACACAGGGCTGTGAGGGGTCAGGACTCACCTGGAGCGACTGCCTGAGTATGACCTCCTCCTCTTGGGCCGGTCCTCCACCAGGCGGATCTTCCTGCCGTTGATGTCCGTTCCATCCAGTTTGTCCAGGGCCCTCTTCATGTCTGAGTAACTCCTGAACTCAATCACTCCCTCATTGGTGCGTTCCTTGTGGGCATCTGCATAGGTCACCTCTCCTGCCTGACGCATGAAGTCCTAGACAAAAATGATGGATTTTAATAAAACAACAATAACTCAAGTTGAAGACTGGGCCCATTACACAACAACTGAAGTAACTTGCCTTCAGGTCTTGCCAGCTGCAGCGGCTGGACAAGTTCTCCACAATGAGGCGGTACTCAGTACGGACCGGGGGCCCGTACTTGTCTCTGCCAGAGCGACTCCGGCTGCTGCTGTATCCTCCACCACCACCACCACCGCCGCCGCCTCCACCACCACCACCACCACTACCTTTAACAAAAGACCAGACGCAAGTGAGAACAAGAGAGGGACTGTTGTGCACAGCAGTGGATCATATCAACACCTGCCCACTAATACCAGCGTGGAACCACACCGAAATAACTACGTCCCATTTTCAAAAAAAAAACCAACTTTTGGGTAAAATATAACATTGCCGCGGGCTTTACATTTTGAATTATATTATTTGGTGTAGGTTTCTGCTATAAAGAACACCACTGCATCTGTTTCTGGCCATTCAAAGCTTGCCTTTACAAACCCACATAAACAAATGGTCAGTGATGTTCTTTCAAGATAGTTGAACCCTGGAACACAAACAGAAAGGGGGCATCCACAACTCTTTAGATCAGGAACATTTTGGAAAGTTAAAAAAAAAAAAAAAGAAAAAAAATCGCTGCCCAATCAAGAATTCTAGACTGCACATATTACAGTTTTGACTTACAACTATTATTTGGATTGCAAGTTGTTTTTACAAGAGCCGCTCCACTTATGTTTGATGTCAATATAGAAACCAATGGCAATCCTCACCATCGCCCCTGGACTATTGGCAAAAGGCTGCTGTCATCATGGCTTCCGGTTAGGTCAGCCAAGGATCAAGGGGGCAAAGGTCACACACACATTGTAAGGTGAAAGCCAAGGCCAAACGGGACAGGCAGTCATCTTAGCCAGTCATCTTTAGCCTCAATGGACTCAGCCTCAGCCCGCAACTGGACTCTTTCAAATTGAAACATCAAGGACTTTGTTAATGTTGAAATTATAGACCAGTGAAAGTAACACACACCACAACAACAGGTAGTCTAACTCTAAAGCTGCTCTAGCTACATTTTTGGAAGATGGGTGGACATTTTCATAAAGGAGTGGAGTAAATGAATGAAGTAAACAATGCAAAAAATAACAAGAAATGAAAATTGCTACAGATTACACTCAAACTGGTTGGCTGGGATGAAAGAGTACACAATCTAGCCATGTAATTTCTAAAAGGTATTCTTACAGTAGTCAAATTTAGGTGCTGCTCGATGTGAACTACCACCAAATCTACAGACTAAAATGCTCATCTAGTCAAATCATTGCCAAAAAAAGTTGGTTTGCGTGTGCAGTCCACATCGACACCTCACCCCAGGGGGAAGGGGGGGTTAAAAAAAAAAAAAAAAAAAAAAAGAAAAGAGGGTGACTTGTAAAAGACTGCACTTACTGCGCCCACCACCCCAGTAACCCCCACCGTAGCCGTCTCGGTCTCTGCGGGGTCCGCGGGCATGCTCCACTATCACCCGCTCCCCGCATAGCTCCTTCCCATTCAGCTCGTAAACGGCATCGTCGGCGTCACGGTTGTCTTCAAACTCCACGAAGCCATACCTGCGAACAAATGCAAGCTCCGGTTAAATGTCAAAATAAAAAAAAACTGAGACACCCTCGTTTTTTTGGTGGTTCATAATAATAAAGTTGTTGTGCAAAATTATCTAAATATCGATATATCGTATTGTTTAATGTGATGATACAGTATCAATATCAAGAGCTGCTGTATCAATATATTGTCAAAAGCATTTTTTTGTGTGTATTTTACTACATGATTACAGTGCTACAGTTTTGTTGCTTGTCTTGAGAAAGGAAACTTGTTTACGCAACACATTTGACATTTTCACTGTTTTGATGATTAAAATGGGTGCGTTTCATTTTTACTTCACACAAGAAGTGGTTTAATAAAGACTTTTAACTGTGGTTATTGAACCGAATAGAAATCAAATAGATTTGATTTACACTGAATTGAAAGTGCACTGTATCGAGATATGTATTGTATCATGGCCTATGTATTGAGATATGGATCGTATCGTGGTCTATATATCGAGATATGCGTCGTATCGTGGTCTATGTATCGTATCCCCAACTTGTTAACGATACCCAGCCGTAGAAACGAGTGCGTAATTAAGTAAAATAGTTTTGCAGAGACCATTCATGAGTAGTCAGATTTTCTTTTCGTTTGGATCGTTTTAAAGCAGATTTTTTTTGTGTTTTACCAAAACATATTACAATGCATGCCTCTTTGCTGTTGGCTGGGATAAAATTGGGCAAAAATCGGAACATTTCTTGTATAAAACTGTGTCAAATCAGTGGTTTGGGATAAATCTGCTGGGACAGGGGACACAGGGCTCAAACCTGGGACTGTCCCGGGTAAATTGGGACGTCTGGTCACCCCAGGACTGCAGAAAAACTGGCGTGAGCTAAGCCATGCTAACCAGGCCCGTTAGCCTTTTGCTACTGAAGCAGATACGGAGCCGCCATGTTGGCCATGCGACACGATCCAAACAACAGATCACTAAAGTCGTGCTAATTAATAATCTAACACGTCTAACGCACGATGCAAGCTATATCCCGATTTTGCTACATTTACAGCATCTACAGGAGAGATTATAAAACACAAAGACAAAAGGATAACATGAAATAATAAAAAAACGTCGTTGAAGCGCGCCAGTGAGTTTGGGTTAACGCGTGTTCCCTCTTTTCAAATATCAGTACTTACCCGTTTTTTAGATCGATCTCCATGAGCTTGCCATATCCGCTGAAAAACCTCTGGATGTCTTTCTCGCGGACATGGTAGCTAAGTCTGCCGATGTAAACTCGAGGCATGGTTCGGGTCCAAAGTTGCGGCGTGTGGCGTGTTTCGGGCCTGGACTCTCGGGGACTCACGCTGAACGAAGCGGCGGCGGCGGCAGACTCCGATTCCGAGGGACGATGCACGCTACGCACGTCTAACGAGCGCTGACGTAATTGCAATCTACCAATCAGAGGCGAGTGTGTGGCGCTGTTTCAGGGTTGTTCTTTTTTTTTTTTTTTTTTTTTATTTATAAAATTTTTTTTCATTCTTTTAATTTTTTTCTATTTTTTCTTTTCTTTTTATTATTATTATTATTATTTTGAATTTAATTTTATTATTATTATTATTTTCTATTTTTTTCTATTTCTTTTTAAATATTTTTTGTTTATTTATTTTTCTTTCTTTTCCTTTTTTCCATTTTTTCTTTTCTTTTTTTCTTTATTTTTATTATTATTATTTATTTTATTTTATTTTTTCAATATTTTTTAATTCTTTATTTTTTTGTTTTTTATTAATTAATTTTTTCTTTCTTTTCTTTTTTCTTTTTTTTCCAATTTTTTCTTTTCTTTTTCTTTTTTCTTTTCTTTTCTTTTTTATTTATTTTTATTATTATTTATTTATTTTATTTTATTATTTTTTTTCTATATTTTTTCTTTCTTCTTCTTTTTCTTTTTTTTTTATTATTATTTTTTATTTTTATTTATTTATTTTTTTCCGGGTTGTTCTAAGTAAAACAACAGACCGTTTCTTCTCATAGAACTATAAAAAATAAAATGGGCTGCCGCTCACTTCTTGGATGATGAAGGACTTATTTTACAACATTCTGATTTCTGTCAGAAATTTCTAATTCAGTGTACCAAAAGAAAATATAATCAAGTTATAAAAGCTATCCCATTACAGATTAGAACTATGGCTGGGCAGGAGATATTGTTCTCTAGTAATTCTCCTGGACTGAGACAACTTTGTATTGAAGGTGTTGAATTTTGTGATTCAAAGTGCAATAACAAATTTTTGAGATGTTCCTTACTAAACGATTCCTTTCCCAAGCCAGTTAAAAGAGATTATATTCTTAAAAATAACTTTGAAAAGAAATATATTAAAATAATTAGAAATAAATATCTTTCCTTTTCAGTTCCCCCTAAAGTAAAGGAGATACAATTTAAATTTTTTAATAAAATATATCCAACCAATGAATTCCTAAACAAAAATTCTAACACAGGTAAATGTGTGTTTTGTGACAAACGGGGAAAAGACTTGGAACATCTTTTCTTTTCATGTAGTTTGGAACAACAATTTTGGTCTGATTTTCATTCGTTGCTTCAATAATTTATTCATCTTAGGTACATTTTTTATTCACAAATGTCAATTTTTTTTAAGATAAAACCAAATATAACTCACTTTAGAAATGATCTAAGAATTTTTGTTGACTCATTGAACCTGATTGAAAAAAGGGAAGTCGAGTTTCTTTTTGAACAATGTCAATTTGTTCCATTGATTACATGCTTTAGAATTTGCCCCCATAGTTCGTTCATTAATGTATTTTTTTTTGTTTGTTTGGTTGGTTTTTTGGTTTTTTTTTTTACATATGTGATTTGATTTTTTTGCTAGGTTTGGATGTGTGGTGCCTTTTTGTTTGCATCTGAGGTTTGAAGTACTAATAAAAAATAATAATAATAATAAAATTTAAAAAACTATATTAAAAAAAACATAAAAAATTAAACAAACTACAATACAATACAATAAAATAGAATAAAAAGTAAAAAAACAACAACAATAAAACAACAATAAAAAAGTAAAATAAAAAGTAATGTTTTTATTATAGATTTGTGGTTCTTCTAAATAAAATAATAATCTATTTAGTTGTAAAATTTGAAGTAAGAAAATGTGCAGTTATGATTTGTGGGGTGTAGAAATGTTACAAAAATAAAGAGGATTGTGCAGGATGACCAGATTCTCAAAATTAAAAACGAATAAATAATAACGAATTAATAATTTAAAAATTGTGAGCGCGTAATTAAGAACATTTTTAGGCACTCATTCTCCTCTCACTTATGAATCAGTGTATGACACGCGACTTCTTGCGATTTTCAAGTACAGTTTTCTCTATTTTGACAAAACAAAAACATTTGGCAACATATTCCCCTCTTTACTGTTGGCAAATTGGTCAAAAACAGGGACACCTGGAACATTTCACTGGTTTTGTCTAAATCTGCTGGGATAAGGCTCAAAACTAGGACTGTCCCAGGTAAATAGACAAAATGTTTCCCTATTAAAATCTATAGTAATGTAGGTACTGTCTGAACTCAACACTCAACTGTTTGCAGTCCTATAGTCGAGAGGTATTTATTTTGTATTTTTTATTGTTCATATAGGCCTGCAATAATGATTCTTTATTTGTCTATTTCAGGGTTGTCAAACTCATTTTGGTCCGGGGGCCGTATCCAACCTACTTCGATCCCAAAGGGGCCGGAAAAAAAATAATGTCATATATACCCCCAAAATTTTTCTTGGAAAATCCTGCACTCGGCGTCTACTTTTCTCATTTTGGACATTTTGTTGATGAGGGTGTCATGGTCAACAGTCAAAACAATTGTCCTTTAAGAGCATTTGGAAAGAGCCAAGTCTTCATTTGTGCTGCTCTGGTGGGAGGGGCCACGTACAGAGACACTGGAGACGCTGATATGATAAACACCGCAGAAAATTACCAATATTTTAATAGAAAATATAAGTAAATATTTTAGTAGAAAATCAGCCGAGGGCCAGATTAAAGGTCTTGGAGGGCCGTATGTTTGACACCCCTGCTCTACTTATTTTGAATGTATTATTACCGTTTATATTTATGTTCTTTTCTATAATATTGTGATGAGTGAGCTACTGTGTCCAAATAATTTATTTTGTGGATCAATAAAGTTTGTTTCAGCTGAAATCTTGAATCTAAAATGATTCATGGAGCCAACTCATGCATGCCATTTATAGAATTTTCTGCATACTTGCAATAATGATGGAGGTCACTGGTTAGGCAGTGTCTGTTCCATTGTTTAGTGGCAAAAAATATAAATATTTTAGATGACATTATAAAAGATAAAATCACATTATAAAAGATAAAGATAAAAAGTTCGCTCAGACTCACAAAAGTGTATCCTGATCCGTTTTCAAATGCTAAATATAAACTTTAATCCAAACAAGAGACAAAAGTGGAGAGAGTTGAATATTTTATTTTTGTAAAAATCTGATTTGAAAAGAACATCAGCCAGTTCTACACACTCCCATCACAAGAACCAGGTTTTCAGTCTTATGATCGGCTTCATTAGGAGGTGTCCTCAGAGAGTGACTTGCCTGCTCAGAAGTCAGTTATATGAATAAAGATGTTCAAATATGGAGATAAATGCTTTTTTTTAGATAATTGTATTGTAAAATGAAATAAAGAAAAACTGATGTCCGACGTTACACCAGCGTTTCTGTTGCATAAACCTGTGGAACAACACGGATCTAGGTCCATTGTGTATTTTAATTATCAGAGAGCCCTGTAAAAGGATTCCTATGATGTTTATTTAAAATGCTTTAATCCAATTTGATATTTAAAACATCCTAGTACTGAGTAAAGGCAAGTGGTCAGAAAGTATTATAGTCTGTTTGCATGTACAACTCTGTTAACGAAATATTACAACATTTTGAGGAAAGATCGAGAAAAGATTCAAGCCATGTTCATGTAAATTTTTTGCAGGTATCAAGAATCACAGCAAAATGGAAAAAAAAAAACAACTAAGTGGTGCAGGGTTCACCAAATCAAATGCATCCAACGTATCATCTGCATTTGAGCCTGAACCATCTCTCTTCAGATCCTCTCTCGCTCCGCTCAGGCCCCACAGACACCAGCCAACCCCCACAATCCCAAACAGAGTCCTTGCAGCCAGCTCGCCAGGCCGGGGGGCGCGGGGCTTTAGGTGGCTTTGGCCCGGAGCTGCGCCCTTTTGCCAGTGACGGCCTGGAAACCGGTCTTGATGCTGGCGACGGAGCAGCGGGAGTGGCACGTCTCGCACTGGAGGAAGTACAGGCGCGTGTCCTTCTGTAGGATGGTCTCAGGTGAACGGCAGGTATGACATGTCACATACTCCTCTGTTTGGGGAAAGACAGAGAGAGATTAGTTTTATTTGCTTTAAAGGGAGAAATCTGTCTTGGGCATCAGGGGCAAAATGAAAATAGACATCCCAACAAACCATCCATTCCTAACCTTCCTCCCAATCAGTCATCACACTCCTATCCTTTTTTTTTTTTTTTTTTAAGTACTTTGTAATGTATAATTTTGTAAATTTATCCCTTTGTGGATACATAATATCCAAGACTAAATCTAAGTCCAAAACTAGACAAAATACAGTCAAAACCTTCAACTGACTGAGCTACACACTCCACAGAAAAGAAAGGTGCTGTTTCACATTTTCACATCTGCATTCACACAAACCATTACACAATCTCCTCAAATTGTTAATGGAAGTTCAGACTAGCATTACAGAGATTCAGCTTTGTAATTATGATGACCAAAAAAAATAAAAAATAAAAATCCATTAATCCATTAACTGTAGTCGTAGTGGGGCCAGATAAACATTAGGTTGTAAGTCAAACCACTGGCAGCTCCCAAGCTACAAGTTGGAGACCCCTAATGCATTGTTCACTATATTGCTTCTAGACCGGTAACTTCAACAGCAATTTGTTTGGCAATTCTGAACTCACAGCGGCTGTTAACAAACATGATTTCTAGCGCAAGGAGACAGCAGGAGGTGGTGTTTCTACTTAGGGAGCTGTGGAGAAGGGGTGTCACGAATGAGCAACATTTGAAAATGGACAAACAGTCGCTGTATTTCTCTTTCCTTGGAAAATCCTCTATCCCAGGAGTGTCAAAGTCAAATTCACAGAGGCCAAAATTAAAAACTGGAACTAAGTCGTGGGCCAAATTAAATATATATTGGAAAATTTCAACGACATCTGCATGTTTTCTCTTCTTTCGAGATATGTAATGTTAAACCTTTTCTTACTAAAATAAATGTTCAATAATAGTTTTGCTTAAATACTGAATCCAGCAACAACAAGCAAAATATAAAATAACAAAATTTTAAATAAATAATGTCTGTTCGTTGAGATTGGTCTCAAAATATCAATACTATCGTTTATCGCAATAAATTCTTCGTCAATTAATCGTCCAGCAAAATTTGTTATTGTTACAAGCCTAAGATGGAGTCCAAGTATTACTATGCTATTAGTAAAAGTATTGTGTGTTAAAAGTAACCACATCTGAAACGTTACTCCAAATCCCAAATATATGTTCAGTGTCTTCTCCATGCATCTTTGAAATACATTTTATATTTCGCTGTTAAACGTAATAATAGTACAAATAAAATGGTGAAAAATTAAAGCTACGTCAGCATTTCTTACTGCTTTTTAAACATGTGACTACTTTCACCTTGAGAGGAAACTGTTGGTGGTACAGTATTTGCAGATATTATGTAAATGTTGACCTCGGGTTGAGTACATTTCGTTCAGATGGGTTCAAACCGCCCTCAGATACTTACTAATATCTTCTCAACACATTTTCTATCTGTTTCTGCTGGAATCTGCCTTTGATAACGAGCTGGTTGTTTCCGTCTATGGAACCACTGTGAAAGAACAGAAAGAAAGCACAGAATGTTAGACCATTACCAACATATTCTTGTAAGAAGTATTTGTGAAATCCTTACCTCGTACCCAACTCAGCCAGAAGGAAAGCGAGGAGATGTTTGGGCTGACGATGCAACCTGAAGAAGAAACAAAAGATTTTCTCAATAAAGACTATCAAATTTGAGATGTTTTTGATAACTGTACTGTAAAATGAAATAAACAGGCATGAAAACCGTGAGAAGAGAGTCGAAACCAAGACAAGACCGAAACCACGGCCCCTCAAGACCAAATCAAGACCATCTTTCTCATTTATTTTTTCTATTTTACAGTTATTTTGTCACATATATAATCAATGTTTTTATAAATTTACCTCTATTTGATCTGATTTATGTTAATTTAGCCCTAAAATAAGCCCTGCAAACTGTGCTGCACTGATGTGTGAAGAATCCCTCAGTTGTCCATGTAGAATCCATGGCGAGGAGAAAATTCAGTTTGTGACTGGACAAAAGTTAGCCAACTAACTTTTGTCCAGTCACAAACACTGTGCCCCTTTTTGGACCCTCACCCACAGTCTGAGAACCTCTTCTTTAATCCCACTTCCACTGGCACTTTTATTTGGCAAACTTCAGCCCACATATCGCAGAACGCCTGCTGTGTCAACACTGAAGCATATAGATTAGTTCTTGCTTCACGTTTCATTTTGAATCGGCGCAACCGAGCCTGTGTGTGCTTTACATGGGAGAGGAGAGAGTGTGAAAAGGTGAGGAGCAGCGCGCTGACGTGAGGCAGGTGGGAAAGGTAGGATGTTTTAAAAAGTTTAACCTGCCCTGTGATACACGCTGGTACATGAGTGGACACAATGTTGCGGAAAAGCAGTGCTCCTGGGGAGTGTGTGGTGATGTGTCGAGGAGCGGCAGACGAGCGCACAGGCTGCAAATAGAGTCCAAATGTGCTCAAGTCTGAGGTCTGAGGTCCGAGACCCGAGACCTCAGCCCACTCCCACATCCCCCTCGCAAATCCAAAGAGCAGTGGATGAAAGTCCAAAGCCAGGACTGGTGGAGCTGGATTGTCCGGATTGCGTCAGAAGGGCGACCCAACGAGCATGCACTGAATTATTTTTAAGAAAAAAAAAAACGTTTACATGATCGAGGAATAAATTCAGTTTTAAAATCGGAATTAAGTTTAATTCTGAATAATAATTTTTATTAGGAATTAAGTGTTTACGTGGTCTTTTCAAAGCGGAATTATTTTTTATTCAGAATTCAATTATTTTTTATTCGGAATTAAAGCTCTCATGTAAACATGGCAAGTGTGACATTAAACAGCTCTGCCTTACATTTATTTAATTACATGTAGTTTTATTACTCAAAAATACCTAGAAAAACAGACTATTTGACTGTGTTTGGGATCGCCTCTCTACAGATCTGACCTGTAACTTTGTGTGGTTTGGTCTCCATGAAGATAGAAAAGTAAAATGCCATACTGTGAAACACTCCAGACGAAACAGTAACATCTCCATGGAGAAAAGCATTTGACACCAGAAAAGTGACACAGTGCAGTTTTAATGGAGCAGTGACAGAGAGTACGTACAGTTTGCAGATGTCTGTGAAGTTGACGAAGGAGGTTTTCTTTGTTCCCACTCGGACGACCTGAGGAGGCTTCATCACAAACTTCCGCTTCTCTCCGGCCACCATGTCTGGATTCTTCTCTCTCATGATGTTGAACACTCGATTCAACAGCTGAAAAACCGTAATGTCAACAGTTAGAAACAAAAGAAAAAACAAGATTTGTGTACAAGATAAAATAGTTAAAAGGTCCTATATTACGCAAAAAACGTCTCTTGTTAGTGTGAAGCCACGTTAGAATGCTGTTATCTCCTCAAAAATACTAATATGGACTCTTTAAAGTCGAAATTAGTATACAGTCCATTGTCAAAAGTAAAAATTGAAAAAAATTGAAACTTGCAGTGTAATCTTTCAATGTAATATTTGTGTATTTTTGGGCAAAATTTCAACTAAGATATTTCAGTTCTCGGGTACTGGAAGTCAAATTCCCATTAATTTTCCCCATAAATGTTTGAAATAAATACACTGCTCAAAACAATTAAAGGAACACACAACAGAAATGTGAAAAAATTTGCTGGATACCTGTACAAGATTTTCAGCCACAGAGGGCTTAATTTTATAGAACACTGAAAATCAAAGCGAAATAATGATGTGGCAGGGCTTGTCCATTTTGCCAAAATGTAATTTCTGCAACTCAAAATGCTTCTCAGTCTCTTATGTGACTGAGTGACTGCGTGCGCCCCCAAGGCACGCGCTTCTTGAATGAGCTCACGGAGCATACAGGTGTCTCTGTTTTACTGTATGTGAAATGAATGGTCAGAAGGCGACCAAAGCGAGTCAGGAAGCAATTGCCCTGTTATTTAATGCATCACGGCAAATAAAGCCAAGATTCTTGAGCAACGAACTGGTGCGTTTATTGAGCCCACGCACTCATGGTGAGGTTCTGAACAGGGAGTTAAACCCTGAGCAATGAGCGGCGTTTTGTGACGGACAATTAAGAATGCGAACATGCACGTTGAGTGAATTTTGGAATGAATGAGCTATAGAGTTTGCATTTTTATTGAGGCTCTTTAGTTTGTTTGCTATATGATTGTTCTAAAATCTAAAATCAATGGGCAGATGGCGGGCGAGTGCGCTTTTGAAAATTGGTCAAAACCTTGGGTGTAAATGGACAGCGGGCGGATGATGAGTTTTGTGTTGCGGATGAAAAAATAGCCCATCCACGCATCTCTAGCTTGTCTGCATGTTTAACAACGACAAACGGCGTCTTGTGAGACGTCCTCCCAGATCTGTGTGAGGGCATCACTGAGCTCCTGTAGAGTCTGAGGAGGCACCTGACGGACCTAAACCTAATGTTCCAGAGGTGTGCCATCAGATTTAAGTCAGGTCATCATGAAGGCCATTCATCGTCCAGGTGCTGCCTGCAGACTCTTGCCACATGAGGAGAAACAAGGACCTATTGCACCAGTGTAGGGTCTGACAAAGGATTTTATCCCGACACCTAACGGCAGTCACACTGATGTTTTCAAGCCCTCAAGCCATCCTCATGAAGTCCGTTTGTGATTATCTGCGCAGAGACATTCACACCAGTGGCCTGCTGGAGGTCATTCTGTAGGATGCAGGCAGTGCTCAACTTGTCCCTCTTTGCACAAAGGAGCAGATATGAGGTCCTGTTGATGGGCTGAGGACCTTATACAGCTCTGTCCTGCTCTCCTGGAGTAACCGGCTGTCTCCTGAAATCTCCATGTTCTGGAGATTGTGTTGGAGAAACATTAAATCTCTCTGCAACAGCACGCCTGTATTTGCCATTCTGGAGAAGTTGGACAATTTGTGCAGTTTTTCTGTACGGTTTAGGAAAGGCCTCATACTCCCAGTAGTGATAATCACTGTAGCCAAAGCAGCACTAGTGGAAAAGCAGTCAAAAAAGACCAAGAGGGAGAAACTTGAAATGACCTCCACAAGTAAAATCAGTCCTGATTTATGGTTTCTCTCATTGTGGCTGCTCTAGTGCAGCTATTGTTCTTTCCCATTAAAAGACGCGGCATCCTTTTGTCCCCAAGACATTGCCCTGGTCATATTTGTATTAGATATTGAGCATTTTTTTCACATTGAGATCTGATGTGTTTTCAAAGTGTTCCTTTAATTTTTTGGAGCTGTGTATGAAGAGCTTGTGTGTGTCTGTGGTACCTCATCGTAGGTATAGTCTCGCTCAGAGCCCGCCCAGGCCGGTCCTATGGAGGAGCTGAAGGAGATGCCGTCATTGTTCTTACCGTCATCGTCTTCCAGGGCTGAAATATGGCACAAACCGTTTATATTTCACATCATGCCAACTACATTACTAACATTTTAACATAAGCTCATCTTACTGTCATCTTTCTCCAATTCATCCTCATTAAACTCCACTTTCCTCTGCTTCTTTTTCTTTTGTGGAAGTACGAGGTCTAAATTGTCCTCTTCCAGCGGCTCTGTCTGCTCCCCTTCTATTTTCAGCTCCTGGTTTGGAAAGAAAGATTATGATCAAATGCAGAAACAGTTTAATCCAATGAAAGTTTGTACAAAAACGTGCCATCTTTACCTTCATTCCTTCTTCCAGTTCATTATCAAACACTTTTTTTGGTTTCTTCTTCTTTTTCTTTTGATTCAAGAAATTTAAGTCATTCAAATCATCTGAGGTTTCTGAAGAAGAACAAAATAACATTAAATAAATTTCATTAAGAATCAATATCAATTTGTTATGTTGTAATTATTATTTGGTTAATAATGGTTAAACACATTTGCTGTCTTTGCCCTTTCACTCCCAAGTCCCTATTGTCAAGCTCCAATTTGTTTTACATTGAAAACCTGTCACCGCTCTCTGTAACTGCAGCAGTTCCCAAAATGAAATCCACTGAGGCTTTGAGGCAAACAGTCACTGTATAAACTCACAACACACAGGCCTGTCACAAATCACAATAACACATTTTGAAGCCAGATATTACAGAAGAACGATAATACCGAAACACATTTTTGTCACTAACACAATAAACCAGAACGATTTTCTAAAAAAGTAAGAAAAAAATTTGAATTATTTTGTGTCTCTTATCAATCGTAGCAGTTATGTTCGACCCTAAATTGTTCCAATCTACAGTATTGTCTATGTCAGGGGTGTCAAACTCAGACTACACTGAAACGAATCACTGTATCACCGTATCGGAAACGATCTGCGTCCAGACACGTCGTTTCTGTGTCTGCAAGCTTTCCCTATCCACACAGCTTTGAGCATATTTGTTTACGTTTTACAGAAACCAATCTTAAAACCACATGACTAATTTGCATAAACTAAGCGCTCAAAAAACTGCTCGATTGTGCGCTGATGCGGTTCAGCTTCTGTTGGATTGAAAAGGACATGACTCAGTGGAATATGAGTGTTCTTTCTTTGACAGAGGGGTGTTCTGCTGATGGTGAGTCTGTTCTGTGTTTCTGTCGTGTTAGAGATGATTCATGTTAAACTTTTCAGAGATTATACGTCTGCAGGTCGTACACACAGACCATATATATGAATGGACATACTGTATATTCTTGCCTCTTAAGTGTTTTGGCAGTGAATTACTTCTCGGCGCACAGACCTACATCAGAGTATCAGTGTTTTCAGGTGTCCACACGGTGCTGGATCAGATCTGTACTCAGATGAATTTGTGGGAGCTGATCCGGCAACAGATCGTTTAGTCTCTGGAGCCGTTTTCCATCAGATTAGTGTGGACGAACACTGCATCCACAAGGAAAACAACTCGAAAATGTACTAGAGTGGACGGGACCTCAAATTCAGATGCCAAAATTAAAAACTGGGACTAACTCGTGGGCCAAACTAAATATTTATTGAAAAATTTCAACAACATCTGCATGTTTTCTCTTCTTTCGAGATATGTAATGTTAAACTTTTCTTATTAAAATTAATGTTTAATAATAGTTTTGCTTAAATATTGAATCCAGAACAAGCATAATATAAAATAATAACAACATTTTAAATAAATAATGTCTCTGTAGCCTATCTGTAGCCGATGGGCCAGATTTGATATGATCTTGCGGGTCAAATATAGTTATTTGGGAGGCTAAATTGAGTCTGATATGTCTGGTCTATTGCAAATCGCAAAGGCTGTAAGTATGAGAATTTCCTCCATAAAGAACAAAACCTGCAAAGTCTTATTCTGCATGAAAACTGCTAACCTTGTAGTTTAGGTCATGTTCTGTAATATGATTCTTGTATTCGTTTTTCAGTTCATATTTCAGACTTTTTGTCATTTCTTCTGACTATTTAAAATGTGAAACTGAAAGTCATATTACAAAGGACTAAAATGTGAAAAGTGTTTCATAACAGACATTTCCTCATGTTGGCTGGTATGAATCAGAACAAAGGATCATGGTCTATGTAGTTCGCTCTGCTTTTTTAATGCACTGGCCGTGGTGCAGTTAGGCCTGTCACGATAATTACTGAATCAAGTTATCTTCCAATATATTTTGGAGCGTGTATACAGTTTGAGTATTTTTGTTGCAATGTTATAAAATTTGAGCTGTAGAGAGTTGAATAAATAACTTCTATGACTAAATTTCAAGTTAACAGCTACCTTTTAACATTATTTAACGTTATTCGGTTCGTGTGTTAAACCTGTGAATGAAACAAAACACAACTCTAAGTATGTTTTTGATGAGGAAAGATCAGAAAATAGTGCAATGTGGGCCCTTTAATGACACTGTATTTAAAAAAAAAAAGGTTTACTGAGATTATCCTGCTTTATTTTAATAGTGTCAGTGGCGCAAAGTAGTTTCAGTATTACCGTTAAATGCAATATCTCTCTGTAGTGATACATTGTGATTTAAAATTTGTTATCGTGAAAAGCCTCTGTGCATTTGCATTTGAAGCGAGGGTTCCTAAACACTAAAACACAGAATTATGTCAGTATGAACCTTTCTTCCTGCTGTCATCTTCGTCAAAGTCCACCTCTCTGTCCTCGCCGGCCTCGGGCTCCGCCTCCTTGGTCTCCACCTCTTTGGCCTCCTCTGCTGCGCCTGGACCCTCTCCTCCATCCTCTTCCAACATGAACGGCTTCTTCTTCTTCTTTTTCTTCTTGGTCATGTTGGGATCGAATATCATCTGAAGAAGAAAAGCATTTGTTAATTAAAATGTTGTTGTACATAGGAAAACAGGACACCAAAGAGCAGACACAAGCCACCCTGATAATTCATGAATACTGACTGACCTCTGTATTTTATATAAACCTTTAAATCTATTCCCTAAATTAGTGTAGTCACCACTCATTTTTCTATTCCCATGTGGTTTATATCCGTGTTATGCCAGGAATACACTGTGCAATATTTTCGAACGTTTCACTCAGCCCCAGCTCACACTGTACAACCAAATCACAGGGTTTAAAAGTTCACAGCTCACGAATTCATGTTCTCACACTATACGAATGACTTCAACAGAGAAAAACCTCACGAGAGGTGACTGGATTTCCAACAAGTTTGATTTTCTTGCGAACTACGATTGTGGGGAGCTGGTTGTGAGGTTTTAATCGGTTCTTGTTACCTCGTGTTTACTACATGAAGCACTATGCACGATTAAGCCAAAACTCGACCCCAAAAACAGTCGCACGAGTGAAACATCTGCTCAAAAAAGGCCAAAAATCACACAGTGTACGCCCGGCTTAATCCCTCTGTGGTCCAAGTAGCTTCCATAGTGGTCCATGGATATATACTAGGGATGTAACAATAACTGAAATATTGTGATATCATATCGCCAAACACTTAATCCAAAGAACTAAGACTTAAAAGTGTTAGAACTGTTATTTCTTCTTGTAGTCTACACTGAAATGGAGCAAAGGATCATGGTCTATGTAGTTCCCTCTGTCTTTTTTTTTTATTTTTAGCTATTACTGCACCATAACTCTTTATTTAAGCAAAGTAACTTGTAATTCGATATACTGTGATACTCCACAATATCAAATCGATTTGAAATATATCGTATTTAATCGAAACCGCACTGTATCGAGGTATGTATCGTATCAGCAACTTCTTAATGATACCCAGCCCTAGTGGAGAGGCGACCTTCCTGCTTCCTGCATGTTTTTCAAAGTAACCTAAATGCCTGTTTGTAAATGAATAATTTCAAGATATATTTAATGCTCAACTGTGGAGTATTTCAGGCAAAACAGGAGACAAGCAGATGAACGGCCCGCAGCAGAATGTTACATAATCCACCTTTAACAATTAATGAATGGGTCAATATAATAAATTATACTTACACAGAACTTATTAATTAACAATACACCAAGAAATGTTAAAAGTATTTCAGTCAGACATTAGTTTCATATTGACATCAGCATATGCTCAAAGATAATTGCGTAATTCACATTGACAGCTCTATTTTCTAATGTCGAAACAGTTTAATGTAAGATTGCTCGAATGATGTAGAGTTCGGATAGAGGAAGCATTATTTTAAACAAAGAACAGCTCTGTTCGTGTGAGTGAAAATGAAAATCTGCAGTCGCGGCTAACGCTAGTAAAGATAATGTTAGCAATAATTAGCTCAGCGCGGTCAATGTGTTTTCAGTTTTTTTACTTCTGTCAGTGCTCGTAAATAAAAGATGCGTTTTGGTTTAGCGTAATATTAATCTGACACGATCTAAATCAGTGGTATAGAGTGTATTTAAGTAGATGGGAGGTCTGGGTGGGCCGCTGTTAGCTTAAACTGCTGCAACCATGTGAGAGGAGCCGCGGTCCGGGAGAGAGGCCCCAGGACACTGCTCCACTTCAGCACGGATCAGGGATATTTACGCGCGGAATCTGAGTCAAATCAACCGCGGGCGCTCCCTGAGATCTCACCTCGTCTCCGGACATGTTTGCTGCGGGTAAAGTCTGCGATGTGCCGCCTTATTTCTCCGGGTTCAGCTCCACTCCGCTGCGCCGCTGGACGAGTCTTGCATCAGCGTACGGACACAGTGCGCATGCGTGCCTGGATGGTCAAGCAAGTGACGCACGCACGCACGCAACAGTCACAGTCAGTTATTTTAATAGATAATTATATTAACAGTTATTATTATTATTATTAACTGTTATTATTATTATTGTTGTTATTATTATTTTATTAACTGTTATTTTAAAAACAGTCAGTTATTTTAATAGTTCCATGAACAGTCAGCGGAGAGGCGTGTGGTGCGTTCAAGTCTCTCAGGAAAAGTTCATATCTATAAATCCAAATACTCGAATTCCAGACCGCTTTACAAAATCATTATCCTAGACATTAAGACTTATCTTCAAACTCTAAGCAATATTTGTAGTATTAAATCAAAACACTCAATATTACAAAAGAATTAGGTTTTTATTTTTAAACATGAGCATGATCTGCCTCAATTTAAGTTTACATGTTTACAATAATGATAATAATAATAATAATAATAATAATAATAATAATAATAATAATAATAATAATAATAACTTTCTCCATGACCAAAAAAATGTAAAATAAAAAGTGTGGTGCGTTCAAGGATAAGCGGTTAGAACGGGTTTACAACGGATTTACAAAGTTTGCATCATAGTTTATGGTAATATTTCTAAGGTTTGCATCAGGTTGCGTTCAGGTTGCATTCGTTCATAAAGGATTCACAAAGGATGATACTTGGCTTAGTAAGAGCACTGTTTGTTTTTTATGTAACTAAAAACAAACAAATGATTAAGGTATTTTTTTAGATCATGCCTTTTTTGACATGGGAAATATGACAACACTTTGCATTGCATGAATATTAGTGTATCTAGTGTATCTACTGATAGTGTAGTGAATCTACTGATGTCAAATGTCAACTTTAAAGAAAAATGAATGAGACTTGACAACAAAAGTTATGAACAATAAAAGTTTACTCAACAATATTGGTATAGACAATAGGTAGAAACACTAACAAACCAAACAATCTTTTTCTATTTTTTTGTTTTTGTTTTGTTTTTTACACATCTACTACTACACATCTATGGAGTATTTATAGGCTGTGCTTTATCATTGAGAAATAAATTTCATATCATAGTAAAAATCCCATTATTTAACTTAACACTTTGGGATGAGCCCTGAATCAGTGAAATAAATTGACTGAATGAATCTTTCATCTAGACACTGTATGAAAATTGCCTAAGTCACACTTTATTTTGACTTGGGCAGAATAAATCAGCCTACATCACACTCTCGACATAGGTAATTATCATAAAGGTGCATTATCACATGATCTACTCAAATGAGGGTGTTGGCAATTTTACCACAGGTGGCCAGCAGGGGGAGGACAGCATTAAGGCGAAAAAGTCAATTTTGGCAAAAAAATTACTTAGGCGATTATTTTATTTTAGCTTTTTGTTCAAAATAAGTGATTTAACTGAATATTTATATGTATAATATACATATAAATGTTTATAAAATCTGTTATATAAATAAAGTAGATGTGGATTTGAAGTGACAAAAGCTTCATGGTGAAAATATGAAATGATACATGAACATGAACAACATGAACACTTAGTTTGTCCTTTGAAAACACCAGATTTTGTTCATTATTTAATGTTTTTTTCCTTCTAATTACATTCACTTCAAATTAACAATGAGAGGTTCCCGACAGTTACTCTTTCTTGAGTAGTACTTTTCCCAAATACTCTCAGTTACTCTTAAGTAATTTCTTAGACCTTTACTTTGTACTTCTTATTTTTGAAGTCACATTACTTTTACAATTTCTGTCTACTCTACTACACCCACCTCTGTAATTTAGATCAGAAGTATAATAAACAGAAACTTTCATATTAATTTAGTTTTGTGGCTTTGACAAAAAAAAGAAATAACACCCAGAAACAATTAAATTATTTTAATGATTTTGAAAATACTCTCTCAAACAGAAATGAAAACATGCTTACTCGTCACTCAGTCCATTAAGCTTCATGTACATTGTTATGGCTTTAACAAACTAAAACAAATGGCTCCATTGTATTAGTCTGACAAGAGGAGTTCAGTGTGACTTCATGACAAATTAAAAATGGCTTCGTATTTAACTGTGCATTTGACCCGAGGCCGGGTTACATGCTGCCGACAGTTCATCTAAATAAAATCATTAGTGAAAACAGGAGCGCGTGGTTTCTATTTACACAAAATCAACAGGAATATTTGAAATGAAAACACAATAAAACACAAACAGGTCAAATCGAGGTTAGCTTATTCCACCAGTGCATGCTTCATTTGTTCAGAATTCACACAAAGACAAAATCGGACAGTGGTTCTCAAACTGTGGTCTGGGAAAAAGTTGGAATTTTTGTATGTCAAATGCCCTTCCATTATAACCAGTAAGGCTGTGCAGAAATATTGAAATATCGACATATCGCATTTTTTAATTGGATGATACAGTATTGATATTGTGGGCGGCTGCATCGATATATTGCCAAGAGTATTTTTTGGTAGTAAGGTTTTGCATCTATGTCACAAAACCACGTGTGACCTGGTGTTTATGTCGCCATATTGGAGGTCAAACTATCCATCTGGACCAACGTGTAGTATTTGTGTGTGATAAAATTTAAATTGAATAACAATGGTTTTGACCTGTGTTGCTGTTGGATGTTCTGCCCGGAGTCAATTTGCTAAAGAAGGAGCGAAAAAAAACCTTTCTATCGGATCCTGGCTGATAAAAATCGCAGACAAAGGTGGAGAGTGACATGAAAAAAGAGATGGAGCCCACTGAGTACAATCATTTGTGCAATCAACATTTCATTTCTGGTGAGGGAACATCTCCACACAAATGAAGAAGGGATTTACACTAAATGAAATGATAAATACCAAAAGTATTTTTTTTCTCGTAGGTATGAAGAATAATAACCCACTTTCACCAGATTACATCCCCTCATTATTCACGTACACCTCATCGCCAGCGAAAGATAAAGCAAAACGTTTGCTTATTTCCTGTGAAAGAAGCTCTAACATGAAAAAAACAGATACTGGAAGTTGGGCACAGAGTGACCGTTGATTAGACTGACAAAGCGGTCTGTCAGAATTAGATGGGGATTTATTCTACAACCCAGGAGGATGACTTTAGCTTTATACATTTCTAATGAAGCTGATCTAAAGAGCTGGTGATTTCAGCCAGTTTTATGTCGTTTGAGTTGTTTAAAGTCGCCAGGATTATACTGTAACTGAAAAACACCATCCAGATCAACCCGAACCCTGACCTCCAGTTTGACCGCCAAAACATTAAATTACACGACGGCCACATCACACGCAAATCCTCAATATTTTCCCAAATTTTTTGTTACAGCGCTACAGTTTTGTTGCTTGTTCAGAGGAAGGAAACTCACTTATGCGACACTTTTGACATTTTCACTGTTTTGATGAGTAAAATGTTTGTGTTTCATATGAACTTCGCACAAGAAGTGGTTTAACAAAAACTTTTAGTATCACAGACATGATTTAGACTTTATTTTTTATTGAACCGTATTGAATCGATTTGAAATATATCATGTAAAACCGTATTGAATCGTCTTTCTTACGTTGATAGTTTTGGATACATTTTTCATGGACAGAATATTTATCCTTTGTGGACCTTGTTGGATGAAGATTTGGTGATGGGGCAGATTAATGAAGCTGGTGGAAAATAAGACAATTCCACAGATATTTTGCCATAGAAAAGCTTTAACATAAGTGACGTTTACCTTACATCGCAGCACTTTCAGCCGTTGTGAAAAAGGTCAATTTTTACAAACAGAAACAGTGAGGGGGGAGTGATGCGTTCAAGAACCACTGGCGACCGTCCGCACGAGGGATAAAACAGGATCAAACGGCGTGTTACACAAGAAGTGAATATTAATAATACTAATAATTCATATTTCCTTTGACGCACTAAACGTCAGTTAAAGCTGCCATCTTCAGACCACAGCAGGTGCTTAAAGTGCATATGACAGGTTTTCACGTTTTTATAATTCTGACTTGGTTTGGAGGGAAACGTCACTTGCTGTCAACACACCAGATTCATGTGTGTAGAGGTCTGGATGGAGTCTACACATTATCTATTTGAATCTGATTGGTCGAAGCGTCACAACTGAGGAACGAAGCGAAAAATCCAACGTTTGTTAAATCCATAGCCTGTAGGGATGTAACAATAACCGAAATATCGTGATATTGTATCGTCAAAAGTCTCACAATAATATCGTGGGCTGTCACAATATATCGAATCACAAGATGCTTTTCTTAAATGCAGGTTTTATAGTAGCAACAACTTATAAACATCGGGAATTACATATCCCATGATTCGTTTCAGTGCAAACAACATGAAAAGATACGTTTTTTACAGTCATCCCTTGCTATATCGCAGTTCACTTTTCGCGGTCTTGCTGTTTCGTGGATTTTTTTTTTGCAATTTTGCATGCCTTTTTTTTTTACAGTGTATGAACGTGTACTGTGTTCCTCCCGCTGCGTCCTGATTGGCTAAGAGACTCCTGTCTCCTGTACACTACAGAATGTGTTCAGCCAAATTTACATAAATGTTGGATCTCTATCAGAGTGATTCTGAAGTGCTGTATGTTTGCAAGTTTTATCCCCACAAAACCCACAATGTCAACGAAACGTTTTGCACTGACAAAGGCTCCTGCGCTCGCACCCAAAAGGCAGAGGAAGATGTAACCATCGCACAAAAAATTTGACTTCTGGATACGCTGAAGGAAGGGAGAGATTACGCGCTGTAGCAGAGTCCTGCACCGGGTCGTGTACCCGAAAATAGTTGCTGAAACCAGGACTTAAGAGAGAGAGCCTGCTCAGCAGGGTGTCCATAAAGCGCGATCAGGCGACGGCCGTGTTTACCTCCGTGAGGTGTGAAGCTGAGCTGGTCCTTTCTCTTGTGGTCACATTCGAGCCCGTCTCAACAGTGAGTCCTGTATCAGTTCTGGTTTAGTCCTGGTTAAGTCCTCCTCTTCAGTCCTGGAATCAGTCCTAGGTTAGTCCTGGGCTAGTCCTGGTTTAGACTTGGTTCAGTCCGTGGCATATGCAGCGCAAAAGTTTGATATAATCTCAGGTTAATGGGCAGGTGTGGTCCTGTACTGCACGGGTGTGGCTCTCCAAAAATGGACCCATGCAGGATTCTGTGTGGAGCTGTAGGGCTCCATTACAGAATAAATGAATCTTCGGTTCGTTACATAAAGAAGGAGGAAAATAACAAAAGGACGACAGCAGCAATAAGTTTTAAGAAGGATGTAAAAATTGTTGTAACTGTCCTGTGTGAGAAAAGTGTACAAAGTTTGTGCTGAGGGGTTTTACAGACTTTACAGACAGAGGTTTTACAGAACTCCACGGATTTCACCTGTCACGGGTTAGTTTTAGAACATAACCCTCACGATAAATGAGGGACTGCTGTATCATGGGCTCTCACAATATATCGAATCACAAGTTCCTTTGCTTAAATCCATAGTTTTATAGTCCTGATTCAGCTCAAAATCACTCGAAAGCTTTTCAGTAAAGGCTCATTTCTGTGTGAATGTGACGTTTTAGTATCGATACCTGCTCCAGTGAGTGTCTAGTTTTGATATGGTTTTAATATCGATTGGTATCTGGTTTGTGATACTTCTGACGGCGTGAGTCTAACCTGTCATATGCGCTTTAAGAAGGAGCCCGGGTAAATGGGCCTTCAAGTGCTAGTTTGGGTTAGACACAAGAGGGTTAAAATATCATAAAATAATAATAATGAAGAGAGAGAACCTGCTCCTTCAGAGTTGTACCACAGAAATAAAAAGGTACAGCGCCTCAGTCTCTGTCCTCTCCTCCTCTTCTCTCCATCCCTCCTCTCCACTCTTCTTCTTCTTCTTCTTCTGTGAAAAGTAAAGTGTGGTGCTGTTCTGGTTCTGTTACATGGCCTCCAGAGCCCAGCGCTGCAGACCCTCCATGTCATCTTCATCTTCGTCTTTCTTGGCTGTTTGGAGAAAAAATACGTCACATTTACTCATAATTGATACTTGGTTTGACGCTAACTGAAGGTACTACTCTGTCTGAAGCTCTGTTACTGAAGTTAGACTTATTTTTGAGCTTTGTTTTAACACAATCTGTCCATAAAGCAACAGTTTAAAAAAATAGCTTTTTTAGTCACTGATGGCATCTTCTTCTTGTCCCTCTGGAGGCTCAAAAACCGGAGTGTGGAACATCCCAGGGAAGGCTTTAAAATCACCATAGAGACAAACAGGTGCTGGCCTGTCTATCTTAAAAGTGGCACAGTGAACCTTTAATTCTTTAACTTAGCTAAAACTTAACATAAACTTGTGCCCCTTGTTATGGATTATAAAATATTAATACTGGATTTCATAAATAACAGATGTTGTATTGACCACTGCATTTTTTTTAGTTATAGTGGGCTGATCTCACTTGGTGACCTCACTGGGTGACCTCTCGTTCGTTGGTGGGGATATGAGCACCTGGGCTGGCGACCATTTTGTCTACTGTGGTCCAACACAAGACAAATGTTTTGACAAAGGCTTTTTACGAAAACATAATTTAAAAAAAAAAAAAAAGCTTTTGGACATTGGCCATCTTTTTTTAAATGGCTGTTCCTTGCATTCAGGGGAGGAGTGGCGGACGAACTCATGGACAGTCTACTGTTTGCTGTGCTAAGAGCAGAGGGCGCTAATACAATAATGTGCCCATTTGTCAAGCATAAATTTCGTAGGCCTAAAAGCCGACAAAGAAGAGTAGGTTACTCGTTGGTTTCCACATGTCAAAGACGTAGAACAGAAAACAAGAAAGTTGGATGGGAAAAGGTTAAAGACCAAAATGCAAAGTCGTATGTGTTCAATCAGAAATAGTTCATGTTGGTTTGTTTTCTTATTTAAATGATCACCCCCCCCAGTCTGTCCCTGCTTGCATTTACATCTGTTTTTGTGTGTGGCCTGGTCTGTTTGTGTGTGACCTAGTCTGTGTGTGTGTGTTTGTGTGTTTGTGTGTGTGACCTGGTCTGTTTGTGTGTGACCTGGTCTGTGTGTGTTTGTGTGTGACCTGGTCTGTTGGGGAGGGAGGTGGAAGGCACGTTGGGCAGAGGAGTCGTCTCTGGTCCCCCGATCTCCAGAAGGTTTTTGTCCAAATCCTCCTGCTGCAGCTCGTCCAACTCAGCTAACAACTCATCCTGAGAGAAAGAGAGAAAGGAAGGAGAGAAGGAGAGAAGAGAGGAGAGGAGAGAGAGGAGAATGGGGCAGAGGAGAGGAGGGAGAGGAGAAAAGAAGAATGGGGAGAGGAGGTAGAATGAGGGGAGAGAAAGAAGACACAGAATAGAGAGAGGAAATGAGAGGACAGGAGAAAAAGAGACAGTGATAGAACAAAAAGAGACAGAGAGAGATCCATCAGTCTCACTCCCAGCACCATTATCTGTAGTGAAGAAAAACCAAAAGCTCCTCTGGGACAAATCAATACAAACTGCTTCAGACTAAAAGGATGAGACAAAGCGCAGAGGTCATGTAAACAAGAGAGAGACCGTCACGGGAAACAGTAACACGTCACAAACCAGGAACACATCAGCGGTAAAATAATTTGAAAATGTATATAATATACTGTAAGTCGCATTTTTTTTCATGATTTGGGTGTGTCCTGCGACTTATACTCCGGTGCAACTTATATATTAAAATGTTGACAGTGAAGCGTTGAAAGGCTCTAGTCTTGTTTGTCAGTATCTGCTGCTCCTGTTCCTCTTGTACCACTGTCACTTTATTGCTGCTTCACTGACTGTTTTTCATTGTTTAAAACTTGAGTAATACTAATTATTCAGAGACATGATCACTCAGTCAACAATGAAATAGCCTCATTAATGTTCAAAACCACCTTTATTTTTGTGATTTACATTTATTGGCTTGGGTTGCCAAAGGTTTGTGACTTTTAAAATATGGGTCCCCAGAAAAAAAGGTTGGGAAACACTGGTTTATGCTATAGTTATCTGAAGAACTGTTCATATGTGACGTTAACAGTCTGTTTTTCTCTGTTCTATTGTTATTACTAGAACTTGTCTTTCAAGATGAAACGTTGGTTCCTGTTCCTGTTTTATATTAAAAAAAAGTGCGACTTCTAGTCTGGTGCGATATATATTTTTTCCTTCTTCATTACGCATTTTTTAGCTGGTGAGACTTTAACTCCGGAGCAACGTCCAAAAAATACAGTAATTATCTTTTTTTTAGAGTATTGGTGACTGACCTCGTCGAAGTCCTCTCCATACGACACCGGTTTGGAAATGGCCTCAGAAATCTCCTGGGCCAGTTCTCTCTGCTCTGAGATGTCCGCCATCAGGTCGTCCACTTTATCGATGTCCCTGAAAGCACAAACACAAACACAAACACAGGAGTGGGTCGTGACTCCTCTACCTGCTCCATCAGAATTAACTGCAACAGGGACAGAAGCTACAAAGCCTCTGACACTGGAACAAAAATCTAGAAACATTTGGGGAGCTTTATATTGTAGTTTTGGGAACATTTTGACCTCAGGACCCTAAACTGTGCTGTTCTGAAGCAGTGATACATCCAAAGGAAGGATTTTACTTGTAGAAGTGGACAGATAATGGAAATATTGTGACTGTTTATTGTTTATCCGCCCTTTGCCCATCCTGATACTCGTCCTGATACTCGCCCTGATGCCCTGATGCCTGCTGACTCACATGTCATGTGCCGCCTTCATGGCCTTGGCAGCATAGCCCATGTTCTTCAGGACCTCTGTGTTGGTGTTGGCGTTTTCCAGAGAGTCGCGCTGGAACTCGATGGTGGACAGAGTGCCGTCGATCTGCTCCAGCTGCTTCTCGTATCTCTTCTTCCTCTTCAGTGCCTGGATCGCCGCTAAACACACACATACACAGACACACACAGACACACACAGACACGCTGGGTTTACAATCTTCTTGGGGAAATTACATTAGAAACATGCAGCCTGACCATAGACTGTGTAAAGAATCAGTAAGAAGATAAACTAAATAAAAAGATCAGAGCAGGTTAAAATGAACATTTTACGACCAAAATGACGAGGCTCACAGCAGCAGTTACAGAAAGACGGGCGACAATTTATCAATGTAAATTCAACTGGGGCCAGAGTCGATGCAGCCAGAAGCGCGTCCATGCTCATTTCTTATTTCGAACGTGGCATCTGGTGGATTATCTATGTCCATTTATATTCAGTCTATGAGCCTGACCCAGGAGTGTAACGTGGCATCTTGGCCCAACAGCGTTACGTGTGAACAGAACCAGAACTGATTTCTCTGCATTTCCAATTTCCTGGTTGAATTACAGGAACATGCAGGAGCTCTGGTATTTTGTACTTGGCAGTTTACTGAGAATGAATGACTTACATTCATTTCCTGGAGACTTACACTTTAACCATAGTCACTATTTCCCTAACCTTGGCCTAAACCTGAACCTTCACCTATTTTAACCCACATCTGAACTAAAAAGGTTTGTAAATATTACATTACGCTACATTTTTTACACTACATTCTTCATGCTCACTATCTTTTCTCTGTACCAAAGTATTGGAAATGATACATACAGTACTGAGTAACTGTATTCCGGTACAGTTGCTCTTTCATTTGGTGGTATCAGAATATTACTTTTCTAAAATTAAAGGTTCACAGTATCTGAACAGCACGGCATTGGTGAGAAAAACAGAAAACACAGCGATGTTGACAGTGATGACTGCATTTACACTTTTTACTTTAATTACTGATAAATAAATACATGACAAATGTTGCAAATAAAATTGGATCCATCTTTTTCTGTTCTAATACCAATCTCGATACTTTGGCTTTCAGTAGCTGCAGATACTTGATACCGAGCAATACCAGGACAGAATGAAAATATAATTTATTTCCATACAAACAGTGTATGGTCAAAATAGTTTTGTAACTGTTATTTATTATTTCAAGTAACTACAGAACTAATTTTCCAGTTTTGGGTCAGCATGGTTCAATAATTGATCTTATTACACAAATGTGTAAACCAAAATAGGATATTATCTTCTTTACGCAGTCTATGATCTAAACCAGGGGTGGGCAGTTATTTTTTCCATGGGGCCACATGAGAAACAAAAAATATTGTGGAAATGCTTAACTCAATTCTGCATATATTAATTGTATTTCTTTATAAAAAAGCAGTAAATATGATTATTTGATGAGCTGTAAGACTGGTAAGAGTTTATATTTTGACTAAGCAATGAAAAAGTGAGGTTGCCTTATAAAAAATTTCATTAAAAATACCTTTAAAATAAAAGCAATGCCTGCATGAGTCTTTAAACAGAAAGTTACTCTTACTGGAAAATGTGAAAATGGGCAACGTACAAACCCGAGGCACTCTGACTGAATATATTAAAAGTCCTTTATTGCATGAAGTCAACACATTTTGACCAGCAAGATGGTCTTTGTCAGGGCAAAGTGGCCCACTTTCATTTTCACATTTTCCAGTAAGGGTAACTTTCTGTTTAAAGACCACTGTTTTAATCCTCATAGAGCACCTGTACTGCTATTTTTTACTCTTTCAAGAACCTGTGAAGCGCTCTACCTCTTTGTTCTTCATCCCTTGCATACATGAGTTTGCACGCATGAGATAAAATTATAAAATATGTTCATTTTGTAATTCCAACGTAGCTCAAAGGGAACAGTCTGAGTCAGCCAAAGGGCTGTATGTGGCCCTGGAGCTGTACAATGCCCAGGTCTGGTGTAAACTGAAACCGATATCGATACTAATTCAATTCTAATCTTCTGCCACGTTTATTACACGATAATATAATGCAACTCAACGTGACAGCATTCAGATTAAAATGTTCAGAACAGATGAGAACATATATTGGAATAGGTTACAACAGTTTAACAGGTATTCAATGTTCTTTAACTAAATTCTTCTACCATTCTGTATTCTTATGTATTCTTCTAACATGAATCTCAAAATAGACTTCCCCACCTATGAGAGAAACACACCTGGATTATGCAGGATTAACCCTTGACCACTAAACCTTATCTTTATTGCGAATAATTAAAGCTGTATAAAAAAGCAGATGTAGGACTTGGTTGAACCGGGCTCAAACCAGATCTAAACCAGGACTAGACCCTGATAAAGCTGTTAGGAGAGAATCACAAAGTTGACAGAAATAGCAGGTGGTGTCTCCAGTCCCACATCTGTATCCCTCTGCCATGGTAACAGCTAACAGCGATGCTAACCTCAGGACAATGAAACACAAATAAAGCACACAGCTGTCTCAAATGTTGACATCTTATTAAGTCTCACCGCGTTTATTTTTGGTCCCGTGCTTTTTCGCCAGAGCCAGTTCCTGCTCGATCTTCTTCTCCAGAAATTCCTGCTTCTTGGTGAGCATCTCCTCGGTGTCTCGGAGTTTCTGGATCGCCTCCTGAGTGCTCGGTCCTTTGCCTCCTTTGCCTCCTCCGAACATTTTCGCGATCAGCGCCATCTCTGCGACGCCTTATCTCTCAATAATGTTATTTTCGGGGGGTAATGTGTCCTCTTTTGGCCGTTATGTCACAACACCGATGAGGATGAGGATGATGACAGCTCGCGGAGATGATCGGGGCGGGAGGAGGTTTGGCTTGTTGACGTTTTTTTTTTTTTTTTTTTTTTTTTTTGATCGGGACTTTTTTTTCTTGTTTTTTCTTTTATTCTTTTTTCTTTATTTTATCAATATTATTGTTATTTATTTTATTATTATTTTTTTTATTTTATTATATTTTTTGATCGGAACTTCCGTAAAGGCCGAGTACGTGCTACGCATAGATAGTCAGGTATTTGGCTTGCTGGACGTTTATTTATTTTATTTTATCATATTTTTAAATCGGGATTTTTAAAATATATATTGTTATTATTGCTATTATTTGTTTTATTTTAATTTATTTTTTGATCGGGACTTCCGTAAAGGCCGAGTACGTGCTACGTCACGGGTATTTAAATAAGGGCACGGCTGTTTTAAGGATTTTTATTTTACTTTTAATTCATTTAATTTGTAATCGCGTGTAGTTACTGTGGTTACTCTTTATATTGCTTTGTTATTATTATTGCTAAAAAAAAAAAAAAAAAAAAAAAAAAAAAACCTTTAACAAACAAAAGAACAGCGGTATACAGACCGTAAAGTTTGTCTCCCTCTGCTGGACACAAAAGGTAGTACAGAAACACACAGCGCAATATAATAGAAATACAGCAACTATTATAACATTACATATATATTTACTAGGCTATATGTTTATGACATGCACAATAACTAACAAATTGAGTAACAAACTGAATTAAACTGAAAAACAAAAACATTATTATGCCTTTCTTGTGTTCAAAATTTGGATTGCTCATTTTTTTAATCCGTATTTTATTCATACTGAATTATTTTAGCCACTGCATTCAGGCATATTAGGTTATCCATTAACTAATAAGATCATCCCTGTCGTATAAACTCATTTTTAAAGCCGCAGTATATAACTTCTTAATAAACACAATATTTTCATTCTGGTTGCTTTTATTACACTGAGAAAATTGAGGGCTTGCAGCTCTACAAACCGGACTCACCAATATTTGGAAGCCTTTTGCTTATTTCAATAGAAGTGCTGTTCCTTTGGCTATAATATTCCACAGTATAGCATTAAACATATCTATTTCCATGGAGAATGTTGTGAAGTCTGGTTTGAATCATGCAGGTGACTTTAACAACTAGGTTACACAGTATAGACAAGTCAAACTTTTTTCTTCAAATTTAAATTTTAATAAGGCAATCTTCTCACAGTAAGGTTTAAATGTTTTTAATTAAAGGATAAGATAATTGGTTTATCACAAATGACAGTCAAGAAAAAATATTGACCGAGAAACAAGTCAAATGTGTGAATCTGGTTTCATTCTAGTTTAACGCTCAAACTGAAGACTTGAGGTCAGCTGAACCAGACAGCATTTTCCATATAGTGCAAGTGAGTATTTAATTTAACCAATGCACAGTGTAGTACAGTCATGAAGAAGCTTGAACCTGCTGCCACCTGCAAAAAACATTGAAACAATTGACACAACAAACCAAAAGTTTGCCATTTACTGAGGGTACCGCGGCAAAAGGTGCATCTAAGGTTTAACTTTTCCGGTGGAGTGTTTATCACGTTTAGATGTTACTGCTTCGTCTCGAATGTTTCACAGTATGGCATTAAACCGTTCTAGCATCGTAGAAACCAAACCGGACCATGTTACAGGTCAGATCTGTGGAGAGACACCCCGCTCGCAGTCAGAATGCCTGTTTTTCCTAGGTATTTTTGAGCTATAAAACTATCTGTAATTGAATAAATGTAAGGTAAAGCTGTTTAATGTCATACTGTGGAACATTTCGGGCACTTCTGCAGAGCACTGTTAACAAACCAGACTTTTAAATGCGGATATTATTTTGGATTGTGATAATAAAGGAGTTGTAGACATTGATAATCGTAATTTTCATGGGTTCTTTCATTCTAAAACCTTAATACATTCGCACCAGTCACCATCATAAAGCGGAATCAAGAGGCTCCTTCCAGCAAGTTTGTGCTTTAAAGCTGCACTATGTAACTTTTCTCATCTCCGTAGAGTACAATACATATATACATACAAAAAAACAAGATACAAGACCACCCAAAGTAAGAATTTTTTGTAATTAAACACCTGTAAGTGAATAAATCCAATCCAATAATGCCATACTGAGGAACATTCCAGGCAAAGCAATAGAGTCAAGCGGTGACGTCACTTCAGAGTCCAACAGGCAACAACACAGCTGAGATTTGTAGCTCTGTTTTTGCTCCTCGTACAACAAAAAATCTTTCAAACGTGTGTGTTTAACCGTACATTTTCAATATAACGTAGTAATAATCTGGTAGTGTGTGTGTATTTCATTACCTGCCGGTCACTGCTAACCAGAATCTCAAAAATAAAAAACTAGGATATCTCCATTTTTTGATGGTTGACAATAAAATTGTGAAACGAGTGCGAAATTAAGGAAAATTATTATACAGAGACCATTCAAGACGAATATGTGAGCCAGTACAGTCACATTTTCTTTGTGTTTTGGTCGTTTTAAGCAGATTTTGTGTATTTTACCTAAACAAATGACAGTTTTTGCCTCTCTTTACTGTTATTTATTGTTCAAATTGGTCAAAAATGGGGATACTTTGGACATTTCTTCTATAAAATCGGGATAAATCAGTGGTTTTGGATGAATCTGGGACACAAGGCTCAAAACTGGAACTGTCTTGGGTAAAGAGAAAGAAGAAAAACGTCGTGACGTCAGCCCACAGCGTTCGGCTCCAGTCAAATGAAGCTCAATGAGGCTGCGGTTACAGGAGTGAATTTGGAGCAGAGTTCAATGTGAGGAAAAGGAATTTACAGAAAAAGTCGCAAAATAAATACCCGGGGATGATGAAGAGTGAGTTAATCATTTTACGACCAAAATGACGAGTCCGACTGAGCAGTTACGGAGAAAGGGGCCATGTTTTTTCATTACAAAGTCAACACGGCGGCTATGTCTATTTATGCATACTTACTTTTAAAGTGTCTTTTACAGATCCATGCTTACATCTTTTTACATCTTCCATTAAAAAGATGTTCTAGTAGTTAAAAATGGAGGAAACTGTAAATGTGTTAATCTTTTTCAATCCATCGAACCCTGAAGTGGCGTCACCTCACCGAAACGGTTACACAGTGCAGCTTTTTAAAAAAACAAACCAAAAAAACGGCAGACTGATGTTAAATAAAAGTATCTGGACATTCCACCTGCGTACATCTGCATACTTCACACTTTTTGGTAGAAATTAAGACGAGGAAAATCAAGATTTAATTCACAAATAAGCACAAGTTTGATAGATGAGCCTTCCATCTGTTTGTTATTGCCTTTAACTGGGAAAAAAAAAAAAAACAGAACAGAATGAAACAGGACACAGCAGCTCCTCACAGTCCCTCCTCCTCCTTCCTCCTACTCCTCCTCCTCTTCCTCATCTTCCTCGGGCAGTGCCGGTGGGGGGCGCTACAGGAACACTCTGCCCACGATGATGCCCACAATGAAGAAGACCACGCAGAGGATCCAGCCCATCATGGAGTCCTCGTGAAGGGCGCCACCCGCTGATGAAGAGCTGGAGACGGAGGACTGGCCAATGTTTCTCCTCCTCACGCCGTCACGCTCCTGAAATAAAAAAAATAAAAAAAAACACAAAGAGTGCTGAGACAAGAGGTGAGCGGGCGGAGGAGTACAAGTATGGGCTTTTGGGGAGTAGAAGTACGTTCGGAGAAGTACAAGCATCGGGCATTACGAGGAGTACAAGTATGGGGCGTTCGGAAGAGTAAAAGTAGGGGGGGTTAAGAGGAGTACAAGTATGGAGCGTTGAGAGGCGTTCAAGTACGGGGCATTTGGACAAGTACAAGTACGGGGTGGTGGAGGGGGAGGAGGAAGAAGGATCAGCAGTAGGTGGAGGTGTAGTAGTAGTAGTCACTATAGTAGTAGTTGTTGTAGTTGTAGTAGTAGCATCTGTAGTAACAGCAGTAGATGAAGTAGTAGCTGTAATACTAGTAGTAGTAGAACTAGTAGAAACTGTAGTAGTAGCTGTAGTAGTAATAGCTGTCGTAGTAATAGTAGTAGCATCTGTAGTAACAATAGTCGTAGTCATAGTAGCTGTAATAGTAGTAGTAGTAGTAACAGTAGTAGATGAAGTAGTGGTGCTGTTTTAATAATGAGATTTAATTGACCCTTTACTCTAAATCTTTCATGAGTTGATAAAATAAAATAACAGATATTGTAAAGGACAGAACTGTGATTTCTTAGTGACAATTACACTTTTGTGTTTCCTTGTCTTGTAAATCCTCTGAAGTGGTTGAGCTGGTGCAGTGCTCAGAAACCACTTCCTCTCTTCAAACTCTGTCTCTTCAGATTGACAAAACCTACAGAGCGGTTCATGTCTCCTCGTCTGTCCCTCCCTGTGGTCTCCTGTGGACTCTGTGGTCTCCTGCACTGCCTGTGGACTTTGATGCTGACTCCTCGCTCCTCACTGGTCACTTCTTGGTTTAAGCTTCCTGTTGTTCTCTGTGTAACACTCCTCTTCCTGGTCTCATGCTCCCTCATATTTCAAAGCCTTTCTCTTGTACCTTCCTGCTCTTATTCCTGTTCTCGGTTAAGTCCAATCCATAGACTCTACAAATGATCGTACATATCTTCGCCCTTCTCTCTGTAACTGCTGCTGTGAGGCTTGTCATTTTGGTCTTAAAATGTTCGTATTGACCCGCTCTACGTGATTCTGTTGTTTTTGTTTCGCTGTTTTGTCCGTAAATCGAACCCAGTCCCTCCTAAACCAACGATGCGGGCAGGAGAGGGCGTGTATCTTCAACATTCTCGCTCCTGACTGGCTCTTTGGGATTTCCAAATATTTCCGCAGTGATGACTTGCACATTAATATTGTCAAAAAATCTGAGCGACAAAACGTAAATTATCAATGTGTGTAAAATCCCACAGGGTCTGTTTACACGAGAACGCTTGTGGGTAAAAAGGACAAAATATTTTATTGGAAGTGCCTTTCGTTTAGACCGTGATGGCGTTTTTGGGGCTTAAAAATGCAAAAATCTGAAACCACCCTCCAGAGTGGAAAAGTTGAATACGCTACGCCACAGCATTTCCATCTACACTGCCCAAGATGCAAAACTCTGGTCAGATCTGCTCACGTCGTGTACAAGTTTACGTCACATACATCACCACCAAGCCGCCTGGCATGCAGACCCAATCGAATTCCACACATTTTTGCGTCACCGAATGCACACAGATTTCCTCCTGAAAACGCTAATCTAAACGTGGAATAAAAGTGAAGACACAACACAACTTTTGCATCTTCTATTCAGACGTCATCATATAAATCAAATTCACAGAAGCCAAAATTAAAAACTGGGACTAAAATGTGGGCCAAACTAAATATTTATTGAAAAATTTCAACAACATCTGCATATTTTCTCTTCTTTCGAGATATGTAATCAAAATAAATGTTTAATAATAGTTTTGCTTGTACATTGAATCCAGAACAAGGGAAAATATTAAATTATACAAAAATTTAAAATAAATAATGTCTCTATAGCCTATCTGTAGCAAGCGGGCAGCTCTAATACATAGTCCAATGAGGTTCATTTGGTCTTCCGATAATTTATGTTATTAGGTTCTTTTTTCACACCAAAAGTTTGTTTTCATACCTGACAGTTTCGACTGCTCCCTGTGCTCTTCCTCAGAGTCTCGTGATGTTGCTGTGACGTGTCCAGTCAGTTGATTTAAACAAGTTTTGGCGCGGTTTTCCTACCGGTGGAGGCAGGACGACAGCGCCATTTCCAGTCTGACTTCCTCATCGACAGTATTCCAGGTGTGCGAGTGTAAAAAAGCCCTTCGACCCGGTTTATCGTCCCGTGGGCACGTTTCTGTATTTTGATTGTCTCTTTAATCCAGTGACGTTTTCCTCTGTCCCAATGATGTTTGCTCTGTCCCGGTCCATAATGTGGTTCTCTCTTTTACAGTGGTCAGAGAGGAAGTCGGACTGCAGATGGTGCTGTCGTCCTATCTCCAGTGGTAGGAAGACAGTGCCAAAACCTGTTTAAATCAGCTGACCAGACATGTCACAGCAACATCACGTGACTCTGAGGAAGACCACAGGGAGCAGTCGAAACTGTCAGGTATGAAAACAAACTCTTGGTCTGTAAAAAGAACCTAATAACAAATTATCGGAAGACCAAATGAACCTCATTGGACTATGTCTTAGAGCTGCCCGCTGCCTACAGATACAACATAGACACATTATTTATTTAAAATTTTGGTATTATTTTATATTTTCCTTGTTCTGGATTCAACATTTAAGCAAAATTATTATTCAAGTTTTGGTCTGCAAAAAAGAACCTAATAACATTGCTCTAACACATATTTGACATGATCTCGCGGGCCAAATATAATTATATCGCGGGCCAAATGCGGCTGATATAAACGTAGTCTCAGTCGTCCAGGTCGAATTTAAGTCAAATACATTTTCGACCTAAATAAACGTTGTCCATTTGACAAATTGAATTTCTCCTTGCCAAAAATGACCAAGACTTTAATTTATGCCAACATACAGGGCACGTAGAGCTCTGCCTGACCCAGCTTCATACATAATACTTCTAACCCTCGCCAAACCTCACTGATTCAGCTTCAGAGTCCAGAGCCTGACTTTGGTCTTTGTGATACTTGGAGTGACTGGTTTGAAGCACTGGACTACCCTCTCCTCTGTTTTTCCCTCTCTGTCTCTTGTCTCCTTCTGTGCTTGTTTCAAACTCTAAACCCGTCTCCCCTCTCTCCTTCAGTGTCTCACCCAGATCTGTTTGTTCTCGTCCCGTAGCCGCTGCACTTCGCTCTGGAGCCTCTTGCACTCCTCTAGGATCTTCTTGGCCTCTCCGTCGTCCAGGGAGGAGGAGGACTTGGGCAGCGCTGACGCTTCGCTCTTTACAGAGGGGGAGGCAGAGGAAGAGGACAGGGGTTTGGTGTCTCCCTCGGACTGCAGGCAGGGGGTGAGGAGGAGGAGGAGGAGGAGGGATGAGAAGCATGCGGAGACGGGAGGGAGATGGGAGTGTGACAAAAGAGGAGATGAGTAAATCAAATGTGGGATGGGAAATGGACGTCAGGTGGACATCCTTTCAAAACAAATCTATGACATAATTGGACTGCATTTTTCAAATCCCCAGAGCAGGAGCTAATCAAAAGCCAAAACACCAGCACTGGGAATGAGGCTGGAATTCCATTGAACCCGGAAGTGGGCAAAGTACGGTTATGGCGTCACTCAGCAGTCCCATTATGTGACTGAGATGGATCGATGTTAGAGTTGAACAATCTACCAAGCTGCGCCATTACTGTTCAATATAATGATGTGTAGAATATCACATTAGATAGACTTTTTTTTTTTTTTTACATTTGTAGACACTGGCCACATTTACATGATGTTTTTTTAATTCTGAATTAACTGTTCTGAATTTAATAGTTTATAATTAAAATATTAATATATTTTAATATATAAGTTTACATGGAAATAATTCCGAAATGAGGTTTACATGGAAAACAAGTTAAATTGCCTTTATTTAAAGGGCCAATCTCATGCAAAATAACTCTTTTCACATTGTATCTTCTGCACATATTCAAGCACAATTTGGGTTTTGGAACATCCATTACACAATAGTTCTGAAATCTTACTGATTTCTTGGAGGCAGTCACAGACCAGGAACTATGAAAGGCCGACTATTGCTCTTCCCCCCGCCCGTCCTGAGAAAGCACAGGCTCCACCGTCCCATCTCAGGGAGGGAGGGGGAGACAGGCGTGCGCCCTGTTAGCATTAGGAATAAACTTTTATTCATCATGGAGATACAACACGTTCAGCCGCATGTGTTGGACCCGGAATCGGACGAGGACTTTGAGGTGCACGAAGGGCAAGCACCGCGTCGACATCAGCTGAACATTACTGATTGGTAAAGTATTAATAAACACTAGTAGATAAACTTATTATATCGTGTACACTACAGTGTAGAACAATGAGCTTATTCTGTCGCTTTTGTTTAGGTGTTTATGTGGAAATTGTCAGTTGATGCGGGACGGAGGCGGTGGAGGGGGGCGGGTGTGAAACATTTTCTGCTACGTCAAACGCGTCATAGGTGTAGCTGCTGCGTCATCGTTGTAGCAGCTTTAGTTCGCTGTCACGTGGGAGGGTGGGAGAAATATGCTGCAATTTGTTAAAAAACGCAGAATCAATCTAAAAAACACTTCGGTGACAAGGCCCACACATCACTCTTAGAAGGTAGAAAGCTCTGAAAAGTTGATTTTGCATGAGATGGGCCCTTTAATTCTGCTCAACGTCTGGGGGTGGGGAAGGATTCTGATTGGACAGGGACATGAACGTATTTACATCGACCAGAAGAAAATACACACTTCAGCTGCTACCGGCTTTTCTGTCATCTCGGTTTGTCGTTACGCCACGGACACAAACACGATCCAAACTTTTTTTTTCCAGTGGTTCCAATAATAATTGAGCAGCAGCTGGAGAATTCCCTCATCGAGCTTTATGTCTGTCGGCTGAGGAGGAGAAGGGAAAAGTGTTGGAGAAGGGAGGAAGAAGACAAACTGAGTCAACGGCTGCTCTACCTCAGCCCACTCCCACATCCCGCTCACAAATCCAAAGAGACGTGGATCAAAGTCCAAGGCCAAGACTGGTGGAGCTGGATCATCTGGATCGCGTCAGAAAAGTGACCCAATGAGCATGCACCGGAATTATTTTTAAGAAGAATAAAAGTTTACATGATCGAGGAATAAATTAATTTGGCTTTAAAATCGGAATAAACCACCCACTTACTTCAGAATTAAACTTAATTTTCATTAGGAATTAAGTGTTTACATGGTATTTTTAAAGTGGAATAATTTTTAATTTTTTCAGAATTAAATTGTTTTTATTTGGAATTAAAGCTCTCATGTAAGCGTGGCAAGTGTTAAGTGCAAGAATATTACATTAGAGAGAAAACAGCAGTGCCTTTTTTGTAGACATTCAAAAATATTCACCCCCAATTCTTTCTAGTTACACACGATATAAAAATAAAATAATTCTCATTGGCTTCATTGGCAGCCGCAGCTAATCCCTCATACAGCAAATTGTATGTTTATTCCAGATGCCCTCCCAGAATTAATCTTTAGAATTTACACTAACCAAGATCAAATGGTCCAAAAGATGAAAATAAGGAACAGTTTGTGAATGTGGTTGTACAATACTAAAACCACACAGATACAGGACAGACAGCAGTGGCTTGGTGTTCAACCTCCATACATTCTGGCATTGTGTCCTTGAGCATGACACTTTGCACACCTTGGCGAGCATGAATGTGATGTGAGTGACTGGAGGTGGTTGCAATGGCTGACGACGCTTTCTCTGGTGACTCAAATAAAAGTTATGACCGGGGAACAGTTTTTTGTATTTGTCAAAACTGAAAACGGACCTCGACGGAACAAAAATTTAAGATACACAAACCGATTTGGAAATACTTACACTGTTATCTGGCGGCATCTCAAATGTGCACCTGAGCCTGGAGTCCATCAGCTCCTCAGGTCTGGCCTCCCTCCACTGTGGATGGAACAATATGAGCTGTTATATAGTTCATGTATGAATATGTGAACATGACCAGTCAAAAGTTTCGACACACCCTCAAACTCATTTTTGATTTTTTTTTTAACGAGATGTGTTTAACATTTCTTTTTTTTCTTTGCTACATAATTCCATATCCATTCCCTTCCATATCTTACTTTACATCTTCTGTATGTATATAAAATGTAGAAAATAGTAAAAATAAAAAGTGTGTGTGTGTGTGTGTGTGTGTGTGTGGGTGTGTGTGTGTGTGTATAAACACCAGTTAAACGTTTGGACACATTTACTCATTCTGAAGGTCATTTACTACTTTGATTCTTTACATTTACTACTTCGTACATTGCAGACATCAAACACATGAAACATGAAGCATGAGGTTATGGAATTATGTAATAAATAACCCAATTGTTAGTGAATATAACAGGTTTTTATGATTCTCTTTTTTCAGGGCCCATGCCGATACCGATTCTTTAGTTATATTCCATTTCATATTTTTTGTCTGATATGCATCCACAACTTTCTTTTACTACAAACTGTGTAGAGAGCAGGGTCTATCTTTAGACTAAAGTGTTCGCAAAAGCTATATGCGTATATTTTTCAGGCTGGTGATTTATGGCCGATAGCTGATACTTTAAAAAGGGCAGATATCGGCACACCGATATATCGGTCTGTCTCTAATCTACTTGTATATTTATCAGAGGAGAGGCTCGACTTACCACTTGCTCCATGTCCGTCATGTTTTCTGGAGCCAGCATGGACATGACCATGAACTTGTGTCTACTCCTGTCGTTGGGGTCATATTCAAACGGCTGCAGCATCACTGAACCAGAGACAGACGAGACAAATGACCATCGTCAAACGGGCAGCAGGACACACACTGTCGTTAAATTTAAGATTTATATAACATTTATCTACGATACATGACCGGGTGATTTGGCATGCTGTGGCGAGTTGTGACGTGCTGTGGCGGGTTGTGACGTGCTGTGGCGGGTTGTGACGTGCTGTGGCGGGTTGTGACGTGCTGTGGCGGGTTGTGACGTGCTGTGGCGGGTTGTGACGTGCTGTGGAGGTTGTGACGTGCTGTGGCGGGTTGTGACGTGCTGTGGAGGGTTGTGACGTGCTGTGGAGGGTTGTGACGTGCTGTGGAGGGTTGTGACGTGCTGTGGAGGGTTGTGACGTGCTGTGGAGGGTTGTGACGTGCTGTGGAGGGTTGTGCCGAGTTGTGACGTGCTGTGACGTGCTGTGGTGCGTTGTGGCGAGTTGTGACGCGCTGTGGCGTGCTGCGTGTGCTGGTACAGACCGGACACGTTGACGGAGGTACCCGTGTCGATGACTCCGCTGTTGGGCCTCACACAGTACCGACGCGGCGCCGTGGTTTTCACTTTGAAACACACATTTCTGTGGGACGGGTTGGTGAGCCTCAGGGTGGCAGTGACCACGTCTGTGAAGGGACCTGGAGACACACGGAGACACACAGACATGTAAGTTTGTTGTTGCATTATTACATCTTTAGCCAAAGCAGTTCTATAAATAAGTTCATTTTTGTCGCTCCCTCAAATGCAACTGAATTACCGAGGTGGGCGATATTGATAAAGATTCTGTAGAAATCAGTGGGCTTTATATATATTTTTGCAGTTAGAAGGTGCGGACAAATATCATATCTCCACTGAGAGAAGCAGGTGACGGGCCCCCTTCCAGAAAAGTTACATAATGCACCTTTAAACCATAAATATACAGGCTCAGTCTCTCCGCGTTAGAGCCTGGGGGCTGGCCTGTCCCTTTCTTTATTATTACACTCTGAATGCCCCAAATAAATCGGCCTAGCTTAAATTTAGAAAAGCTGGGGAGGAATTTTGGCTGTTTCACACGAGTAGTTAAGCTTCAGATTTACAAAGAGGTTGTTTGGTGATGTTACCTCAGAGGGGGAGCGGAGGCCTGTAAAACTCCACGGAGGATTCACTGTTCTCAAACACAATCCAAAATGGAAATCCAATTCACTGAACAAGGCTGAGCAGTTAATCAAAGTAATCTTTTTAATTTCTGTTTTCTATAATAGAGATTTAGATTATTATGAAATGTGGATTATTATGAAACCATGAAAAAATGGGATAAAACCAAGTGACTTTGGTTCTCGCAAAGCAGGATAAAACAAAAGGCACTGAAAGGACATATCTACACAAATATAATTTAAGGCAGTTTACAATATCCTATCCTAAATAACAGGATATGATCAGAATAAAAACACAAAGAGCTCCCACTCTTTGGAAGACGGGCAGTGTCTATTCTGAGTTGGATTTAAATTGATTAAAATCGTAATAGTGTGTGAAAAAAGCTCTACACTGAACCTAATCATTATTGTTAAGGATTGGGCAAACAAACCTGCAATACTAATGTAATGTCTTTAAGTCCTTTCAACTGACAGAAATCAATGAACAAATAAATAGATGTTTATTTATACTGACAGGGACTAGGGGTGTGCAAAAATATTGAAATATCGATATATCATATCATTTAATGTGATGATATCTGCATCGATATATCACAAAGGGTATTTTTGGTATGTTTTTCTAAATTATTTTGTTACAGAGCTAGTTTTGTTGCTTGTTCAGAGGAAGGAAATGTGTTTGTGCAACACATTTGACATTTTCACTGTTTTGATGATTAAAATGGATGTGTTTCATATTAACTTTGTACAAGAAGTGGTTTAACAAAGACTTTTAGTATCACAGCATCAAATCGATTTGAAATATATTGTACTGAACCGAAAGCAAGATTATGTATCTTATTGTGGCCTGTCTATCGAGGTATTTATCGTGTTGGCAACATCTTAATGGTAACCAACCCTAGAGAAGACGTTGAACTTTGAGCTAGTTTGGGTTTTTTTTTCTTAAAAGGAGCTGTTAAATTGAAAACTACTGCTTCATGACATCACAAAGTGGAATAGGATTCTGATCTTTGGAGATGTAGACAGATATTTAGATGTAAAATGGTGAAAAGACATTGTGCATTCTCATGTCAGTCATAATCTGAGGGACTTCTGTTGTTGCATTTTTTTTGCCTTATGGTCATTTACAAACATTATTTTCTATTTATTTTGGCTAAACAAATGACAATTTATGCTCCTCTTTACTGTTGGCGGGGATCAGATCAGTCAAAAATTGTGATAGTCCTGTTTTACACTGCAAATTTCTCTGATCTGGCCAAGATTTTAAAACTTATGTCAGGTTATTCATCTTGTTTTCAGATTTATTGTCTACTTACTAGTTCTGAGATGCTTAATTCTAGTCTAGAGGTAGTTTATTTTAAGAACTTGTTCAGTAAAATTATCTTGCTGCATGGACAGATAATTTCACAACTTTTAAGTCATTTTCTGATTTATACAGCTATAGCTATAGTTGTATCTTAAATTTTGGCCAAGCTTTTTTGCAGTGTAGTCCTGGTTTTGATCAGAGTGGTCAAAAAATAGACACTTGGGACATTTCTTGTATAAAACTGGGACAAATCAGTGGTTTTGCATAAATCTGCTGGGACAGGGGACACTGGGCTCAAAAGTGGGACTGCCCCGGGTAAACAGGGACGTCTGGTCACCCTAATTAAAGATAAACATGTGTGAATTAAACTAAAACACAACTCTGGGTTTGTTTTTGATGAGGTAATAACATTATAACGTGCCTAAAAGCTCACTTGAATCCATTTTGAGTAATATCAGACCTTAAATAAACCATTATGCATAGTTTAACACAATGCCACGTACCCAGGTATCAAGTACTTATTAATAATTCATTAAAAATATTGTACAGGTTGTTGATAGTGGGCCTGCTCTGACGTTGCACACACTGTTAGCAGTTAGCCTAGCGCTTACACCTGTCAACGCGAACTAGAAAAGCGACAATAAAACTTTGATCAAATGTTTGCCCAAAGAATGCGATGCTTCCTGCGGGTTTTGTCCAACTTCAGAGAAGATCGCGGGGTGTGTGCGGCGGCCGTACCTCGGAATCGGAGCTCCTCTGGCGGGTCTAGCACCAGGACTTGCTCCGGTCTGGCCATGTCCCAGGCTGATGCTGCTTCTTCCTCCTCCGAAAAGAAAGGCTGCTGCTGCGGCGGCTACGACAGGTGTCCCCCGGGGGTCAGGAGAGGGGAGTGCGCGGGTCCGGAGGGTAGTTCCCGGGTGGAGAGAGGGGGCTGAGAGGCGGCGGAGGCGGGCGGACTGAGCGCCACTGACAGCTGCGGCTCCGAGCTAACAGGCTAACGGCGGCTAACACGGAGCGGAAGTGGAGAAGCACGGGGCGGGAACAGGAAATCTTTAAAATTTATATTAATTATTTTATATATATATATTAGACAAAATAAGTTACAGGTATCTTCTGTTTTTCATGATTTTCTCCCCTCTTTTTAAATTATTTATTATTTATATCTGACAACTGTCTCTTAGGGTGATCAGATTTTCAAAATAAAAAACTGGGACGTCCCCGTTTTTTTGGTGGTTAGTAATAAAACTGTTTTAATTAACATGTGAGTCAGTATAGTCACATTTTCTTTGTGTTTTTGGTCATTTTAAAGCAGTTTTTCTGTATTTTACCTAAACGAATGTCAATGTATGCCTCTTTTTATTATTGGAAGGTATCAAATTGGTCAAAAATAGGGACATTTTTTGTATAGAAATGGGACAAATCTGTGGTTTTGGATAAATCTGCAGTTACAGGGGACACCGGGCTCAAAACTGGGACTGTTCCGCTAAATAGGGACGTCTGGTCACCCTACTCTTGCCATCTTTTGCTACTTAGAATTTAGAATTGATATTTTTTACTCTTTATTATATATGCTTGTGGATCAATAAAGTTTGTCTAAGTCAAAGTCTATTTTTTTTTAAACTAGATTTTGTTTGGGGCATACAGTACTCTTCATAATTAACCTGAATTATAATATTTTTCCCCAATTAGTTAACCTTTATATTGGGAAAAATGTTTACAGGTAACTGCTATTTTCCATTTTCTTTTTGTATATGTTTATTTTATCAAGTACATGATCATATTTTGTAAAGTGCTGAAGAGAAGGGAATAGAAAACCTTCAAAATGAATCTGAATTGGAAAATGCTTTTTAACCAATTAATAATCAATGTTTTTGTCAAGTGTGAACTGAAACTGAAGCAACCACAGGGAACCCATCCAAACAGTGCCACATGCAAACAGACAGAACGACTTCATGTGGGACTCAAACCCAGAACCTTTTTGCTGAGAGGCCAAATCTCAAACTACTAAATATCACTCTTAATGTAGGCAAAGTTCCTTCAGTTTGGTCGACAACAACAGGCTAAAAAGCAGAACTAGTACTTCCATCTGGTAATGTTGATTTTGATTCTTTGCTGGGCGTGATCTACATGCATCTCTATAGATGCATCAAGAATCTCGGACTTCCGGTCATTGCGCAATGCATACTGGGAAGAATTTTCAAAAAAAGTGAGCATCAAACCGCCATGTTTGTTTTCTCAGTGGGATGTGTCTATTGACAAAGTCGATCTTTTCAAGTCTTTTGAACCATATCACTTTTGGTTCTGGTTCTGATATTGTCATATTTTAGTTTTGGGATTCGGACATTGTAATTGTGTGGTTGTTGGATCCTAATAGCGGAAAATGGCTCGAGAAATTTGTTTGCAAACTCCGTAACTGCAAAAGGGAATCAGATGTGTGTGACTGCAAACCTCTGTTCAAACTGTTTCCCTTCCCAACGGAATTGAAAAATAGTGAAGAGTGAAGGCGTATTGATATTGATACAGTATTGATACACAGGAAGGACCAAAAAGGAAACTTTTGTCTGCATAAGAAATCATCCCAAGTTTGCAGTGAACATTTTGTATGATCACAGACCAAATGTGACCTTTTTGGCCTGTTCTCTGGATCCTCGGTTCCCCATGTGGGCACAGCTTCAGCTTCCTACCTCTATTTTTGATGAAGTTACGGTCTCTCAAACATGCTTATATATTAAAGCTTCCAAAAAAGTGAGCATGGCCCTAAAATTTCAACAAGCCCTAACTCAGGAACAACTGAAGGGATTGAGCAAAATTTTAAGATTCTTTCATTTGGGCATTTTAGAAATTTATTGACATTTTTTCCAAGTCAAATCTGAGATGGCTCATTCTTTGAAAACAGAGGATTTCATATGGACTGACCCTAACTTGAGTAACAAGACCATGATAAAACAGAGTAGTGCTTCCAGTTAGTGTCACACCTCCCAAGGGAAAGTTGATGACATCTGCTGCAAAGCGTTAACAGCTTTTTCCAGTGCTTCCCAGTCTTGATGGCGAGTTACCAAGTCGTTGAGAGGAAGCCAATAACTATTCTAAGCTCTTCATTCAGAAATTTATATCCCTGAACTGTACTCAGGTCCACAAAGAAGAGGAGCAGGGAAAGTTATTTTACACAAATTACCATGGTCAGTTCAAATCCAGATAATATTAATTCTATAAAACTGTGAAGTCCAAGAAACAGAGCATTTAACTACAGACAGACTGGACTAAGAGAGAAAAGAAAACACAGATATTCTTTGAAAGTAGCTTCTGTGCGCCAGAGGTGGGACCAAGTCATTGTTTTGCAAGTCTCAAGTCTTTCACCTCAAGTCCGAGTCAAGTCCCAAGTCAAATACAGGCAAGTCCAAGTCGAGTCTCGAGTCACTGACCCATAAGTCCAAGTCAAGTCCAAATCGCTTCAAGTAATTTCAAATCTTTAAACCAAAATATAGCTTAGGTTTTTGCAATATATATGAATTTTAAAATAAACTGTTCTTTAAAAAATCATACTATATTTATGAGTTTTTATAAGAGTTGTAGAAATGCAGATTTTTCCTTTTTAAATGTCCTGTCCTGACAAGATCTTAGTGTGAATCATTATGGTCAGGATGGAAAGAATTCAGATTTAAAAGTGCTTCTCAAGTCTTCTCAATTCTTCAAGTCCGAGTCAAGTCCCAAGTCACCGACCTTCAAATCCAAGTCGATTCCCAAGTCTTAGTCCATTTTATCAAGTCTAGCCTAAAGTCCTAAAAATAGTGACTCAAGTCTGACTCGAGTCCAAGTTACGCCCATGCTCCTCTTTTTAAACACTTTCCTGAAACATAATTTTGAGGGCCTTGCTATGGATATCAAAATATTAAAATCTGTTATTGGTCACAGCAGCAAAATATGTTTCGGTTTCTGCTTTAAAGATACTTAAGTGAAAATGAGCCATGACTTTAGAATGTTGTTACCTTGTCAAAGAGACCTGGAGTTGTGTTTTGTTTCATTTACACATGTTTAACACACAAACCCTGCATATTTAAGACGAGTTCCTCAAACTAAAAGAACTTGGTTCCACGTTGTATTGCCATGTGGTAATACAGAAAGACTTTTTAAAACCCCATACCTTCACTACAACCGTGTGGATAATTTCAGCCCAGGAATTGCCAGTGTTTACAAGAGAAGAGGTTTAAAAGAAGAGGTGGAACACAAGATGGAACAGAGCATTTTGAGTTTTGGAGATGTAGACAGTAGTTGCGATTTTTCAAACAGGTATTGAGGTTCTGGTTAGATATGCGTTTTATATTATGTTTTATTTTATTTGACCTTTATTTAACCAAGATATTCCCGCTGAGATTAAGACGAAATCGGAGCACCCGGAGGAAACTGAAACAGGCGCGAGGAGAACATGCAAATTCCACACAGAAAGGCTCCACACTGCCCCAGAATCCAAACCAGGACCTTTTTCTGTGAGGCAAAAGCGCTAAGTACTTTGAATTGACTGAGCCGCTCAATAATAGGAAACTGTTTAAAGTTCACATTCAAAACGTGTTCAGAAGAATCACATTTCAGAACATTTGTACATTTAAAAAACCTAAACTACAAAAATAGCTGTTTTTATGCAGAATATGACAGGGTATTTTGTCATTTGTGGAGGAAATTAAGGTTCTAATAAAAAACAAAAATGGCATCCTTTGCGTCCATTCAAAACGCGATTCAGATTGAAATTAATCTCGCAGAGTGTAGTTTGTACACCTCCACAAAATATCACAATAAACATCATACCATGAGATTTATATGGTGAAAATATTGAGAGCTGATGGAGAATATAGGGGGCTGAGCCGAAACCGCTCAATCTCCATTCCTCCCCTCACCTCTGGTCAGGAGCTCTGGGTAATGACCGAAAGGACGAGATCGCGGATACAAGTGGCCGAAATGAGTTTCCTCCGCAGGGTGTCTGGGTGCTCCCTTAGAAATAGGGTGAGAAGCTCAATCACACGGGAGGAGCTCGGAGTAGAGCCGCTGCTCCTTCACGTCGAGAGGAGCAGCTGAGGTGGCTTGGGCATCTGTTCTGGATGCTTCCTGGGAGCCTCCCTCGGGAGGTGTTCTGGGCATCTCCCACCGAAAGGAGGCCCCGAGGAAGACCCAGGACACGCTGGAGGGACTATGTCTCTCGGCTGGCCTGGGAATGTCTCGGGGGGGGGGACGTGACTGGGGTGAAGGAAGTCTGGGAGTCCCTGCTTAGACTGCTGCCCCCGTGACCCGGCCCCGGATAAGCGGAACAAAATAGAAAATGGATGGATGGATATTGTTACATCTCTAATCGTGAGCCTGACCACCATATCGTGAGCTTTCTCCATGATATCGCAAGAAATATCGTACCGTGAGGTTCATACCATGACGATATCGTATCGTGAGACTTGGATATCATTACATCCCTAGTAGACAGACTTATACAGGGTATCCCCAGGTTTGACGACCCCAAATTTAAGACCTTTTTAAGACCACTTGAATGAAAATTAAGACCAACATCGCACCCATCATGTGGGCAAAACCCACCAGATCCAATTCTAATAATGACCAACCAACTACCAGTTCTATATCTAGAATGTCAAAGCCACTGTGGATTAAACTCACACTTCCCCATGATCCATCCAACTTCTTCCTCCACTGTACTGATTGTTTACTCAAATTCAAATTCGACATTCATGATTTCACATTGTTTTTTTTCATTGCACTGCAGCCTGGTTGAGTTTACAAAAAATAGGCTAATGAAACTTAAGACCTTTGTGAAAAAAAAATAAGGCCTTAATTTAGGAACATGAGGCTACCCTGGTATAATAAAGGATTACTCAAATGTGAACGAAGCAAACAACTTCTCCAGGTGTGTTTTTGAGGAAGTAACAGCCTTCTAACATGACAAAGTGCAGGAGAGTCAACTTTTATATCCTTATGTAGTAACACCCAAGTGCTGCATCAGTACAGTTCACCATCTTTACTTAATTACTATAAACTGTGAATGAAATAGTCATTGTTACGTGAAAATGTCCTGTCAAGTGTCTCTACAGACGAAAGAGAAAAGAGAGAACTGAACACAGCTTCAGTTGAAAGGGTTTAAGTTATAGCAATAGCACACCGTCAAGTGTACAATTTGTCAAGGTTCATTTGATTCTAATAAAATACCTTTAAAACCCATTTACAATTCATATATTTATCTTTTTTGGGGTAAACGGATCAAAACAGACAAATCATAGAGAAAGGATGGAAGGATCGAGGAGAGAAAAATACAAAAATAAAAGAAAATGGACAGAGTGAGAGACGTGGGAGGTGGGCAGGCTGGGGGGTTTGGCCAAGCGTTACAGCGCAGAATGACACCCAAGTTAGCTCATTACACACGTACTGTCATGATGAAGGCACAGGGATCTTTCTAAAAGTTTGTCTTTTCAATAAAGTTGTACAAAATAATACATTTTACAGTCTGTACAAGAATAATAGATCAGCTGTGAAGTGAGGACAGACACAGGAGAGGAGGAGGAGGAGGAGGGAGAGAGCGAGCGATGTGTGAATTTGTGAAGCCCATTTCCACCAAAACACTAGTGTCCCCGTTAAACGCATCCTCTTCCTTTATTATTTATGCTTTATTTTCTCTTCAAACAAAATGGGACATAAGAACAAATGAATATGTGGTGCAGGAGGGAGGGGGAGGGGAGTGGGGGAGCGGGCCGAGACAGTAACGTCAAAGAAAAAAGCGCACTTGAGAACAATGGCACAAAGTCCACACAGAGATGAACAGCTGTGGAGACGCGAAAACAGAACTAAAAAAAAAAAACAAAAAAACAAAAAAACAAAAAAAAACAAGTCAATCGTGACGAAAATGTAACTTTTACTGTAGGAGGAGGACACTTCAGACCTCTGTTTAAGTCCATAAAAGTCAATAATAATCTGTATTTTGATAAATCCTCCTTTTCGAGTTACAAGTCAAATAGTTGTGGTCACGTTTTCTCATCCTCCATTCAAGTCCAGGCTAATACTGCGATTTCAAGGCTCCGAACGTAATCTCGATGACGCACTGTGCTGTGTAAAACCACCTCCTCTCCAGCAGATGGCGATATGTTCCATTGGCATTCTTCGGAACGACTTCGGAATGGAACGTTTTCCGTGTAGTCCCAAAAACACAGTGCTCGTCAAATACAGTGAACTCTCTTTTTTTTTTTTTTTTTTAAACCCTTTTTGCAGAAATGTAATATTAATAATCTCTTTTCAAAGTAAATCTCGACAATTTCAACTGCAACTTTGTCTAGAAAATATGGCGCAAACGAGGCCGAGCGGAGTCACGGTTTACAAGGCCATGATACATGACCCATTCAACACTTTTCTCTTTCAGTAACATTGCATTAGTCTGATAATATCTTGTAAGGAGTCTTTTTATTTCCCCGTGGTTTCTGTGGTTGTGGCGTAAGGGGCAGGGCCACAGTACGAGTGGGCGGTGACCATCACAAGAGCTCGTATTGGCGCAGGTGCATTCTCTGGATGATGTCTCTGCAGTCGTTAAAGACACGGCGGATGTTCTCTGTGTCCACGGCGCAGGTGAAGTGGGGGTAACAGTAGTGTCTGCCGTCACCGCTCGCCGTACTGATCCTCTGAAAACACAAAAAGAGCACAGACAGGATTAGGGAGGAGGAAGTAACTGATAGTTTTATGACGACGGCACAACATTTTACAATTTCGACAGGCTCTATTCACGCTTACACAAACCAGGAAGACGATTGGAAAGATGCGATTACAACTTCTAATGTAGTTCCTGACACTGGGTTCGCCTGATTCATCAGCTGGTTTCACTTCGTAGAAACCGTGTGATCTCGCAGCATTTCGAATCGTTCGCTAGACAGTCGGCGGGTACTTTTTTTCATTTAACCAATCGCTGCTATTTGGGACTAACGGGCCTAACTGTTATATTAAGCTTTTCCCAAATCCCGTAGCGAAGAAGGGCAATAACGTCTTTCCTCTTGATAAAATTCACCAAACATTCTCTTTGTTCCGCCTTTAAATCCTCAATCTCCGGACTCATTGACAACAAAGAATGTCTAGCTCTAACTCTAAACTGTCTAGTGCAGACATGTCAAACTCAGGCCCAGGGGCGAAATTTGGCCCGCGATATATCAAATATGTATTAGAGCTGCCCACTGGCTACAGATAGACTATAGAGACATTACTTATTTAAAATGTTGTTATTATTTTATATTGCTTGTTGCTTGTTCTGGATTTAATGTTTCAGCAAAACTATTGTTTAAACATTTATTTTAATAAGAAAATATTTAACATTATGTAACATGAAAGAAGAAAAACCATGCAGATGTTGGAATTTTTCAATAAATATTTAGTTTGGCCCATGACTTACTCCCAGTTTTTAATTTTGGCCTCTGTGAATTTGAGTTTGACACCTCTGGTCTAGTGTATTCTGATTCCTGACCTAATCGCTGGAGAGAACTGAAATTGAGCAGAGGCACTAGGTGGCGCCAGCCTGGCTAGGGCTCGCAGACGTGATCAAACCCACTGAAGTAAATGTGGTCAGCGGTAAAATGAAGACTGCATACGTATGTGCTGTTTGGAATCATCTCGAATTTGGCGCCTCATCTCTTCTAATCTCGGAGAATGATGAAAACTGAGGTGTGGTTGGAATTGTTGATTAGCTGAACATAACGGAACAGAAGTTGTAATGGCATCTTTCCAAACATCTTCCTGGTTTGTGATGTAAGCGTGAATGGTGCTGATTGGTAGTTTTCAAAAATGCTGATTTTATAATGGAATCTACAGAAACAGTAACACAGTTGATGTGTTACCCAGTGAACACGTTACCCAGTGGACATTTTGAGAGATTTTAGGGAGTTGTTCTTATTATATAGGTAAATGGTCACATTTTTCTACAGTGCTTTTTCACCTTCAAGGCACTCAAAGCGCTTTACAACAAGGAACCACTCACATTCATACACCAGTGTATGCAGACACAGGGGGTCAAGGTTGGTTAAGTGTCTTGCCCAAGGACACAATAATAGCATTCATTAGCAGCCAACCTGTGGACCTGTAGATCTGATCGCTCAACCCATGATGTTTATGTCGAGAGCGGGATTCGAACAGCCTAGGTGAGGTATCGCACATTATCATGACCTATTGCTGTCATTAAGCTCATTCCATTCCTGTTACTAAATCTAATTTTTTTTTAAAATTCTACACAAATATGCACATTATCCAGTTAACATCTGAAAGGTTTTGAAGCCAAGTACACAGTAAAACACAGCTTCACTGGGATGTGGAGTTTGTGACTACAGATCCGGGGTCTTCAACCTGTAGCTTGGGAGTTACCAGTAGAGCTCTCCACTCTTGTCCAAATGGCTCACCAAGGGATTTCTGAATTACACGTTTTGTCTTGAATAACTCAAATCTGATTAATTACCACTGTAAATGTTTTATTTTGAACTTTATGTTCTAATAAATAGATAATGGTTTTATAGACATCCAACTATACAACACTAAGGCTTGCACTCTTATATCCTCTTATTTTCTTGCGACCGCTAAAATGAGGAGCTCTCCTGTATTTACATTTCGTAAAGGTAGCTCACTTCACGCAAAAGGTTGAAGATCCTTGCCATAGAGTGAACCACTGCAGTTTTATGAGGGCTTATCCAAAGCATTTTTTGGACAAGCATATATGAAAGTATTCAGTAGACAAGTGAGCAGAACATTTAGGTTGTTAAACTACTTGGATATTTTTTTTGTGTGTTTATAAAAGTAAAACTGAAATATCAAAAGCGGACAAGCAAAAAGTGCTTTCTACAGCCCATAAATTAACTGATTCTGCCAAAATCAGCCATCAGGTCACAAAATTTTGTCCACAAAAACATGACTGCCTCCAGGAAATAACTGTACAATTGATAAATACAGTGAGTGGACATAAAATTTACCCCTATTTATTGAATGGGTGACATCACACTCCACTTCTTTATTTACTCCATGATTCATAATGTTTTCAGTGCCAAAATTAACTCACCAGGAATTCATCTCGAATAAAATACTTTGCTCTTGTGACCTTGTGATCTTCGCCGGGCTCTGGTGTTGCTAAAGAGAAAAAAAAAGAAGCATTTCGAATATTAGAAATTAAGAAATTAAGAAAGAACAAGGCAACTCTAATCATTTGTGCATTTAAGAAACAAGCTCATAATCTCTCACCATCGTCCGGTGTTGTATATCGAGCAAATTCAGGAAAATATTCTTCAATTTTTGACTTTCCTGCCAACACTTTTTCAGCTAGAAGATCCTGTTTATTTAGGAACAAGATGACAGAAATGGTCCGCAGCCATCTGAGGAGCACATGACATACACATATATAGGTTTATATTATTCTGTGAGGATGTTATAAAAGAGCGCTTAGTCTTTAAAGTGCCCACATAACGCTATTTTCTGATATGTTATAATGATGTTACCTCATCAAAAACAGACCTGGAGTTGTGTTTTGTTTCATTCGCACATGTTTGACACAGAAATCCTGTATATTTAGGCTGAGATATTCCCTCATGTCGTGTCGTAATACAGAAAGTGCTTCACTGAGATGTAGACAGACTAATGATGCAGGATTACTCAAACATGTGTGAATGAAACGAAAACACAACTCCAGGTCTGTTTTTGATGACGTAACAGCATCATACAAGAGTCAATTTTGTGTACCTTATTTTCCACACTATAGGGCGCACTTAAAAGCCTTTAATTTCATCAAAAAAACAACTGTACACCTTATAATCCAGAGCGCCTTATATATGAATTTATTGGGGTGTTTTAGTACGACTTTAGTAAACTACAAAGCCGCACCACTTGCAGCATTACGGCTCCCGCAGTTAGGAGCATCACGGAGTAATACATACTGTGATTCCTTTTAATATAAAAATGCCATATAAAAAAACAACAACAAAAAAACAAAACAAAAAAATAAGTCAATTGTGATGAAAATTTTAACTTTTACTGTAGGAGGAAGATGCTTCTGACCTCCTTTTAATTCCATAAAAGTCAATAATAATCTGTATTTCAATAAATCCTCCTTTTTCGAGTTACAAGTCAAATAGTTGTGGTCACGTTTTCTCATCCTCCATTCAAGTCCAGGCTAATACTGCGATTTCAAGGCTCTGAACGTAATCTCAATGACGCACTGTGCTGCGTAAAACCACCGCCTCTCCAGCAGATGGCGATATGTTCCATTGGCATTCTTCAAAACGACTTCGGAATGGAACGTTTTCTGCGTAGTCCCAAAAACACAGTGCTCGTCAAATACAGTGAACTCTGTCTTTTTTTTTTTTTTAAACCCTTTTTGCCAAAATGTAATAATAATCTCTTTTCAAAGTAAATCTCGACAATTTCAACTGCAACTTTGTCTAGAAAATACGGAGCAAACGAGGCTGAGTGGAGTCACGGTTTACAAGGCCATGATACATGACCCATTCAACACTTTTCTCTTTGCATTAGTCCGATAATATCTTGAGTAATATCTCTTGAGTAACACATACTGTGATTCCTTTTAATATCAAAATGCACCTATCAAGAGACACGCTCACAACGGCCACTTTAAACTCAAGACTATTATAAAGTGAAAGTGCGAGGTGCGTGGGAGCAGTGGATGAGAGAAGGAGAACACACATTCACCAAGACAGGGAGATAGCGCCGAGCGACTTACGCCACAATCTGCCAAGAGATCATGAACGCCCGGGTTAAGGATCAGTATCAGCTGTGGTCCAAGCTTTCACCAAGACCGGAATCATCACTGAACTGCCAGGGAACAGTAATCACACTGACTCGGATAATGACGAGAGGGATGTGGGCGTGCTGGATGCCGTAATCGCTCAACTGTTTGAACTATTATGAGTTATTGTGAATTAACTAACAATTTAGAGTCTCAGACAGTATTTTTGTTATTCGTTACAATTGAACAAAGTTGAGAGTTATTGTGAACACGTTAAATAAAGTTTGACTGACTTATCTAATTATTGTGTTTGTTTAATGCGCCTTGTGGTTTATATGTGAAAAAAGTTCAAAAGTAAACCATTCGATGACAGTGCGCCTTATAATCCAAAGCCCCTTAGTGCGGAAAATATAGAACTAGCGTGCTGTGTCAGTGGGGACATACCTATTATTCCAGATGTTTTTGAAAAGGTTGAGTGCTTCTTGTAACCGGTTGGTCTGATTGTCCTCTCGGATCACCATGTTGTAGCTGCTACTGGCCACAACGAAGATAATGGCCGTTACATCTAAATAAAAAGACAAAGAGGTTAGAGCTGTGGTGGAAGAAGTAGTCAAATGTGTTTTGACGCCAGGTCCAGAATGTAACTTTTCTGGTAGAGGGCTCGCTGGAGATGTTATGGCTTTCCTGCAATGTTTTAAAGTCTGGCATTAAACTTTCTAATTCTCCACAGAGAGAAGCAGGAGATGACACCGGGCTAATTTAAGGGCAAGATCTTTAAAAATGTGAACCCACTCGGTCAGAATACATGTTTTTAAAAGTATTTTTGAGCAATAAAAACACCCACAATTGAATAAATGCATCATATATACATTCAAAACCATACTGCGGAATATTACAGGCAAAGTCATAGTATCTCCACCGTGACAGACCCCCAAATTAAAAAGTTACACAGTGCACCTTTAAGTAAAAGCACAGATACTAGGGATGGGACGAGAAATTGCCTCGGGACCATAGAATGATCTTCAAGAGCACACAGAATAGATCAGTATACGCCCATAGACACTATGGAACCTACCTGGACCACTGAGGGATTACACAGATATAAGACATGGAAATCAATCTATTAATGCAAAAAACCTCTGCCTGTGTCTCTGAACCACGTGGTGTCATGTGACCTGAGGTGTCATGTGACCCAGTTATTGCTGGCTAGAATCCATAAGTCTTCTGCGGCCTGTGCACTTATACAGTGATTTTACAATATATTCACTTTTGTGCAGGCTTAATCTCAATTATTAATTAAGGCTGAGCGAACAAATCCTAATGCTGCGAGGTCAGACGGTTTCCACAAAGTGAAACCGGTGATGAATCAGGGTAGTGAAGTGCCACTGCTTCGGCTGAACTATGAACTTTCTTACAGACTGAATTTTTTACGTTATAACTTTTTCCTAAAAATATGATAACAGCTGTATATAGAGGGGTTTACATGAAACTGTAAATTTAAAAAAATGTAAATTTTCAAGTTTGTTAAGCTTGTGAGGTGGCAAATGAGGTCAATGCCGTTTTGTCTAAGGACAAGACAGAGGACAACTTGCAGCCTCTGGAGGAGGAACCCAAATCCAGGCATCTAAGGATCATGAAGGCACTCGGCTGATTTTGCCCATGTGTTTGCGTTCACACAGGGGATGACTCTCCAAACGATTCTGATGGTATGGAATCCTCTCATAGTCCCTCTGAGGAGATCCAGAGCCTGGTCCAGCTACTGTCTACCATGCAGCTGTACATGCAGCAGGCCTCTCCCCCCAGCCTGAGGGAAGCTACTCAGGTGGTCAAGGACATCCTGGAGAGGGAAGCTGTGGAGGCAAGTGAAGCAGACCTAAAAGAAGCTTAGCCAGAGCAGTGAGGCCTCTGCATCCAGTGTTATCAGCATCGTTGTGTGTGAACAGAGCAGCCCAGCCCCTCATCAGGCAGGCCCGTTAACTGCCTCCCTCTGTTATGGCACAGAAAATGTCCTGTTTCCATAGAGCACAGCAGAAGGTAAAGTCCTTCTTTGCACTGTGCTATGCCGAGGTAGCATTCAAAAAGCTGGTCAGGAAACTCTGCTGTCAGCCTGAAGACTGAACAGGCTGAACACCTCACTGCCTCTATGGAGCATATCCTGGAGGAGGCCTCTCCCATCCTGCAGGAACTGGTGCAGGCAGACACCGTCCAGTCGGAGTACGCCCAGCCAGAGACCGAGGAGGAGTGCCTCTACCGCAGACTGTCACACAGCATTGAAAATGGCAAGTCTGAGGAGGTGAGTGAGTCCCTCACTGAGATCCTCTTTGAAAACATGGTCAAGAATGAAGGCAAGCCTCAGAAGAAAGACGTGCACGCGCATGTGGACACTTTCATGGGAAACAAACGTGACTGGCTGAACCGACAGCAGAGCCAGAAGCCCGGGGCAGACCCAGTGAGGAGAGCTTTGTTAAAGATCCGCAGTGTGGCTGAGTTAAAAATCTCACAGCCACAAGCTCCACGGCTGCCCCCGACCCCCCCAGAAGAGTGCCCTCCGAGTCTGGAGTAGACACCACAGCCGGGACTCCTGCACAGAAAGACCAGATCTTACATCTTATCAGATCTGTGGACAAGTGGGATAACTTCCACTGCAGTGGCCTAGTGTTCGAGGTGAGCTCTCGAATCATGCAGACTGATAAGGTTGCTGATGTGAAGGCTCTTTGTACGGACCTGCTGCAGAAACTGCAGCCAGAGATCAGCCACTGGGACATCAAAGTCAAACCTGATGTTCACCACATCAAGGAAGTGGCCAAGGCAGTTTACAGCGATCTGTGCAGAGGCCGAGACAAGAACTGGGTCACTCTCGACACCGTCGTGAGTCTTGGGTACATTGACGTCATCATGGACTGTATCCACAAGCATCTGGTCACTCCCCCAAAGGCGAAGCGCTGCACCTGCGCTGCCCTGTGTGGGTGGTGCTGGACTGCTCCAACCACCCCTAACCCCATCAGTGCTCAGGGAGCACTGACGTATGACCTGTGACCCCCTCTTCCGCATTTGGTGAATGGGCTCTGGTTTGTAGGCCTCATCACAGCCTGTGTGGAGGCCTCCTGGACACCCCACACTAAGCACCTGGTGAGGAGGAGGATGAGGTCACATGAGAGGAATCAGCAGCAGAGAGCACCACACAAGAAGCTAATGTCACCCAGCTGCACCACAGCACAAACTGTGCAGCCAGCAAAAAAATAAAAATATATATAAAATATGAAAACAAATCAAATCCAATGGCATTTCGCTTGTCTGTCTGTCTGTAGGAGATACTATAGTATGTTTCCTTAACATGTTCTTCACAAAAGTTCATGTGGATATTATTTATTTTCACCAAAGATGGGTAGTACTGAGTACTCAGTTATTTTACTTGTGTAACTTTTTAAAGAAACTGTACTCAGAGTCCTTTACATGACAGCTTTACGTGTCTCGCTCTGGAAAGTTGCATATATTTGAGCAGCTGTAGCTAAAAGATTCCTCCACATAGAAACATGCAGCTCACACAGAGACTGAGAACACTTTCAGCTCTGTCTCAGTTTTGATTTAGTAACGACAGGACCAATACTGATGTAGATAAACCCTGGTAAATTTCATACCAAAAGATCGCTAAAAACTATATTGAAATATATGCGCACGTCAGATTCACCGGTGAACAGCACGGAACATGAGGCTTTTTCCTCATTTAAACATTGTTAGAAAAAATATCCACAAAGATATTTAGGCCTTCTTCATCCATAACTTAGTTTCAAGTGAGAAAGACAGAGGAGGAGCGCTTCTCTCTCTTCTGACGACAGCAGCAGCAGTGGGGGAGAGGAGCTGGAGCAACACAGAACAGAGGGGCAATCCCAGGTTCTTTCTAATCATTTGAATAATAAAGATGTGTAACAGTATTTTATTGAGTATCTTGTAAAAAATAAGCAGTGATACAAGTGGTGATATACACAGGGGTTTAAATAGGCCTTATATAGGAGGAAAATAGCTTAATTTTCCCATTTTATAACTAGATCAGATTATTGTAAATTATTTAAAAATCTCGTCTCATTCTCGTGGACCCTATTTCGTGTCTCGTCTCGTGAAAATTCTGTCTCATCCCACCCCCAACAGAAAAGTATCACATGAAAAGATCTACTCAAGTAATAGTACTAAAGTGCCTGTTTAAAAATATAGGTAAAGAGTAAAAAAAGATTTTGACTTCTTACAGACCTTAAAATGTAGTGATTTTGATAGAGATTTGCGCTGAATTTTGTTCAAACATTTGAATTATTTCTCTCACTCTTTTTTTTTTATTTTTTAGCTGTTTTCAAGTTTTTTTTGTTTGATCAAATTATCAACATGTTAAAACCAGGTTAGAAACTATGTAAACAGGCAGAAAGGGAAAAATCGCATCTATCAGGAGAAGTATTTTACCGTTAAAGCACTGGATCCATTTCCGGCGTTCGTCTCTCTGACCGCCGACGTCAAACATGCTGTGGGGAAAGACAGAAGATAAGTTTATTGTATCATACTGCCATCGTGTGGAGGACTGAGGTACCATCAATTACAGGCAATGAATTTAGTTTGAATCACTTTCTTCATTACCAGACAATACGGGTGTAACGATATCCAAGTCTCTCAATACGATATTGTCACAGTATAAACCTCACAGTACGATATTTATTGTGATATCATTGGAAAGCTTGCGATATTACGATATTATACCAGGGTAGCCACGGGGTCTTAAATTTCATGTTCCTAAATTAAGGCCTAAAAAAGTCTTAAATTATGTTGTTCAAGTTTTATTTTTTTCACAAAGGTCTTACATTTCATTAGACTATTTTTTTATATACTCAATCGGGCTGCAGTGTGATGTTAAATGGAGGGAGGAAAAAAAAACAACAACGTGAATGTAACCTGAATGATTGTCTAATTTCGAGTCTGCACAAACAATACTTTGGTTTCTGGCACCGGCAGCAATGAGTAAACAATCAGAGTGGAGGAAGACATTGGATGGATCATGGGGAAGTGTCCGTTTAATTGGCTCGTAGCTTAGGCTACGTTCAAAATGCAAAAATTTTGAAGAGGGTGATATAATTGTAAATGGGACAATTTTTTGCTTTTAAAATACCTTGACAAGATTTTGGTGTGAATTATTACCATCATAATACCAGACAAACAAAAAAAACATAATTAAAGCTTTTTCTGCATCTTTTGAAGACGCACTCTCTGCCCTCCTCTGTCCCTCAAGTCCAGCCTCTGTCCTTCATATCCTTCACTGTGTCCATGAATCTCTATATAGTCTACTTTTCCCCTATGTACAATGATGCTTTATGTATGTGGTATTGAAGTATTTATGTTTGCAGTATTGAACATATATTACATAAAATGATTCAAAATAGATTGCTTGTGCCACAATAGATTCAGTATAAACCATATATTCTACTCTCCCATGTTCCTCTGTACCATGAATGGGATTGTGTGCCTGTATTGTGTATGTGTGTATAACAAAAAAAATTAAGACGGTAAAAATAGTTCTGCTGTCTTAATTCCTATTCTATATGTTAATAGGTTTTGGCAAAATAAGTGTTAAACTTCAACCTAAATCTCTTTGGTTTGTAGAATAACTTTAGAGCTAAGCATAATTTATGTGTTAAATCATTGTAATATGATTAATGATTATGTTAATTGACCGAAGAAATATAAATTAACTAACTTAATATATATTAACGCTCCATCCTCTGTAAGTTAAAGTGGGTCTTGTGTAATAATAAAATGACCAAACTTTGTGCACTTACTGAAAATTTACTTTGTCGACCTGGAACCTCGTCTCAAAGATTCCCGAAGTCAACACTCTGCATCGCAACAAATCCTGCATCAAAACACAAAGAACACATTTTTAAAAACACACACACTAACAATACTTTAGTTTATTCTATTTTACATAATAGAAAACAATTGTACATAACAGAGAAGATATAAATTATTAACAAAATGAGTGTGGACAGGGTGAATGTACTCACCTGATCTGTTGGAGTGTAGTCATTCTGCTTCACTATGTCAATCTTATCGAGGAAACTAGAAACAGAAGAGAAGGATATTAATTATTCAAGGAAAACTACTCAAAAGTGCATTAACTTCAGCTACCTAAAGGTGCATTGTGTAACTTTTCTGGTGGAGGGTCAGTCACCTGTTTGTTTCTACGGACATGTCACAGCTCTGCCCGGAATGTTCCACAGTGTGACAATCAACAGAACTAACTTAGATTAATTACAGGTGGTTTTATAGCTCAGAGAAAAACAGGCTTTCTGACTGAGTGGGGTCACTTCTCCACAGATCTGACCTGTAACTTTGTCTGGTTTGGGCTCCATGAAGATAGAAATGTTTAATACCATGTTCCACGGTTACGACATTAAAAATCTATTCAGCTTTTGCTTTGTTAGAGGCGATTTTATTGTTCAGAAACACCAGTAAGTACATGTATTCTTGTGAGAGTGGGCCCGCCTCTCCACTAGGCCTGTAATCAATCAATAAATCAATTAATCGCACGATAATTTTTAACGAGCTCGATAACTTTTCTGGCCGCGATCATTTCTATTTGCATGTGTGATAGAAATTTAGATTGTGGAAAGATTTCTCTCAATCTGTCTTGTGTAAATTAATGTGATTTCTACCTGAAACCCAAACCAGTCATTAACATGTGTAAAGGTTCATCAGGCACAACTGTCTCCGCCTTCAGGAAGCCTTTTGTTATCAACAACTGTATGTTAATTTAGCACCAGCCTCTCAAACAAAAGTCACTCTGCATTGATATGTATGTATGTGACTTGTATTTCTGTATAAATACTGAGAGCTCAAATGCTCTGGGAGGAGGGAGATGGGAAGAGACGGGAGGAGACAGGGGTGAGAGGCTGTTGGGTTTTGGCCGAAACAGGCCTAGGCCCTGTCCATATCTGCTGTAACAAGAATAAACCTTGGTCTATATTCCAAAAACTCATCGGGCTTCGCAAATGGATTCATTATTTATCTTCAAGAGATATATAATTTTTTCCATAACACATGCTTGTTTGTTTTTTCCTCATCTTTCTCTCTCCACCAAAGAGACTGAATGTCAAAAGGCTTCTGTCGCTCGCTACAGCATCCTCTTGTTTCCTTAGCGTAGTAACAATGGAACAAACGTGACAGTCTATGGCAGTGATTCTTAACCATAGGAACTGGACCCAAAGTAGGGCCGGGAACACCTATTTGGGGGCCCCACAACCAGTATAATATAATGCATTTAATATGAGATAGGGCCCCAGGTTAGTTTATTCAGAAAAAGTCGGGGCCCAAGATTGAAAAGGTTAAGAGCCCCTGGTCTATGGGATGGTTTATCAACACAGCGGATGCGCACGCAGCCCGAGTGCAGAAAGCGCCACTGTCTGTGCAGTTAACATGAAGCCGCAAGACAAACTAGTGCCGCCGTCAGAACCAAAACAGTTCATCCCCATGTGACAAAACAAGTCACGATGCCAAATCAACACGAGTGAGTGGGACACGTCTCAATGACCACCTGCGTCAAGTGCAGCCGAGCGAAATGCAAATGACGAGAAGAAATAGGAGGAAGAAGACGAACTGAATCAATGGCTCCACTCCGACATCCCGCTCCAAAGAGACGAAGGGACAACTAGTGGAGCCGAATCATCCGGATTCCGTCAGAAGGGCGACACAACGAGCATGCGCTGAACGACCAGGTTTATTTTTAAGAAGAATAAATGTTTACTAGTCTGATTCATCAGTCGGTTTCACTTCGTGGAAACTGTCTGACCTCGCAGCATTAGGATTCGTTCGCTTGACGGTAGGCGGGTACTTTTTTTATTTAACTAATCTCTGCTATTTGGTCGTGACGTATGTAATGCATCAAATCCCTTAGGAAGAAGGGCAATAAGGTCTTTCCCCTTGATAAAATTCACCAAACATTCTCTTTATTCCAGCTTTAAATCCTCGATCTCTGGAATCATTGACAACACAGAATGTCTCTTCACTGATTGGCTGGTGCCCGAACTCGCACAAAATAACACTGGACTGTTTTTGGAACAGGCCAGTGTTATTTTGATTCCTAACCTAGTCACCGGAGAGAAATGAAATTGAGCAGAGGCACTAGGTGGCGCCAGCCTGGCTAAACGTTTACATGATCGAGGAATAAAATCACTCACTTACTTCGGAATTAAGTTTAAATCCGAATAATCATTTCCATTAGGACTTAAGTGTTTACATGTTCTTTTTAAAGTGGAATTCATTTTTATTCAGAATTAAAGCTCTCATATCAAATGTAAATAATGTAAATATGTAACTACTGTCATATGCCCTAAAGCAATCGCTCACTCACTAAAATCAATCAATATCTTCTTCCTTGTTATTATAATAAACTGCGACGTGTGAGCTACTGTGTCCAAACAATACCCTGTGTGGATCAATAAAGCCGCACGAGGAGCTGGTCTGATTTTGAACGGGGGCACCGCACGGGCTCAGACGGAAGTTATGGGAGCGGAGCTGGTGCTATAGAGGCCCATGTCTGACATTAGGAAGCACTTTTCAAAAATAGATCCTCACAGCGTTTCCATGGAGACTCCACCACAGGCGCTAAAAATAGTCCAGCGTCTCCGAATGTGCCACAGTGGAGACGCAGAGAGAGGAACACGGGGAGATGAGCCGAGGGCATTTGGACCCAAACGAGAGGGGACGTACCACCCTGACCCTCCTGTCCCAGAGACCGACATGCGGGCAGAGGAAACGGCGGGATAATCGCAAGAGTTCAAGTGTTAAATCCCCCCCGCGCTCGGCCTGAAGTGGTCCAGTCCAAAGATGACTCAGCTGCAGCCATGTTTGCTCCAAAACACAACAAACTCTAGTCTGTTTTTGGCAAGGAGAAAGTTTTTATAGGTCTGCTTTGTCATATACTACCTGTTTAAAAAAAAAAAAGACGTTTACTGCAAGATATTTCAATCTTTGTCAGTGAATTTTACTGACTTCTTCCTTCAAATTCAAGCACAACATAATAACATTCTTTCATTAAAATGCATAATATTTTGGCACAGAATTAAAATCAGTACTGGAGCTCGCACTGCAAATATAGGACTCTAGGAATGTCATAATGTCGAGCTTAGTCTTAAAGGTGCTTCATTGAGATGTTATTGCTTTGTCTGGAATGTTTCACAGTATGGCATTAAACATTTCTTTCTTCATAAAGACCAAACCAGACCAAGTTACAGGTCAGATCTGTGTGTTCATTCTTTTTTTTTTTTTGTTGTTGTCATTTTTAAGCTACAAAAATGCCTGAAACTGAATAAATGTAAAGGTAAAGCTGTTTAATGGCCACGTTTACATGATGTTTTCCAAATTCCAAATTCCTTATTTACATGGAAGAAATAATTCTGAATTGAGGTTTACATGGAAAACACCGTTAAATCGTCTTTATTTAATTCTGCTCAACGTCAGGAGGTGTCTGATTGGACAGGGACGTGAACGTATTTACGTCGACCACAAGAAAACACAAACTTCAGCTGCTACCGGCTTTTTTATCATCTCGGTTTGTCGTTACGCCACGGACACCAACACGGTCCAAACTTTTTTCGCAGTCGTTCTGATGATAATTGCGCAGCAGCTGGAGAATTCTCTCATCACGCTTTACGTCTGTCAGCTGAGGAGGAGAAGGGAAGAGTGTCGGAGAAGAGAGAAAGAAGACAAACTGAGTGTGAGGCTGCTCTACCTCAGCCCACTCCTGCATCCTGTTCGCAAATCCAAAGAGACATGGATGAAAGTCCGAAGCCAGGACTGGTGGAGTTGGATCATCTGGATCATGTTAGAAGGGCGACCCAACGAGCATGTACTGAATGACCAGAATTATTTTTAAGAAGAATAAACTGTTACATGATTGAGGAATAAATTAATTTGGCTTTAAAATCTGAATAAACCACCCACTTGCTTAATAATAGTTTTCATTAAGAATTAAGTGTTTACATGGTCTTTTTAAAGCAGAATTAAAACTCTCGTATCAACTTGGCAATTGTCAAGATGGCAAAGATCTTAATTTTTAATCATTGTGAAACCCACAGATACATACTTCTATAAATGCTAATTCCAGCCTGGTCATTTTCTACAGAGCTTTTACTCCTCTACTAGAACAATCCTGGTTGGAGGACCCCAGGCTGAACACAATTTCTCCTGTTCCCAAACGGTGACTGCTGGAGGAACATGCATTCAAGCAGTTAGTTGCGTCCCCAACTTGTTTCTATACTGGGGGAAAAGGACTTTTAAACTACTGACTTACTTTTTCAACTACAAAGAAATAAATACATCTATGAAGTAATACAAAGTGCAGCTGCATTGATTCAATTGTTTGCTTATGTTTGACCCATACGCACAAGAGCATAGGTTTGCAGAGGGACGGGGGGACATGTCACAACAAATATTTGGGGAAGACAAAATAGTCCCTACCAATATTTGACATTTTATTTTAATTAACAAACATATACATTTATTCCGATATTTTTCCAAACTCAATAGTATTAATTTAACGTGTTTTAGTTCACTTTTTTTTTATTAGATGTTCTGAGATGTATTCAGTGATATGACGACAGGGTTACACCTGCCGCTGTTTCATTGGCTCTAACAGAGTGATGTCATTAGTGGAGCCAGGAGCCTAAACTGGGGAAGTGGCAGGACAGGGCCGCACCTGAAGATGGAGGCTTGAGCAGCGTGAGTGAAGACGCTGCACCAAACTCTTCGAAAGGAATTTACTTGGCTTCATCTTCAATTAAACTTGTCTTATAATGAGTCATCATGGAAAAAGAGCAACTGTCACCACAAGTGCGCTTCCCAAACAGAGCCCTACTCGTGCGCTGTGAGACCCCGAATCTACTGACAATATTCCATGGAAACATGTTCGGACATGATCTCACAAATATCTCATCACCAACAAGCAAAGAGAAATCTACTACTCCACTTCTACTTTGTTGTTATCCACTAAAGAATCATCTTAGTAGGACAATGAACACAAACTGTACATTTTGAACTGAAAAATAATAACCACCTCTCACTTATTTTGGACCTGCCCAGACTCTGTGTTTTTGAAAAGAATTCATAAAACATATATACGCAATTTCTTATCCCATTTTACCCTTTCTTATGAAGATGTGCTGTTTGTTTTTTGCAGTGTGCATCATATGAAAAGTAAACAATATTATATAATTAATCTGTTAATCAAGTAAATGTATCTGTTTTTATCTGGTTTTGTAGGTGTGTTGTTGGTGCAGTCGATGAAGCCACTCACTATTGTGCACAGTCGATGAGCTGGTATTCGTTGGACCTCTCGAAACACGCCCGGACCCCCTCGTCCTGCCACAGCATCTTGGCATGGTCGTAGAACTCCTGGGCAAACAGAGGGCACCACAAATCAAGCAACCGGATTTAAACTGGACTTTGAACGAGCTAACGAGGTATAACAGGGAGAGGTCTAGAGCCAGTCCTCTGTCAGTGAAAGCACGTGGTTTGGAGCAGAGTTCAGACTTCTATTTTAGTGATAAATGAACTGATTAAAAAGTCTGTATTGTTTAGGTTCAGGACAGTAATAATCAAATCACATCAGTTTGAATTAATACAAGAAAATAATAATGCGTTAGTGTTATAAAGCTCTTTTTCAGACGCTCAAAGTCACAAATCCACAAATTTTTATTACAAAAGGAGTGCGTGGAAGTTAACTAATGTTCAGATTATAAAAATTTACATGGGACAACAACAAAAAAGATGAGGTATGGAGTGATTTGGGTGAAGATTTGGACGTGAATCTTGTGTTTAATCTTTCCTCTTATGTATAAATACATTTTCCTTAGAAATTTTTCCTGTTTCGCACGAACTTCCATGCAGTAGCTTTTAGTGTCTGAGGGCAGTTTGGTTCAAATATTTAGAAATACACAATCATTTTGAGAGATTTTGCCATTTTGAAGCACGATACAGAGAAATAAATGATCATATTTAAACTTCTTTATCCCAGTAAACCACTTTGAAATATTCAATATCATCAAAAAGCCTGAGCTGCAACAAATAAACGATAAAATTAACCAATTAGCCATTGCAGTTACTTTTTCTACTCTCTCCTTCTAAAGTCTTACTTTATTACATCAAAATGGCAGAAATTTCCCACTATTACAAAGAAAACGTAGCCATGAGGAATACTGAGGCCCAAAATAAATCGAACGATAAGTCGATATAGTAATTATTATGACATGTATTAAAAGTCTGTCTGTGTTTGTGTGTGATTGTGTTGATACCACAAGGTGCGCATGAGCCAAACGAATGCTGTGTACAGATCTGTGAATGTAAATAATGGCAGAGAACAAGAGAAAGGCCTGTCACAATAATTACTATATCTACTTATCATTCAATGCTTGAAGATGGAACAATAATTTGTTTTGTTTTTTTATGTACTAGTGTGAAACTTTTTGCTATTTTTTTTATATTTTTTATAAGATCTGAGCTGTAGAAGGTTGAATAAACAACTTTTAGGACTCATTATAGATACATACCGACTACTAAAGTGTTTCATCCTGCTGTTTATTTAAAGTACATTGTGTAACTTTTCAGGTGGAGGGTCTGCCAAATCCTTTTGTCTGGAATATTTCACAGTATGGAAGTAACCTTTCTACAGAAACCAAACCAGACCAAGTTACAGGTCAGATCTGTGGAGCGTAGGGGTGGAACAATATCAAAGTCTCACGATACGATATCATCATGGTATGAACCTACGATATTTATTGCGATACCGTAGGAAAACTCATGATATGATGGGGAGGCTCACAATTAGAGATGTAACAATATCGAAATATCTCGGTACGACATTTTCACGATATGCATCTCACGGTACGATATTTATTGCGATATTTTGTGGAGGCTAATATGCTTCTTTTTCCTCTTAAAATTCCTTGACAAGACTTAATCCAAAGACTTAAAAGTGCTTAGAACTGTTATTTCTTCTTGTAGTCTGCACTGAAATGGAGCAAAGGATCATGGTCTATGTAGTTCCCTGTGTCTTTTTTTTAGCAATTGCTGCACCATAACTCTTAATTTAAGCAAAGAGACTTGTAATTCGATACATTGTGATGGTCCACGATATTATTGTGAGAACTTTGACGATACGATATCATGATATTTCGGTTATTGTTACATCCCTAGTGGAGAAACGACCAGTAGCGGAGTTAGAAGTTTGGGGGCCCTATGTGATCTCAAGTTTGAGGCCCTCACTATAATTTTGTTTTGTTTTTTTTTATATGTTATTGTCTGTTTTTCCCCATTGCTCTTGACACACACATCTCTATTTGAATTATGGTGGACTGGAAACTTATCTTATTATTTTTATTCAGTATCCTACTAGAAAACCAGAGCTGAAAGTAGTTTTATGTTTTTGCTAGTATAATCACATTTTTGTTTACATCAATTGTATATGATCATGTTCAAATCAGGGTCAAGTTAACTCGTCCATTCTAATGTGAAAAGGGAAACGCTTTGACAGTTAAAATAGATTTGACAACCAAGATAAGATACTATTTTGGTGTCTTCTTGTTTTAAAATAAACTAAAAACTCATTTAATGTCATTATTGAGAGAAAATCAAATTGCTCTAGGCCTCGACCATTAGTGACACTGAGGGCAATTGGTTGTATTTTTTAACAATATTGTGCATTTAGAATAGTTTTTGGGGATAATTCTGTTCCAAGTTCATCAGTAATATATAAGGATGTAAACAATAACCAAAATATCGTGATATCGTATCATCAAAAGTCCCGTGGGCCACACGGTCACAATATATTGAATCACAAGTTCCTTTTTGCTTAAATACATGGTTTTATAACAGCAACAGCTTATAAACATAGGGAACTACATATCCCATGATTCCTTTCAGTGCAAACAACATGCAGAAATATGTTTTTTACTTGAATTCTTAAGTAAAAAAAAGTGTCCTATCTGCAATTATATCAGCCTCTTCAAAATATCGCAATAAATATCGTACTGTGAGATTTGGATATTCTTACATCTCTAGTAATATAATCACACTTCAATATTTGTTATCCGTGACAGGCCTAATAAGAGATGGTTTTTACTTTCACACTAACACTGGCAGCTTCATTGGTTGCTAGGTTCATTTGGCTCCACTCTTGTACTCCACACCAGTCAAAAAGGAGGGGTAATTCCCACTTTGTCTGGGTTATTCAATTAGCTGTTTGCTTCATTAATTAATTACCTTTGGGGATGTTAGCTTTGAGCTCATTAGAAGTGTTACCCTGGCCTCTGCTGGGACCAGTCCACTCTAGGGCAGGTTTGTGTCTACAGTATCAGTCGATTACAATGAAAGGACCAATACTACATAATTTTTCTAAGTCAGGGGTGTCCAAACTTTTTTCATCTTAACACAGACGAAGCAGAGAGCTGATCGAGGGCCGTAGACTGCTGCTCAGTACAGTGAATAATTGAAATATGTGCAGTTTAACATGTTAGAATGCCAAGGTCCTTAAAGGGATAGTTCAGGTTTTTTGACATGAATCTGTATGGCATCCCCGTGAGCAATGTCGTGCATCCACACTGACTTTACCCCCAACAGCGTCCGGTGAACCGAGATAGTGGGCGTTTTCGGTGCTGACAAAAGTAGTCCGGCAAGTTGGCTGGGGACAGTAAAATAAAGTGTTTTTCTTCTCAAAACAATCTGTTCAAAAGAGTGATATATTTGCATCACAAAACCTTCGTCCTCAAAAAAGTCAGACCTCATAATCGCTTGGCACTATTTTCTTTCCATTCGTATTACTGCGGGCTGCCGCCAGGTGACAGCCGCGCATGGTTCACTTTGTTTACTACTTGGAATGTTAGCGACAACATGTCTGATTATGACACCGACGATGAAGACATTGCCTTTACCACAAAGCCAAGGGAATATTCTTATGTATCTTATACAAGCTTATATACTTATTGCCCTCACGTTAGCTCTCTCGCGTCGCGGCGGTCTGCGCATGTAAACACTGCCGAACAACTGAAGAAAGTGATGGATCCGTGTGCAGCTGTCACCTGGCGGCAGCGCGCAGTGATACGAACGGAGAGAAAACAGTGCCAAGTGATTATAAGGTCTGACGTTTTGGAGGACGATGGTTTTGTGATGCAAATATATCACTCTTTTGAACACATATTGTTTTGAGAAGAAAAACGCTTTATTTTACTGTCCCCAGCCAACTTGCCGGACTACTTTCAGCAGCACCGAAAACGGCCAGTATCTTAGCTCACCGGACACTGTCGGGGGTAAAGTCAGTGTGGATGCACGACATTGTTCACGGGGATGCCATACAGATTCATGTCAAAAAACCCGAACTATCCCTTTAAAACCACACACTAAATATTCACTTTATCAAGGTAGATTTTCAAAAAAAACTTGCAGTACATGAAAAAGTACATTTTTAATTGATGCAAGGTAATCGACAGATTAATGTTGATGTTGACGTAAATGTCTGTGTTGATAAAATAATTTTAGAAGTAAAACCAACCTTGCATTTGAAGGATTTATGGCTGAGCAGCAGCAGAGAGTTGCACTTTCTGATAAAAAGCTCAGCAGCGGCGGACTGACATATGAGAAAATAGTCCAACATGCAACGATTCATGCGATGCAAGGTTAGTTTTATTTCAAACATTATTCTATGAACACAGACGTTCACATCGATAGTCTGGTGTAATAACTGTTTTACTTCGGGTGTTTTGTGGAGTGGGTAAGACTGTTTTTAGTGGCAGGATAACTATGGCCATTAACATGCACTAGTCTAGCACCAGCAACCTCTGCAAATACAAGGATTGGATGGAACATTTAAAAAAGTTTCTCCATACGTCGCCAACACTCTGGATCACTAGAAAATGAGGTCCTATGTCCAAAATTCTGGACTGCCCCTTTAAAAACACAGTAGAGCACAAGGTGGAGCAGGGTGTTTTCCATTTAAGAGAAAAGCTCAGCCTAAATACGCAGGATTTGTGTGTTAAACATGTGTGAATGAATTAAAACACAATACCAGGTCAGTTTTGTGATGAGGAAACTACAAACTACTATAAATAAACAGGGGGAACTACAGAGACCATAATGCTTTGCTCTTTTTAAGTGGAGACTACATGAAGAAATAACTTAATTCTTTGGATAATGATGGAACCAAAGTCTTGAGAAGGCATATTCACCGTTCTGTTAGACTTCACAAAATAAATATCGCCATAATTATCGTACTCTGTGACGCATGCATCGCGAAAATTTCGTACGGAGAGATTTGGATGCTGTTCCGTCGCTACTCACCTGTGGAAACTCAAAGTCTTTCTGGTTGACGAGGTTTAGGACGTATTCGATTCGGTGCTGGTTTTCGGGACACGCCAACTGCACGGGCGGCGTGAGGGTGCTCATCGCCGTGACGATCGTCTGGAAAAACACAATCGTACATTTACCAGGGGGAAAATATACCTTAGACTTATAAAAAGGTATGGTTAGTAAACTAATGATTTTTCTGAGAGCAGCAGAAATAACCGAGTGACTCACCTCAATAGCCTCTTTAATGTTATTCTTGATGTCCTGGATTTTCTGTTTTTTCTCCCTGAAACAGAAATGCATCTATTAAAAAAACAGTGGAGTGGAAATGGAGGGTTCACAAAAGGGGTATTAAAGCAATTTATGTTTTAATCATAATTGGATTCTGTTCAAAATTCACATTCTAATACAATAATAACATTTCAGAACATATTTATACAAACAAATTTAAACAGCTGCTGGGTTTCAGATCACATCACGACAATATATTTTTTCAGTAATTTTTTCCATGGGGACACATGAGAAACAGAAAATATCGTGGTGGGCCAGGCCAAAGTGCTCAATTCTGCATAATATTAATTGTATTTCTTTATAAAATGCAGTATATTTCATTGTTTTGACGAGCTGGTAAAACTGAGAAGAGTTTATGTTATAACCGTTATGAAAAAGTGAAGTTGCCTGACAAAAAATGTCAAACACCTCCAAAATAAAAGCAATGCAGCTTTAGTCCATGTATGAGGTAAAATTATAAAACATGATTATTTTGTAATTCCATCCATCCATTTTCGTCCGCTTATCCGGGGCCAGGTCGCGGGGGCAGCAGCCTAAGCAGGGACTCCCAGACTTCCTTCACCCCAGACTTGTCCTCCAGTTCCTCCGGGGGGACCCCGAGGCGTTCCCAGGCCAGCCGAGAGACATAGTCCCTCCAGCGTGTCCTGGGTCTTCCCCGGGGCCTCCTCCTGGTGGACATGCCCAGAACACCTCCCGAGGGAGGCGCCCAGAAGGCATCCGGAACAGATGCCCGAGCCACCTCAACTGGCTCCTCTCGACGTGGAGGAGCAGCGGCTCTACTCCGAGCTCCTCCCGTGTGACTGAGCTCCTCACCCCCATCTCTAAGGGAGCGCCCAGCCACCCGATCTCGTCCTTTCGGTCACTACCCAGAGCTCATGACCATAGGTGAGAGTAGGAACGAAGACTGACGAGTAAATCGATAGCTTCGCCTTTCGGCTCAGCTCCCTCTTCACCACAACGGTCCGATACAGCGACCGCATCACTGCAGACGCTGCACCGATCCGCCTGTCAATCTCACGTTCCATCCTCCCCTCACTCGTGAACAAGACCCTGAGATACTTGAACTCCTCCACTTGACTCCCCACCCACCCGGAGAGGGCAAGCCACCTTTTTCCGGTCGAGAACCATGGCCTCAGACTTAGAAGAGCTGATCTTCATCCCAGCCGCTTCACACTCGGCTGCAAACCGCCCCAGTGCACACTGCAGGTTCTGGCTCGATGAAGCCAACAGGACAACATCGTCTGCAAACAGCAGGGATGAAATCCTGTGGTCCCCAAACCAGACCCCCTCCAGCCCCTGACTGCGCCTAGAAATTCTGTCCATAAACACAATGAACAGAACCGGTGACAAAGGGCAGCCCTGGCGGAGTCCAACATGCACCGAGAACAGGTCTGACTTACTGCCGGCAATGCGAACACAGCTCCTGCTCCGGTCATACAGGGACCGGACAGCCCTTAGGCAAAGGGCCCTGGACCCCATACTCCCAGAGCACCCCCCACAGGACACCACGAGGGACACGGTCGAATGCCTTCTCCAGATCCACAAAACACATGTGGACTGGTTGGGCAAACTCCCATGAACCCTCGAGCACCCGACGGAGAGTGTAGAGCTGGTCCAGCGTTCCACGGCCAGGACGAAAACCACACTGCTCCTCCTGGATCCGAGGTTCGACTATCGGCCGGATTCTCCTCTCCAGTACCCTGGCATAGACCTTACCGGGAAGGCTGAGGAGTGTGATCCCCCTATAGTTGGAACACACCCTCCGGTTCCCCTTCTTATACAGAGGGACCACCACCCCGGTTTGCCAGTCCAAGGGTACTGTCCCCGACCGCCACATAATGTTGAAGAGGCGTGTCAGCCAAGACAGCCCTGCAGCATCCAGAGACTTAAGGTACTCAGGATGGATCTCATCCAACCCCGGAGCCTTGCCACCAAGAAGCTTTCCAACCACCTCAGTGACTTCAGCCAGGGTGATGGACAAGTCCGCCTCCGAGTCCCCAGCCTCGGTTTCCTCCTCGGAAGACGTGACGGTGGGATTGAGGAGATCCTCAAAGTACTCCTTCCACCGCCGGACAACGTCCCCAGTCGAGGTCAACAGCTCTCCCCCCGCACTGTAAACAGTGTTGGTGAAGAACTGCTTCCCCCTCCTGAGGAGCCGGAAGGTTTGCCAGAATCTCTTTGAGGCCGTCCGATAGTCCTTCTCCATGGCCTCCCCGAACTCCTCCCAGCTCCGAGTTTTTGCCTCCGCGACCACACGGGCTGCAGCACGCTTGGCCCGCCGGTACCCGTCAGCTGCTTCAGGAGTCCCCCGAGCCAGCAAGGCCCGATAGGACTCCTTCTTCGGCTTGACGCCATCCCTTACTTCCGGTGTCCACCACCGGGTTCGGGGCGCCGCGACAGGCACCACAGACCTTACGCCCATAGCTCCGAGCAGCCGCATTGACAATAGAGGCCGAGAATGAAGCCCACTCGGACTCCATATCTCCAGCCTCCCCTGGAATCCGGGAGAAGTCCTCCCGGAGGTGCGAGTTGAAAGTCCCTCTGACAGAGGGCTCCGCCAGACGTTCCCGACAGACCCTCACTACACGCTTGGGCCTGCCAGGTCTTTCCGGCTTCCTCCTCCGCCAGCGAACCCAACTCACAACCAGGTGGTGATCAGTTGACAACTCAGCCCCTCTCTTCACCCGAGTGTCCAAGACACGCGGCCGGAGGTCAGATGACACAACCACAAAGTCGATAATTGACCTCCAGCCTAGGGTGTCCTGGTGCCACGTGCACTTATGGACACCCTTGTGCTCGAACATGGTGTTCCTTACGGACAAACTGACTAGCACAGAAGTCCAATAACAAAACACCGCTCGGGTTCAGATCAGGGAGGCCGTTCCTCCCAATCACCCCTCTCCAAGTGTCACTGTCGTTGCCCACGTGGGCGTTGAAGTCCCCTAGGAGAACAACGGAGTCCCCGGTTGGTGCACTGTCTAGTACCCCTCCCAGGTACTCCAAGAAGGTCGGGTACTCAGCACTGCTGTTCGGCCCGTAGGCCGACACCACAGTGAGAGACCTGTCCCCGACCCGAAGGCGCAGGGACGCGACCCTCTTGTTCACCGGGGTGAACTCAAACACACAGCGGCTGAGCTGTTGGGCAATGAGCAGGCCCACACCAGCCTGCCGCCGCTCCACGCGGCCAACGCCAGAGAAATGGAGAGTCCAGCCCCTCTCAAGGTTCTCAGGGTTCCAGAGCCCAAACTGTGCGTGGAGGTGAGGCCAACTATATCTAGTCATTAACGCTCAACCCTGAGCCTGAGCACAAGCTCAGGCTCCTTTCCCCCCAGCGAGGTCCCCAGAGCTAGTCTCCATGTCCGGAGATCGGGTCGCCGAGGCCCCCGCCGTCAACAGCTGCCCAGCTCTCTCTGCAACGGCGCCATATGGATCCTCCCGTGGGTGGTGGGCCCACGTGAGGACGGCCCCACATCGCTCCTTCGGGCTAAGCCCGGCCAGGCCCCGTGGTGACGTCGCTGGCCTCTGAGTGGACATCATCATATAGGGCTTCTGAACCGTTCTTCGTCTGACCCATACCCCCGGACCTGTTTGCCTTGGGTGACCCTACCAGGGGCATGAAACCCCCGACAACATAGCTCCCGGGATCATTCGGGCACTCAAACCCCTCCACCATGATAAGGTGACGGTTCAAGGAGGGGTGACGGTTCAAGGAGGGGGGGTTTATAATTCCAAACTAGCTTAAAGGGCCATATGTGACCCAGGAGCTGTACAACAAGGCTGTGCAAAAATATCGAAATATGGATATATCGTATCGTTTAATATGATAATGCAGTATCGATATTGTGGGCTGCTGTATCGATATATCGCCAGTATTTTTTGGTATATTTTTTGGTATATTTTTAGACTGAATGAGTTTTGGACAGACAGAACCGGTTCAAAGGTAAGAAACGCGTATCTCCTTTTTGATTATTATATATTGTTAAGAAGACCACAAGCTCACGGAGGTTCACCCAAAAATAGCTACGCAGACAAAGAACAAAAAAGTATTACAGAACAGTGTGGGCAGTGTTGACGGAAACGTTACAGCGGAGAGTATTCAACTTTTCCGCTCTGGACGGTGGTTTCAAATTTTTGCATTTTTAAGCCCCAAACCGCTGTCACCGTCTAAACGAAAGGCACTTCTGATAGAATATTGTCATTTTTTACCCACAAGGCGCACCTTGTCCTGAAACTCAGTCCGGGGCTCAGTCCGGGGCCCAGTCCGGGGCCAGTCATGGTTTAGTCCTGGTTTAGTCCTGGTTCATTCCTGGTTCAGTCCTCCTGGTTTAGTCCTGGGATCATTTTTGTTTTAGTCCTGGTTTAGTCCTAGCTCCGTCGTGGGCTCCGTCGTGGGCTCCGTCGTGGGCTCCGTCGTGGGCTCCGTCGTGGGCTCCGTCGTGGGCTCCGTCGTGGGCTCCGTCGTGGGCTCCGTCGTGGGCTCCGTCCTCCTGGTTCAGTCCTCCTGGTTCAGTCCTCCTGGTTCAGTCCTCCTGGTTCAGTCCTCCTGGTTCAGTCCTCCTGGTTCAGTCCTCCTGGTTCAGTCCTCTTTTAGTCCTAGTTCAGTCCTGGTTTAGTACTGTTTTAGTCTTCCTGGTTCAGTCCTGGTTCAGTGCTGGGATCAATCCTCTTTTAGTCCTGGTTCATCTCGGTTATCGTGACAGACCTCGTGCTAATGCCTGAGAGAGATCGCTACATTACTCAAACATGCTTGGATGACATATTAAACCACATCAGGCATGTTTTTGTTGAGAAAACAACATTTATAATGAAGTCTAAAGCTCGCCCCTCGTTAAATAGATCCATCAACCTTTGCAATGAAATGAAAATGACGAAATGTGGTCAGACAGTAAAATTGCTTCATAGACGATCACGAACATGGAGTAAAAGCTCACGGCCACTGAAACTCCACCCCGTCCATTAAAGCCTGTATGCCATAAAACCGCACTCTTTCATGTT